GCCAAATATATCTTTTCAGGTGGTTTCATCATCACCTGCTGTGTCGATCGTAGTCGAGCTCCTCCTTGGGCCTGAGATACATTGCCGGCGAAACCGCGCTGCTGTTTCCTCTCTGCACGCTGTACAGCTGTCGGGTCACTGCGAGTGCAGTGCCTAGCTACGGTGATGGAGTGCAAAAGTGGAAATGAATGTGAAAGTGTTTTTCAAGCTGTGAATCATGCTCCAAGCTATGTCCAGAACAAAAAAACAGGTCCCAAGTGCTTGAACATATGGATCTACAACAATAATCAAGGGACAAACAAATGATAAATACTTACCTGATTAGATTGGTGGCAGCATCTGTAGTTAAAGTACCTCACGCGGGTGATGCACGTCCAGCTTGAACCTTGCGCTCTAGTCTCTGCTAAACTTCGAGGTACTCATATGCGCCCAGTTTCCGACATGTCAATCCATCGCGGGGAGGGGGGTGTCGCCAGACATGAGGGAAAATCAGGCCCAACTCAGGCGCGCTGCCGAGGAGAACGAGTCTATGTGCTGATACCTGGAGCAGAGGCACATGCACCAAGCTGATCCGCTTCGCCACTTTTGGGGAAGTGACCAAACAAAAAGGAGTGCCACCGCACAGCTGGCTGAGACCACCCCATGAAGATCCAAAGTTGGAAGTCTTTCTTATCACTGACTCAGGCTTAACTAACGCCTGATGAACGCCACAGGCCGAAGACAAGTCAACCATCGGGCGGTCTTTGGGTAAAGTGACTCTGAGGATCCGGCCATCTTCGCAAGGATGGACTGCTGGGGCATCCTGAGGATCGCTCTGTCTGCTTTAAAGGTGACAAAAAAAAACAGTGCCTCCCCTCGTTTTCGCCAGACGAGCGGCACCGGAGGTCTTGGCATTTGCGAGATATCCTTGAAACAACCTTCAAAATAAACGGGATAACGCACCAGTGAGTCCCGGCTCATGGCCCTCTTTTTTTTGGATATTGAAGACTCCTGGTACTTCGAATCACAAGCTACAAGTACGAGCACGGCATCTCATTGTACAATTCCTTCAATGGGCAGGACATCGCCAGCGCATCCCAAACACAGAGGCCTTCTTTCCCTCCACTCATAACATGCATGCACATAGCAATCTCTTGAAACCTTCAAGAAGCCAGGGGTGCTTGTACATGCCCCTTTTACATACCCCTTGGGCAAGTGCACCCAAAAGGCCTGCTGATGTTCATACCCCTCTCCCCAAAAGGGGTATATACCCCTTATAAAGTGGGTTGGAAACCAGGGAAGCACAGCCCCGAAGTTCGAAAAATAGGGCACAGCCTAATCTTGACCTGCTCAAATGACTGGCCAAATATTGCAACCATCTTGCACCCGACAAAAGCATGAGTTGGCTCCTTGGTCCATCTAATTGAATACCATCCGGGCATCTTTGACAATGCTTCCAAAACCTAACATAGTTTCGCCCCAACTCCAGAAGCTTCATCAGGCTAAACGAGATTCAGTCTCTTCCCATAGCAAGAAGCTTCACACGTGAACTCGCTTCCCCCCAGAAGCTCCTTGTACTTTGCCATAAGGGGCGAAAACTCGGTGCCACGGATCGGAGCTCTTGCTTCAACATGCATAAACCAGCAAAAATAACAGCCCGCTTGTCTCGAGGGACTGTTAGGCAGGGGGGGACCCCCAAATATACATTTAAGCTGTGGCCGTGACCCTGCCACCCCCCCCACATACACATTAAATGCATTTCAGCTGTGCCCTGGACATCTATTTCATTCATTGCTCTAAGGAATTGCCGCGCGTTGCCCGAGCCAATGCCCTTTTCCAGCTCAAATCAAGTCAAGTTGTAAGCGTCATGGCCAGGCGCCCGAGCCTTGGCAACGAGATGGAGCGTTCCAAACATGGGGGGAGGTGGGGGTAACCAAACTCTTGACAGCCGAAATCCAAAGCAGAGCCACGGCTTGTGGGTTCAAGTTTTTAGGGAAACCTGAAGGGAGCTGTTCCATTTCGCAACAAACCACGATCTTTCACCATCTTTGGATGAGCAGGCGCAAACAAAGCCAAGTGTTGACGCCTGTTGGGGTGGCACACCTGGAAAATGTATTAAATACATTCTTTCCCCCTGGGCATACATTATGAAAGGGGTCCCCTGTCTGATTCTCAAGGAATCAGAGAATGAGACCAACAAAAACAAATCTCGTGGGCTTTGTGAAGGTGATGCTACACGCTTCATTCCTCGAGAACCAACAAGTTTGGGTTTGGTTGGTGATTGGAAACCTCACTTCTGCTCGCAAACGCGATCCGTGGCATGAGGTAAATGGTCATCTGCGCGTTTCCTACCAGCCACTTTCCGAAAGCCAACTGAACAACTTTCCAAGCCCTGGATGCGCCTGCTTTCCTCATCTCGTCGAAGAGTCGGCGGTCGGCGGCGGTCGGCCTGTGACAATTGAGGTCTGATAGAAACTCCGAAGATGATGTACTCTAAAACAGCCTTTTCTGGGTTTGTCTCAAAGTAGGGGGAACGCCCTATGCGTTGGGTGACTACCCCCCATTAAAAAAACACAGACCCGTCGAACATTGCAGGTTCAGGACAGTTGTAGCCAGACCCGTTAACAGAAAGGTTAACCTACTCAAGAGCAATTTGCAAACCTGGAAAAATACTTCAGCACGGTTCATGGTAAAACGCTCCTGCAGGTCCTGGTCACAGTGCCCTTGACAGGAAGTCTCATGACGGGTATTGGAAACCTGAATGCAATAGTGGTTTGGATCAGCATCAGGAAAAACACATGGCACTCGAGTTGCGATTCTTTGCCGTGGAAAACCAAAACTGACAGTATCCAATATCGAAGGAGTCTACCAGGGATCTACAACAGTGACCCGGGTAGAAAAATGGGACCCTTAAAAGGAGTTCACATGTTTAGTAGGGAGCCGACGACAAGGGCAAGGTGATAACCCACGAGCCTTCAAAGGCAAGGGCACTGCATGCACGCCAATGTGCCTGTTGATATGTAAGAAGGGTTTGTGACCCCCAGTAGAGAGGTTAGAATAAGGGTACCAACTTTTGTCTGTAGTCTATTTCAGTAGGTAAACGGGCACTACTGGGGGGCCTACAAGATATGTGTCTCATGCTGGTGAATCTCTGTCAGATACTAAGTTGCACCGAATCGGATTCGTATATTCTTCGATTTCTACCACTTGAATCCTTGCATCTCCCAAAGAGAGACGTGGGGGTTGACCAAAAGGTCCTTTGTATGGGATGACCATGGGGGAAACCACCAAAAAATATGACATTCCCCGCCAAACGGTAAAAGTTCAAGAAGTTACCCATGGTCATTTGGGGGCCTCGAAAGGAAGATGGATCAACCTCCACGTCTGCATCACTGTTGCGAAGATGTTACGCCGTTGCCTACCAGAGATCTTCGGCGAGCCCGGCCTGAAGCCGGAGACGTAGGGCTGATCTGACAGCACCGCCTTGCGGGCCCGAGATCGCTGGTTTCCACTGGCCCACCGGCAAAGTGCGTTTCTTCTCCCCAAGCAAACAACAACTGCAAGGAAAGGAAAACAGGAACCCCAAAACAAGTTTTTTTCAGATTCGAAGATCGGAAATGAGGAATGCCCAAGTAAAGGATCTCCATCGTGGTTGAGCTCACCTCCGCACGGATGGTTATGAAGGCTGCAATAGTTGCCCTTGTCGCGTCGTTCTTCAAGCAGCCCTTTTCAAATGGGGACATGTGGATTCCGCCTCCGCAACTGAATCAACGGGGCCGTAAAAGGGCGGGAGGTGCTTTGTCGTTAGTGAGGCTAGTGGGGTGCCCAGCCCTCCTTGGGTTTAGAACAGCCCAACCCAAGCTGCAGACCGGGGGACGTGGAAGCAAACTTGGAAAAGACATAGAGTTCTCCCAAGAATACGGTCACCGAAACAGACAACGCCAGGTTTCCCTTGACAATGCACCCAACTGCCTGGCTCTTCCAAACTTCAACACGCGGCAGGAGAGAAGAAGCCTTGATCAATATTCTTGGCCCCCAAATAACCATGGGTAGTTTAGTGGCGATTTGTTGGTGCTCTCCCCACTGGTCATCCCATGTAAACGACCTTTTGATCAACCCCCATGTGAGTCGTAATCAAAACCCGGTATTAACATGGTCGTCGACCCATAGCTATGTAAAGAATTAAGACTGCGGCCGCAGCCATTTATGGTTGGGATTGTCTCTTACTAACCTTCATCTACCTGGGTTTTGACTGTGACTCATGTCAAGGGTTGTCATGCCAAGGAAAAGCCGGAGCCCTCTGCAGCCCCTCTCAATCCGTTTATCTCTTGCGCCCACAAGGCAAACATTTGTGTATGGACAAGGCTCTACGTCCCCTCCTTCAAAACAGCATCAATGGAGGAATCAGAGTTCAACAGATTGAATGGATGCAACCCAGGGGTAGGCTCCTGCGATACATATAATACACCCACGGCCAATAAACAGTGGCTCGCTGAACATCACTGGTACATGATATGTCTTGAAACACAAGCGGCACACGTTGCCGACGGTTGGCAAAAGGAACCTAACTGGACACCAACTGCGAAAGGACGCACGTGCTGAGATGACGACCGAAATATCGATATTTGCAGGCTTGGTGGACCAACAAGATGAAGGGACCTATCAATCATACGGGTAGTGGTAAATATAAAAGGGCACCCTTGCGGTTGGTTGGTTTTAAACGAGCGAAGACAAGGATGCAACCCCCAGTGAGTGGGTCTTTCAAAGGCCCACCTTTCCGGGCGACCCCGCATCTGGGAAAATCGGCGAATTCCCTGATCTCCTTGGACAATTGAACAACAAATGGTCCATGTACGGCGGATGCCCTAAATATTGCAAGTAGGGAACAAGGGTTTCACCCTGTCAATCCCCTGGTCTGTGGTTGGTTTACTTGCAATATTTCGGGCATCCCCCGTAGCATTCGTCTTTCGAAGACTTCGGAACCCGAAAAACCAACACGCGGCCCTCGTCGCGCGGTCGCCTCAAAGTCGCCGTCGGGTGTCGGCGCGGCGCCTGGGCCGGGAAGAACCAAAAAACCCTGCAGACCTGGGCTGTCCGGTGTCCGATCTGAAAAAAGTGACCAACTTTGAGTGGGTGAAATTTGGGGAAACCCCGCCACATTTTGCCCGAAAAGCCTGGAAAGCTGAGGAGCCGGAGGGATAGGTTGTTGGAGGTTGGTGGAGGGTCCTTCAGAGGCTAGGTGAGGTTTTTTCAGAGGAGAGTGAAGGTTAGAGGTTCCGTCAGCGAAACGCCGGTCTTCCACAAGAAAAGGGGCCAAGAGGTTTTGGACCACTTCTCTGTGTTTCAATCTTGTAGCAAACCCCCTGCCAAAAGAAGCATGCCAAATCCCACGAACAAGGAAGCCAGGCCTGAGGCATGGTTCTGGAGAACAACCGACAAACATCCGTTGAGGGGTTAAGAATGGGAACACAACCCAAGGCATGCGTGGCTCTTAAAATTGATGCTCCATCTGTGATCCCAGCCTCATGTCTTCATGAATTTCCTTGACCACTCACACCACTTTCTCCCAAACGGCCCTTCTCGCATCAAAGGGTTTTCTGCCAAAGCACACCTTTTCTTGACTCAGATGCCCAGCGGCCATGGCAACAAAAGGGCATCCTTTTTTCGGCCGCTTGCCTTTAAAGGGGAACGAACCCTTTCCCTCAAAAAAGGGACAAAGGGCACCACTGGGCAACAGAGTTGAGAACCAGGAGAATTTGTTTGCCATCGAATCATCCTTCAACCTGCCGCCCATCTCTGTGCAACAGGCTCATGGGTTGGAGGTTCGCTTTCAAAGGGTTCGGATAGCGGGTGGCGGGGCTGGGGAGGCCACGCCGAGCTTCTTTTCGGTTGGTAGGATATCATCATCCAAACAGCCTCCCCCCCCAAAACAAAAAAAACAAATAAATTCATATATATATATATATATATATGTAATAATCGGTCCACTTTTCCACTGGTTCGGCCTGTTTGCCGTTCGGGACACAGGGCACGACCCTCAAGTGCCCCCCGCAAACCCAAACGAGCATCTCCATTCCGGGTGGGCGCATCCTTCTTCGTGGCTGTCCTTTGGGCCTTCAAGCAAACCCATACAGTATCTCGACCGTGGCTCATGGCTACTGGCCACAGATTCCCTTTCTGGGCCTTTCTTTGTTTTCATCCATTGGCTTGCCCTGTTTTCTTTCCAAGCCCAGCTGAAAATTGTCTCTAGTGGTTTACCATTGCTTCCAACTTGAAACCCGGGTCTAAAAGAAACCCAGGTCTGAAAGACACTCTTGGGGTGCTGGATCAACAATCCTTTGGTGGTGTTCACTTGTTTGTCCCTTAACCCCTTGAGAGGTTGAGAGACCAGTGGCTCCCGCCATGCCCTTGTCTTCCAACTCAACAGGAAACCACCAACCGTTTTGCAACCAAGCGCTGAGCCAGATCCAATGGCCTCAATTGAGCGACGCCGTAAGATCGTCCCAAAAGGGTCCAACGAAACCGGTCAAGGTACGGCATCCCAATCCAATCTACCGCCCGTCGGTTCAGGCAAGGGCACAAATATGAGATGTTAGCAAGCCTTGACCCAAACAAAAATGAAGACCTCACTTCCTTCCAAAGTCTTCGTTTACCACTAACATGGTTTTCCCGACAAGTCCGGCAACTCAGTTTTCGGAGATGTCCTTGTCGGGCTTTTACTTTTTCTTGTTTGAGGGCCCGTTACCTGGGAACACGGCGGAAGTTTCATTCTGCCAACAACAAAACCTGGGTGGCCGCGCCGCTGGACGCCTGGCTGCTTTTCTGATGTCTACCAGAAAGAAGAGACAGACAATGGAAGAAGATAACACAAATCGTGGTGAGCTGGCTGTTTGCTTCGCAAATATGAATGTATGTATATATATATATATATGTATATAAAGCCTTGCCTGTAGCAGCAACTTTTTACCACCAATTTACCTCAAATTTACCCCCAATTTCGTCCCCCAATTTTGTGGGTAATTTACCCCAGATGTTGGTGTACTTTACCCCCAATTTTGTCGCTAGTTTACTCCCAGCCTTGTGGGTAATGTACCACGAATTGTGTGGGTAATTTACCCCCAATTTTGTGACTCGTTATTTACCCCCAATTTTGGAAATTGGGGGTAAATAACGAGTCCCAAAAATTGGAAATTGGGGGTAAATAACGAGTCCAAGAATTGGGGGGTAAATAAGGAGTCCCAAAATGGGGGGGGGGATTTCCCCAAACTGGGGGTAAATTACCCACAACCAACAAGGTTGGGGGCCCACCCAATTGGGGGTAAATTACCCCCAACATTTCTCCCAAATGACTCCCAATTTGCCAAATGTCCCAATATGTTCCCTCAGTTTGCTCACAACTTACCGCCAGTTTCGGGGGGTAAATGTTGCAGAGTCGGTAAGTCTGTATAGCCCCTCCCCGCCGGCGTAAAGAAGGCATGCAATTTATTGATAGGGGCACGCCCTAGTATATACGTCCGCCCTCTTGTTCTGCTTGGGGGGTTGTGGTTGGGGGCTAGAGAGCGCCACTCAAAGTGTGTGTCTGTTTCTGAGGTTGATTCAACACTAGAGGGATTCTCAGAACCAAAGGAAGACCGGCAGAAAGGGAGGGGCACCATTTCCACAACCGAAGAACAACCCCTCTGAACCCTATGAACAATATGTGTCTTGCTTCCGCAGCGAAAAATCATTATGAATATGGAAGAGAATCCTTCAAGCGAATATCACTATTTTCACGCAGATGATTGGTCATTAGGGGAGGAAAGAAGTAAAGAGCCAGCAGCAGCAGCAGCAGCAGCGGCTGCAGCACTGAAACATCAGATTCATGAAACCACTAGGCAAACACATTTTGAAACCTCCTAGCTGTCTCCTTCAAGACAAATGCTCTAAAGACGCAATTCAAAGACTTCTGAAGGAACCCCACATCTTGTTGAATTTGCGTACCCCCCCCCAATGCTGTTTTGAATGGTGGATAGCAAACGTGCAAATGGGGTCGGCTGAAGGACAGGAGTGAATCACGGGGCCCACGCCATGTTGAAATTCAGGATTTGCAAAAAGTTGTTTAGACTTGCAAATGTGCCAACAAGAACTTCGTATGAATGTTGGGAAAAAGTTTGGGAAAAGAGCCCCCTCCAGGTTGTTCATAGAATATGCTAAACAAAACCAGGTGTTTCGGTTTTTCTTGATTGAATCACTAGCTGCCCTGGGCTTTCTGGAAAGGATCCTGGGAAAGAACGGAGCTGCTCAACCAACATGGAGGCTGACTGGAGCTTTCTGGAACACCGCATAACACCGCTATCCCCAAAAATCCCTTTGGTGGCTTCCATGGTTGGGGAGTGGGAGGGAGCTGAAGAAGAACTCCCTCTCACTTCCTCCCACTCACACTCCACTGCTTTTGGCATGTCAAGCCCTAAAGCCAGGTAGAAAAACACCACAGGTGGCACTCTGGGAAGCATGCTTCAACGCCTCGAGCATGTCAGAAATTCAGTCAGGTGAGGTATGGCCCCTCTGGGCCCATTCCCGTTTGAGGATGCTTGGGAGTTTAAAAGCTAGCGACGTACCTGCTTGGAAGTTACTTGGCCCTTCGGGGACAAATACGCCTCTTTAAGCTTTTTGGGGGCGGACTATCTTAGTGGCAAGCGAACAATTTGGACTTTGTCTTCACCAACCCACTCCAACTTAGAGCCAACAAAAACAGCCATAACAAGGAGAGCCATGGCGATTTGATACACTAGGGGCCATTTCGGGGAATGCAATTTGGGCAAACTGCAAAAATGTCACCTGGTAAAATGAGCTCGGGCCCTGTGAAGGATTCCAAATGGTACTTTGCCCAGACATGGCAGTTCATCAATATTCCGTTCGGCCCTTAAATGAGAATGGGTAACTTTTCCCTTGTAGGAGATTTCATCTTAGTGGTTTCCCCCATGGTCATCCCATGTAAAGGACCTTTGACCAACCCCCATAATATATATGTATACACACACGTGGGTTTCTTGACCCTCTTAGGGGTGAAATTTTAAAGGTACGCCAAAAGGAAACCACTCATTCGAGTCTGTGCGAATTTTCCCCATGGACTACTCCCGACGTTCTTCTTGAACGCTACCCCCTTACCGCCCCGCAGCTCCGCCGCTTCGCCTGCGCCGGGGAGGCGTCCGCGGCTTTCGCGGAGGCGTTCGCGGAGGCGTGCGCGGCTTTCGGCGGCGCCAGGCCGAAGTAGCTCTCGAAGTTGGGCAGATCCTCGGGCCAGAGCTGGGTCCAAGTTCTTGCTCCAAGAAGCGAGCTCTACCCGGCCGGTTGACGTTGGAAGGGGAGCAAAACTCTAAAAAAAAACTAGAAGTTCAGTGGGGATGTCCCACTAAACCACAATAAGCAAACATGTAAAATGTTTCCCAACAACAACCAGGTACCGGAGTCACTGGGTTTGGTGGATATTTGGCACATTTCCTGGAGCAACTCTGGGGAACAAAATTTATGGAGCCGCATACCTAGACACATCTCCATGACCCTTTGAAGATGGGGTCATGAACTTTTTATTTTGGGTAATGACCCCTGTTTTTAAGGTCATGGAGACTCTAGGTAAACTGTTTGCTTACAGCTATGCATTCTCGGGAATAAGGGTCTGGTTGCCTGAGGTTGGGAAGAACCCCAAGTTACTGGCACTTCACACACCTTGGGACATGGCGGGTTCGCCGGCTTTGTCTATTTACACAGCCCTTTCCGACAGGTACGATTTTTACCCTGACTTTCATGCATTTGGAATCTGGAGACCCCTCTTCTTCAGAAAATTGCAGCCACAAAGGGAGAATGAGCTTCTGGAAAAAACGGATGGGTGAACCGGGAATCAAGCCGACGAGGTTGGAACGGCCGGTTGTGCAGCCAATTGGCTTGGCCAGGATGCCCCTTTGTGTGAAACCGTGTGCATTCCCATAACAACTTGATCACAATGTGCCGAACACACACGCACAACTTTCCTCACGCCTGGCCTAAGATGGCTGCATCCTGACCGGAAAACCTTCAACGGTAAGAACCAACATAGACGCTGTTGTCTATTCCCAGTAGAGCCGGCAAAGCCGGGAGGCGGAAGTTTCTACAACACATGGGACTTCTAGCATTTGCATTGTTGCTGGTTTCAGCGGGGGTGCCTTGCTCCTTGAAAAACATTCGCTCCCAGAACCTCCCAGCCGCACTTGTTTTCAAGCAAATGCTGCAGCGCCTCGCGGCCTGAACCGCGAGGCGAAACCGTTTGCTAAGGAACAGTGTGTTGTTTTGCATGCTCTCCCGTGTGGTTGTCTATGCTTTGGCGTGTCTGTCCTGCAGGAACAAGCGACAAACAGTGACTGGAACAAGTTGCCTTAGGCTTGCGCGATGCCCGTGGTCGACAACATTTTGTCCGTTACCTCTGTTGACTCTAGTGTTAGTGTGTTTGGTGTAGACAGCTCAAGTCACCAGAGACTGCAAGCCAAAAAACAACACGCGCGGCAAGAGCTCAGCACGACCGCCGAATACTTTGTTATCCATCTATCCACTTAGTTATCTAGCTATCTATCTAGCTCGAAAACTACTTTTGTACGCGACTTCTGCGAAGTTCGACCTTACTTCGAATACTACTTTTGTACTTAACGCTTGCCATTTTTGAGCTGCAGCTGGAAAAGTGTAACTTTTGTACGCATTTTTTTCGAATTTGGAGCTGCAGCTGGAAGAGTGTAATCGTACCTTCGATCACGAAACACAGCGCCTGCCACGAAATCTGTACTTGACCTTGCGAAAGTATCGCGCCTGCCACGAAATCTGTACCCAGCCTTGCGAAAGTGCTGCGCCTGCCACCAAATCTGCACCTGACCTTGCGAAAGTATCGCGCCTGCCACGAAATCTGTACCTGACCTTGCGCCTGTCCTTGACCTTGCGATAGTATCGCGCCTGCCACGAAAACTGTACCCAGCCTTCAGCCTTGCGAAAGTGCTGCGCCTGCCACGAAATCTGTACCTGACCTTGCGAAAGTGCTGCGCCTGCCACGAAATCTGTGCTTGACCTTGCGAAAGTATCGCGCCTGCCACGAAATCTTTGCCCAGCCTTGCGGAAGCCCTTTTGCGGTTTTCGAGCTGCAGCTGGAAAAGTGTACTTCGAATACTACTTTTGTCCTGAATTTTTGACAATTTTGGAGCTGCAGCTGGAAGAGTGGAGTCGTACCTTCGATCACGAAAAACTGCGCCTGCCACGAAATCTGTACTTGACCTTGCGAAAGTATCGCGCCTGCCACGAAATCTGTACCCAGCCTTGCGAAAGTGCTGCGCCTGCCACCAAATCTGTACCTGACCTTACGAAAGTATCGCGCCTGCCACGAAATCTGTACCCAGCCTTGCGAAAGTGCTGCGCCTGCAATGAAATCTGTGCTTGACCTTGCGAAAGTATCGCGCCTGCCACGAAATCTTTGCCCAGCCTTGCGAAAGTCCTTTTGCGATTTTCGAGCTGCAGCGAATACTACTTTTGTGCTGAAATTTTGCGCTGGAAGAGTGGAATCGTACCTTCGATCACGAAAAAATGCGCCTGCCACGAAATCTGTACTTGACCTTGCGAAAGTATCGCGCCTGCCACGAAATCTGCACCCAGCCTCGCGAAAGTGCTGCGCCTGCCACGAAATCTTGCGAAAGTGCTGCGCCTGCCCCGAAATCTGTGCTTGACCTTGCGGAATCGTACATTTGATCACGAAATACTGCGCCTGCCACGAAATCTGTACTTGACCTTCGCCTGCCACCAAGTGTGTACCTGACGTTGCGAAAGTGCTGCGCCTGCCACAAAATATGTACTCGACCATGCGAAAGTGTTGCGCCTGCCACGAAATCTGCACCTGACCTTGCGAAAGTGCTGCGCCTGCCACAAAATCTGCCTGCGCCACCCTGCGCGCCCGTGCCAGTGGGATTTGCGATGCGTCCGTGCCAGCGCTTCGGAAATGGCGCGCCTGCCACGCAATCTATACTTGGCCTTGCGAAAGTGATGCGCCTGCCACGAAATCTATACTTCGGCTCGCCAAAGTGCTGCGCCTGCCACGAAATTCTAACCTTGCGAAACCTCCGCGTTGCCGTGCCAATGGGCCCCCGTCCGAGACCGTTCCGAGACGGTCCCGAACAGGCGCCGCGGCAGAGGTACCTTTCGCACATCTGCAGCAGCGATTTCCGGCACCCTGCCACGCTTTTGCGCATTCTCTATCTTTTCGCACGCTTAGACAAGGTTCTTTCTAATCATCAGCTATCCTTCACTTAGTTTCCGTACCACGGAAGTTTCTTGTAAACTTCCTTTGACTACTGCAAATATGCTTGTTTCTGTCCAGGAGCTTTTTTCGCAAATGCAAACTATTTGAAAAAGTATTGTTCACTTGGTTGGGTGAAGTCGCTGGATATAGGGAAACATTTTAAAGCACAAAGGGATGAGGTACGATAATACAGAAACGTGGGTATGTCGTTTTTGAAGATACCCCTCTTGGAGCAGTATTGAAAGGAAGCCAGAAAGAAACCAACCATTTTGTGGGTTCCCCATTTTTAAGACAGATCCATGTTTCCTAGTTGCCCCTCCCGCCGACCAGCATGGAAGTGCACAGACCCCTGTAGAAACACGACTTCCCTCTTGGAATGCGGGTTTGTGCACTTCCATGTTCTCAGATGCCCAGTGGCCATGGAAAAAAAGGGCCTCCTCTTTTGGTTAAAGGAATCGGAACCCTTGCCGAAAAAAAGAGTTGCAAACAGGGGCGGAGTCCACTGGTTGCAACTGGGACTGTTGGTTGGTGGGAGACATGGCTGTGGGTCGAAAACATGTACCGAACCAAAGACTAGAACCTGCGTAACTTGTTCTTTGGCGCGGTTTTTTGCCTCGTCTAAACTGAAGTCACCCCCCCCCCTCCCCCCCCGCTGCGTAACCCTAGCTCTTTAACTTCGAGCCACACCCACATACCCGAATATATTATTTTCGGCAACTCGCAAGGGACACAATAAAAATGATCGTCCCAAGCCACCGATTTGGCCTTCCCCAACGAAGATCTCTCAGGACCCGGCGGCGAGAGGCACATCCTTCTGCTTCTTCTCCTTGGGGTCGTCTTCCTTGAAGTTCCGTAGGTCCTGACGAAGGATTTGGGCCATGGGGCTGTGGGACCCCCTCCCCACCAAAAAGAGAAGTGGTGTCCCCTTTGGTTCCCTTCAAAGCCACTAAAAAGATTTAAAAAAGGGGGGTGCCCTGAAAAAAACAACACACCCACACACACACACCCATTCTCATTTGGGTGTGTCTGAAACTAGGGGACCCAAATGCCAAAGGTTTCCTTTTTGGTGTCCCCTTGAAATAGTGAAAAGAGGGGTCCTCTTTTGAGAAATCCCTGCTTGGACGCTGCCAGGGGCTTCCCTAGATTTTTGAAGGGTTCACAAATCAGAGACCCTACAAACCTTTTTGGGGGGGACAGTGAGGCCAACTAAGGTATCCAAAACTCGATGTGACATATTGATTGGGTCTGAGAACCCAAACACATAAACACACATTTCTGGGCTACTTAGCACCAAAGGACATGCAAAACGAATCAGGTGCGGAAATGACGAGCGCTTGACCAAGCACGAGTGAGGTATCCAATGTTTGGAAGGCGCGCTACGGAAACCCATCCTGGGGGCCCCTGGGGCCTTGTTGTCCAGACACCTTAAGTTGCCGGAATTGAGCGGGTCAGCCGGGTGAGACAAGACTCTCCTAGAGTCAGGCAAGTTTGGGGGGCCCTTCCTATTGTATCTATACACATACATATATATATATATATATAATGTATACATCTATGTGTACTGCCTATCTGGACTATGACTATCTACTCCCCTTAGGGGAGACCTCCAACTTTCCCCATGCCGCATCGGCCCCTCCCCCCCCCCGGCCCCCAGATCCGCAGATCCATTCAACGGATCGATCTGTGGCCTTGATGGTCACGAGGCCCTGGTCCCACTCCCCGGGGGCCACCAGCGCCACGCGCACTGCGTTGACGCGGTCCGCATACTTGAAGCCCTGCCAGAAGGGGATGGGGGGTGGGTTGGGGGGGGGTTGGGGTTGGTTGGTTGGGGGGGTTGGTGGGGGGGTTTAGGGTTGGTTTGGGGGGGTTGGGGGGGGTTGGGGAGGGGGTTGGGGGCGGTTGGGGGAGGGGTTGGGGGGGTGGTTAGGGGGGGTTGGGGGGGGGAGGAAGGCTGCTCGCCGACTTCTCCTGGGCCCTGTGGTTGGTGGTTGGGGGGGGAAGGGGGGGGAGGAAGGGGTGAAGACTTTTTGGGATCCCGAAAACCCTGGATCCCAAAAGAAATCAAGAGGCAAGAGAAGTCAATCAACATAACAGCAGTATTCCTGGGCGAAAGGAATTCCGTTTGCCCGACTCGCTTGCCGTCGTTTCTGCAAACCTATCTCTTCTGGTGCCATGCGGCACATGCACGGCTCGAAATCTCCTACGGAACTGAAGAAGTAATCTCCCATATATAGCCACACATGGCCAACTGCTAGAGAGTTTGCTGGCAATCTGCTATAGCTGGGATCTGGTCAACTGTCTACACAATCACGACGCCCAACAAACCTATAACTATTGCAAGCAGGACTTGCCGGCTTTCCAGCGTGCCTTGAAGTCGCAAACCCCGGCTCGAGCGAAAACCACCACAAATGCACCATCAGCATTCGTTGCAACATCAGGAATCCTCCTTCTGTTTCGTTAAACGTCTCGTCTCGAAAAGGAAGCACATGTTTGTGCGGCCACCTTTCGGTGATGGACAAAGGGACATGTAAGGACCCCTGAACATGGTTCCCGCAGAAAGGTCCATGCTCAGAAGAATAAAGGGAAATCACAGGGACCCAGTCCTTGTGCAGCTTCTTCGTCTCCTCGGAATAGACCTCAGTGCTGTGAAGTTTCCACCCCAAAAACTCCAGTCGGGGTAGATGGGAGCCGCCTAAACCATACGGAGGGTTGTGGAGGCGTGTGATTGGTATTGGCTCCAAATAAAAAAGCGCGCCTTGGGGGGGAACCTTTTTTTGACCCCCCGTTCCTTCAGTTTGACCCCCTCCCCCTTTTGTAAACCTCCCTTGTGTTTCTTCTAACCCCTTGCTTTTACTTGACCCCCCTTTCCATCGGCCCTACAAACAGGCCGGAGGTGCCCCCAGTCAGCTTTGATCAAAGTGATGTTCCCGAACAGCCTGCATCCATGTGTCGCCCCCGCGAGGAGCACGCCAGTCATTGTCCCAAGCTGCCGTCGTCCACAAGAGCAGGCTGGCTGTTTCTAGGGTATTTTTTGGAAAACCTGGTTTGCCATAGTAAATACCCTTTTTTAGTAGAGGTTCGACATGATACCCTGAAAAAAGCGGGTATTTTGAGTAGGGGGGACATTCACCACATCCTTCAACATGCCGATAGCGTTTCAGCTTTGAGGAACGACATCTGGTGCTGTCCGATCGATTGGCTGCCTCGGCTGTCTCCACGCCACCTTCGGCACCCGTAGACTCAAGGCTCCAGCCAAGGCTACCGGCTGCCGCTTGAATCATGAACCCCCCCCCCCCTTCACACCACCCTGGGGGAGTTGGCTTAGTTTTTCACTGCCTTTCCCTGGTTTCTTTCAATGACGACTGGTTGACAACCACATGTTTGCCACCAGTGGCTTCGTCTACAACCCAAGACATGGGTATCGCCGAAGTGGTTGAACAATGCCCCCAAACGTCCAGTGGCAAATGTCAAACAAAAAAAACAGGGATGAACAGGCACCGTTGGAGGTCTGGTTCTCCTTGTGCTAAGGGGATGGGCCCAACAATCCAAATCAAAATCACCAAAATGGGCACCCAGTTGTGGTTTCAAAGGCAAGCTAAAAGAAAACCAAAAGGATTACCATGGCCATGGGTCAACGCTTCGTACACCCAGTGAATATTCCCAATCCAACCACTCAAATATGGTGAATTCACCTATCCCAAAATGGGATCCCAAAACGGATTTGACAACCACAACCAAATGGTCTTCCCGCGTATCAATACTTTGTTGACATTGAAAGGGGAGCAAACAATTAAATCCTAGCAGCTAAGTGGGGATTTCCCACTAAACCACAATAAGCAAAAATGCAAAATGTTTCCCAACAACAACCATGTCAAGTCCAGGAACTCAAGTGAGTCGTCAGCCCATAGCTTGGGCCTCCGGACGTCAACAGACCGCCCCGCCCCTCGCAGGATGCGCGCCACCCGCAGCGCCTGTTGCGGATCAAAGCTGGAGACACCGCTGTCGTACATCCGCATCGGTCAGGGTTCCCTCTATTTCACCTTTTGGTGGTGTTTAATCCTTTCTGTGTTTCTCCAAATAGGGGAACCCTATGAATGGGTTGTTTCCCTTGGTTTCCCTTTGAAACCATCCATCCAAAAGGGGATCCACTATTTGAGAAACCCACATTTGTCGGCCAACTTTTCGCGAGTTTCCGTTTGGTGTTAGGGGAAGCACGGGCAGCCAGGGCCCCGGCTGGCATCGAACATGAACCCGCATGAATCCGCCCCCAATGACCTGCAGCCCAACTACTATGTCCTAAGCGCATTCTTTCCGACCATCGTTCTTTTCGAAGACCGGGGCCGTTTCCCTGGGCTTATGGGGAAGTTACGTTGGCCCAAGGCTTGCCGACCCAAAGCCTTGGTCAAAGGGTGGTAGGGTCATTGAAAGGGTAGCTGGGGTCCCCCCGCTCCAACCTTTGAGAAACCACATGCCGGGACCCGAAATACACTGAACAACCGGCCTTGGGCTTATCGTTTGCATTTGGAACCGTCACAAAGTTGGGATAGTCCTGGACTATGCGGGGTCTTGACCAGGAGCCAAAGCAGCACACAAAGCTCAGTTTGGGCTACCAAGCTTGTTACAAAGGCTTGTAATTATAGACATTTCCTGGGCAAATCCAGAATCCCTGTTGGGAAACCACTACAAAGGCGATCACATCATTCGTAACCCAACAAAAGGATCTTGCGGATTGCCTTTGAACAGAACCCCTCGCAACACTGGGTGCTAAATAGAGGGCTGGAACCAAACAACACGTGTCCATCCCCTGTTGGATGAAAATAAGGGACCCCCAAATGGTGTGGTTCCTTTTCGTGTCTCTTCGAAACCAGCCCTTGCTTTAAAACAAATACTAACACCGGGCTCGTTTCGCCGGTGGCAACCCGAATCAGGTAGCCGCTCAGCTCAGCTGCGGCCCTTTTGAGCGAGTCGGTCTGGGGCTTCTTGCTCCCAGGCCATCACCTGACTGCTGTGCCGGGTTGGAGGTATCTGTGGATCCATTTGGCTGTGGGTCAAAACCGTTTTGGGTTCCCATTTTGGGGTAGGTGCACCAACCTTTTTGGTCTATTTTAGCGGGGATTGGGATGTTCACTGAAGGTACCGGATTTTGACCCATGGGCATTTCCCTGTTGTAGGTCGCCAAGGGAACCACCTCGAACTGAAATGCTGGAGACATGGATGGCCAGAACAGACCTGGCTGATTGGTCAGACCTGGCTGATTTCCGCTTTTGCTGCACAGGATCAACAATCACATGGGCGATTAAATGGAGTGTCGCAACTCAGCGGGAAACCTCTACACTTTTTCGAGACACACAGCCTTAATCATCCGCTGGCTGGATTTGTTGGGGCCAATATTAGCCAAGTGTCCTTGACCAGGTCCTCCAGTAGAGAGGTTAGAATAAGAGTACCCTTTTTTCTGCAGTCTTTTTTAGTAGGGGAACCCTCCCAACCAAAAAGGAAACGGTAAAAGGGCACTACTGGGGGACCTAGACGAATCCGCTGGCTTGATTTGTTGGGGTCAATATTAGCCAAGTAACTATCCATAGGTGTCCTTTTGGGGCAATAGATGGGTTTCCCTGGTAGATGATTAAACCAGGTAAACCAGGAGTCGCCATCTATTTGTCGACCAAAACCACCAAGAAGGATACCTATGCAAGTATCAGTGCAAGTATCCTTGAACACCAACCCTCTTTAGCCTGGGATCCGCACATCGGCGCGGGGGCGCGCGCTTTGCGCCACTCGTCCACCGAGACCACTCCGTCGTTGTTCACGTCCTCGGCGACAAGAAAAGGCGGCATGGGTGCGGCGGCCAGAAAGGAATACCTAGTCTCTCCATGACTTGGGGCTCTTAACCAGAGGCAACCAGACCCTTCTCCCTGAGAATGCATAGCTTTGAGCAACAGTTTACCTAGAGTCTCCATGACCCGTAACAAGAATGGTGTCATTACCCAAAAGAAAGGGGTCATGACCCCGTTTTTAAAGGGACATGGAGACTCTAGGTGTCTGCAGGTTCTACAACACACCAACCTTAAATCAGGGAACAAACTGTGGAACTCCCAATTGCCACGCCAAGCTCTGCTGCCTTATATAGCTGTTCTTCCCTTTCCGCATCCTCGTGAGGTAGCAACCACCATGAGCTGCAAAACGTTACCCACGCATCACAACAATGCCCAGTAGCACTGCATGAAGAGCTATCACAGCTTCCAGATCAACGGTGCGGCTAATTATGATGGAACCGCCCAAGATGGTGGCAAGCTTTGCACGATTCAGTCTTATTTCGGACACCCAAAACATAGATGTCTTCATTCTGCCTCATCTTCTCCAACCCATCGTCCTCCTAGATCTTAAAGCAGTTGTCGGAGGGGAATCCACATGATTGTTTCGCCACCTGACATTTCAAAAGCTGAAATGACGGATCCCCCCAAGTAAACAACCATGATCACTGTGAGCTCGAGCTCGTTTTAGCTCACCGTAGAATAGGCAGCTGGTATTCTCGGCCCACCTTTCCACAACCATGCGGGGAAGATTTGCCAACCGGATCTTCCCAGGGCTTGGCTTTGCCAGGGAAACCAACAGGACGACTCCGCCCTTTGTTGTGTGCAAATCCCTCTTTGCACTCCCAACGTCTCCTAACAGGATCCTGGACAAAAAACAACAACAACAAAAAGCCGAAAATCGCGTCCCGCCCCGTCTCACAAGGTCCTGAAAAAAAAAAGGGAAAAAAAACCAGACCCGTGCCCCACGCCCCTTTTCCCGCTCGCCGCAAAGGCCCCCACGTCCCACGTCCCGCTGCCAACTTCTCCGAGGCGCCAGTTCCGCGAAGTCCGCCTGCGCCCGCTGCGCCCTGCGGGCCCGCGAGGCGCCGAAGGCCAGCACCGTGGTGCGCGGCCTCGCGCGTCGGGGGGGGGGGGAGCCGCAGCTGGGGGGCGAAAACGACTCGCAGGCGGCGGGTGGCGTTTTCGGCTCAGAGGGATGTGCCAGGAATGGGTACGTCCCCCAAAACTTTTGAGGCAGGCCGCGGCTTGAATGGTGTCACCTGTATCGGTGACTTGTATTCCCTGAAATTCGGAAGGGCGCGGGCAGGCGCGCAAAGCATGAACGTTTGGCAAGTTCTGCCCTCGCACGTCACACCTCTGAGAGAAGAAACAAAGCGCCAAGAGGATTACCATCGGCATGGGCGTCGCAAGACATTGCTTCTTCTGTGAGGTCGCCAGCCAACTGTGTGGAGATTTCTCAAGTGGTCCCCTGAAACGGCAACGGTTTCCTATCGGTTTCCCTCTAAATACCAACCAGAGGGGGGTGCACAGTTTTGAGAAAACCCCTTTTGAGCTCCGGTAACAGGGGTGAATTTCAAAGGCTTGTGACCACAAACTCAGGGCTGGCTTGTACCTGGAGTTTCCGATATCGGTTCAAGCATGGGGTCATCGTTGGGTACCTCCGTGCGCTTCAGGCAACATGAAAGTTCACAGGCTGCCCCAAACAAACATATTTCTGTTGTCCAAAAAAAGGGTCCACACACCAAACAGTACTGGGAGGGTCTCATGAATTTGCTGTCTTCCCATAGCGGCCGGATGCTCAACATGAAATGAAAGCCAGCTTCTGAACACATCTGCTACAAGCGGGAAGAAGGAATCCCCAAGCAAGGGGTCATCGTTGGTGAGCTTTTGAGCTCACGATGCTTTGTTGCTGTAAACAATACAACAAGCGCCCCTGAAAAGCTCAACACCTCAACGGCCGCTTCAGGCTTCTTATCATTGGATGTGTTGCAGTCCGACATTATTCCTTTTCCTCTTTTTTTTTTTGCGGGGGGGAGCCCAGTTTTCGTTTTCCCGGCCCAAACATGCTCTTGACAGACATCGATTGTACACGAGCCTCGCATTCAAATGGAAATCTACTGGTCTGGTTGTGGGTGGTTCAAATCCAAATGTGATTCGTAACCCTCTGGACACAACCCGCAATCTTTTCAAGGCGACCCACCCGCACTTGAAGGCAACCCTCTCTGGTTCTCGAGCCTTGCCTTGCGGCCTCGAAGGTCGGAGCGGAGCCGCTCTTGCCCACGTCCTGTTCCACTGAAGCCATTTGGCTGTGGTGGTCAAAACCGCTTGGGGGTCCCAGTTTGGGGTAGGTGAATTCACCACCCATGTTGGAACCTATTTTAGTGGGGATTGGGAAGTTCACCGGGGAGGGCCCGGGAGCCTGCATTGAAGGGGTCATGAGCCTTAGGGTGATTGAAAGAGTCCAGCTCAAAGGGAGCGTCCTTCTGTGGGGTGGTGCTACCTAGTGTGTTCCTCCAAAAAGCGGAATGTGTGTGTTTTTGTGTTGTTGTTTCTGAGGGCACACATTTGGAGTTGTTTCAATTCGAAGGGACACCAACAAGGAACACGTATTTGTTGGGCTCCACATCCCGTTTGAAAGCCAAATTGTCCAAAGGCATGGCCCCCAGCGGTGACTCAAACATCTGGCCCCCTTGTGTCTCGGTCCAATGAAGGTAACACGGGCAAACGGCATGCGCCAATTCCATATCTCCACCGGGTCCCTCAAACATGGAATGAGGAATGGGGGTGACTTGTGAGATCGTCATTCAAAGTTTGAGTAGTGCCTCTTTTGCGGCGAGTAGAAACATGGAATTGGGCGGGGGGGTTCTGGATTGAAAACTCGACAAAAGGTTGATCGACGCGACAAATGGTGGATTGAAGGACCTTTTGCCCCACCCCCCCGCCCCCACCCCACCCCTTTAGATTCTTTGGAACTTTACATGGGGATTTCTCCCATCCCCCCATCCCCCACAGTAGCCCACTTTCCTCTACGTGGCTGCTTTTTATTGACTCCTTTGCGCCAGTAAACGGGTCCATCATCTCGCTGGGTTTTTCCAAGGGAAGCAATAGTAAAACTTAGATCCTTAAAAATCCCTACAGTGGATGCCTGGTTTCCCCAAAATGCCTCCCTCGCCTACCCAATGAAGCACCCGGAAAATCTTTGAGGGGCCCTTGAAAACGCCCCATGAATTCAGGGCCCTTTCAATCATCGGGAGTATATGAATACGGGGAGGCCCTGTTCCCGCAGCTTTTCTAATCTGCTCTATCCTGGGAGGGGCAAATGCTGTTTCTCTGACCGGGTACGTTCCCCATTCCGGGGCCTTATTTCTTTTATTTGGACAACAACATCTTTAAATTAACTCATGGGAATCAGCTGGTCGCTAAAAATACGCACAGTTGAAAAGTATGACAATTCAAGAAATTCATGGCCCGATTTGATTGATGAGAGGCGGCGCGAACCCATGCACAGGTCTTCCAGTAGAGTTAGAATAAGGGTACCCTTGTTTCTGTAGTCTATTTTAGTAGGGGAACCCTCCCCCAAAAGAGGGGAGAGAAGGGCACTACTGGGGGACCTAGCGACCATTTCACAACCAATCCCTTTTCACGTCCTGCCAGCAGTTCTCACTTAGCGAAAATCATTCGCAACTGCCGCTCGCCTCTTTTCTGGGATGCCCTCAGATCCTCTGCAAAAAGTTTAACTTTTGGTGGGTCAAATGGAAACGCCCACTAAACACTAAAAGTCTAACAAGCTAAGGGGATGGCTGGGAGCCACCAAGTTATGATTCAACTGATTCAACAACCAGGAACGCATAAATAGTGGGTCAACCTACTCGGGTCAGCCAACCTAAGTGGGGAGATTCACCAACAGTACAACCCACTGAGACTTCCCAGGAGTTAAGCCTGGTGGGAAAATTCATCCAGGCTAGACTCTTACTAACTTGGCAACGAACACCCAAGCAACCACCTTCCACCTGACGCCCGCTTCAGACACATTTATCCGCCAAATCTTGAGACAACTCTTTCCTCCCGATTTCATAGTCCCAAACCTCCCCGCCAAACCAAACGACAACTAAAACAAAAAGGCAACATATGCCAGGGATGGTCAAACATGTAAAGCATCTCTCCAGAGTTCGCAAGAAGCCAGGGCACTAGTCAACCAAATCACCTGACCTAGGCACAAAGCTTGCTTGAAGACCCTCCTATCGGGTTTCCTGAAAAGCTTCAAAGGGCCCAGGGACTTGGGTTGAGCAAAACTGCCAAGTTCCCAAGGCACCCCCCCCGCCGAAACCCTCAGAACTCCTGCAAATGCTGGCGCAAGCCCTCTTGTCGCCGCACCTAGCTGACAGGAACACTAGGACCCCTGGAGCGTGGGCTTTCGCCTTCAGTTGTTGGTTTCTTTTCGCCGGGTCTCGTGGTCCCGGTTTCTTGGAGTCTCCTTTTGGTCCTGTTGGCTTCTCTCTCTTCGAAGGTTCCAAACTTCAGCGAATCCAAACTGCTGGCCTTTGTGATACCAACGGACCAACGGAACCCCTTTTTCCCGTTGATCATAGATCAAAATTTGGGAAAGTGGAACTAGGTTCTAAGGACTCCCTGCCTTGTGCGAATTCGTCTGAACAATTCGAACGTTCAGGCTGGCTATGCTTGGTGAGGAACCTACGAAATGAAAAGGGGCTGGAAGGGTGGAGTCGTGTCGGCATAGGACCCCAATCGAAGTATGCCGTTCTTTTTCACCTCTAAACGCAAAGCAAAGCGAGAAAAAACAAAAACAGAGTATGAGCCCTGTCTTAGTTATTCACAACCAACCGCCAAACGGGTCAAACCCACACGTCAAACCACCAGGTTTGAAAAGGATTCGGTCCGGTAAAATGGCCAGGGCTTCCCGAAAGCACCAAAAGGGGTTCACACATTTTTAGAAATCTACAGATGACTTAGACACCAACTGAAAACCCTGATTGAACCAACAGGGAGCTTTTGTTTTGCGGGGAACCCTCTTTTCAAGCCAATCTGCGGGAAAACTCAGGGATCCAATCTAGTGAAAACCCAGGGACCATATCTAGGCAAAAAGGGACTGTGAGAGATCCCTGAAGACCGCGAGCGTCACTGCCGCTCAGGCCTCTTCTGGCAGCTGCCAGTCGGGATGCCCCGCCAGGATTCCCAGGATGGATCGCCGCATCGACTGACCTCTGAACAAACTGGGTTGCTCTTCCCCCCGAGTACAAGGTCTAACCTTTTGTAGGCTTGATGGACATGCCATGCGGCCATGGGTCAAAATCCAAATCGTACCCCCAGTGAACATGCCAATCCCCACCAAAATAGACTAAACATGGGTGGTGCACCTACCCCAAAATGGTACCATTGGTTTTGACCCACAGTTATGTGTTTCCAAAGGGTCTAGGAGGTGATTCGGTCACACCAAAGACCAGCCATGGTCTTAAGTCGGAGTTGGCGTGGTGTCAGTTGGGGACATCAGCACCCAGCAACTTATTGGTAGTCAATTGGTGGTTTAGGGAGGACATTGGGTGACCGCCCAAGATCTCCAAAAGCCGGGAGGGGGTAGGTCTACACCTGGGTTTCGTTCTCAACTTTGAAGGTGTCCGTTGGCTTATGAAAGAAATGTTGCCCAACCCCGGCATGTCCAAATGGTACGTTGGTGAGTGCGCCAGACCTCTACAGTAGTCTTGACCCTTGCTGATATGGCGTTGCTCTCCAAGTCGCGCATCAGGTTTCCGCGAGGGACTTGCTGTTGGAGCTTCTGCTGCCTGCAATGGCGATGTGAAGGCCCTTTCCAACAGGGGCCCCAAAAGGAATCCCAACGGGGGCTAATGGCCACCAATGAGGCCTATGAGGGGCGAATAGGGCCCAACCTGAACTGTCACCAGCCACCTGGCTAAACTATAACCCGGAATCTTGGCGGCCATGCGAACAAAAATGTTACTTTATGTTAAAGGGGACCCCTCCAAGGCCACAACTCGAGGTCTGGGACAAGGCTTCAATGATACAACTCACCTCATTGAGTGGAACCTTCATCACTGGAGGTCTTAGAAGCCTTCTTGTGTAGCACTTGCCATCCCAGAATATGCGTTGTGTATTTGAAATACACGAGCACACGTCTTTCTTCAGTTGGAAACAGCAGGCAAGTAATCCCGGTCAGTAACTTTTTCGAAACTAACAGACTAGCCGCTCATCATTTTGATCAACAAACACAACAGGGATCCTTACATTATACACCTGAACACTGCCTTGTAAATGGTGGTGTCCCTTTGTTTTGGTCGGAAAAGCCATGCTTCAAATGGGCGAAATGTATCTTTTAAGGGGCCCTGCACAATAATAACGTGTTTTTTTTTAAAGCCAACAATATTTTGGTAAACCGTGATCGTGGTGCAGATTCGGTTCCTTCACTCGTAAACTCTTCCTTGCTCTCCGGCTGCTGGACTTGAGGTTCAACTTCTCCCTTGGCCATTTGATCGATCCACTCGCTCATATGGTATGTACCCCAGGAAAACCAGTTTGATAACACCTAGAGATGCTGTCCCCGACTTCCAATGCTGTCTCATTGACGGCCTCTTCCTTCAGCACACAGCCAATCCCCCAAGTCTTGCCTGCACTTCCGGCCATCTTCTGCAAGGTCTGCCTCATTTTCCCCTTTCAACTCGTAGTTCCCACCCTCCATGAGGACATCTGTGCGGCTTCATCCCGTCGTGAGGAAGATCAGCTGAGGAAACCAAGAATCAAGAAAACAAACAAGCAAAATCAACAAACGAAACAAGCAAACACAAACAAACAAACACACAAACAAACAAACAAACAAACAAACAAACAATCAAACAATCAAACAAACAAACAAACAAACAAACAAACAAACAAACAAACAAACAAACAAACAAAACAAACAAACACGCACGCAAACACACAAACACAAAAACAAACACGCAAGCAAGCAAGCAAGCAAACAAACAAACAAACAAACAAACAAACAACCAAGCAAACAACCAAACAAACACACAAACAAAAACACGAACAACCAACCAACCAACCAACCAACCAACCAACCAACCAACCAACCAACCAACCAACCAACCAACCAACCAACCAACCAACCAACCAACCAACCAACCAACCAACCAACCAACCAACCAACCAACCAACCAACCAACCAACGCAAACCATCAACACAACCACACAAAATAATACCAGCAATCACTAGAAACAAAAAACTCTCCCCACCTCTCGTCGAAAAAAACAAAAACAAAAACAAAATGAAAAAACAACTCTTTCTGCGGCGCTGGCCTCACATCGCCTTGGCTCAAGGCCTCCGCATGCAGCAGCCTGCCAGCCTCAGGCCATTCGAGGTCGATCTGACACCTGAAGTGGCAATATCCTGAAGCTGAGGTGGGTCAAAACCGTTTTGGGATCCCATTTTGAAATGGGGTGCACCCATGTTAGGCTTTATTTGTGGGGATTGGGATGTTCACTGGGGGTACGATTTGGATTTTGACCCATGGCCACATGAAGGAATTTCAAAAGTAGGGGCCCGTATGGTGGTTGAATTACACAGGCCACTGTGAAACTCATTCGAACGCTTGCATCAGCCACCAACTGGTTGCGGGATTTAGTCCACCTACAGTTCCGCCTGCAGCTGGTTGGGATCAACCTGCAAGATCCTGCTAGAGTCTTCCCTATTCCCCGGATTTCGCCCCATTTTCATCCATCCAGGCGTTTTGGGCATAGGCATTTGTCCTTAAGCAACTGACTTGAACGTAAGCATCGATCAGTTGGTGGGAGCTCTCTGTTTTCATGTCAGACAGACTTGAGGAATTGGCCTCCCTGGAGAAATCAAGCCAAAGCAACGAAAGGATGTCAAGTTCATCCAAAACAACCACCGACCGATCTTCAACAAAAACAACCTGAACCGCGAGTGCTTCAACACCATTGTTTGGGCGTGTCTGTAAGCCTACTGGCTCAATCCAAGAACCTCAAACGGTTATGCTTTATTTTTGCCGCTATCTGCCACCAAACCAAACATGTAAATAAACTAATCCAAAAGAATATCTCTCCCAAACGAACAAATTAGCCGCCACCCCCCTTTGGTTTCCCTTTACAACATTGGATCTCTTAAATGCCATGGCGCCGCCTGCAGAAATTGAAAGCTCGGTTTTAGAAAGTAGCAAAAGTGCAACGGCTCCTCAAACAACGGCGTGTCTCGCTTGTCCTTAGAAAACACTCATGTGATCAGGGGCAACGGCTCAGAAACCGGATGCCAAACTCAATGCAGCCTGGACACGGCTGACATTTCTGTTTAAGTGGTTGGGAAGCAAAGGTTGTTTGGCTGAGCATCGGCATGGGGCATCTGTCTTTGGAAGACATCTTTAGGGAGCAAAAAAATGACCCCTGGTGGCACACCACTCGGCCTGAAAAAAAACAAAGGTGACACTGCAACCCATCAGGTCCATTGAAGCAGACAGATTTTGCAAAGTTTTGGCACCGCTGAAGCCCAAGCCAAGTTGGAAGTGGTTTCTGCCGATTGGTTTCGGGGCCCAAACAAATTGGAGTCGGAAAGAACCGAAGGATGCTGCCAGAACAGAACACAGCTTTCCGGTTCTTGCCTGTGGATAAAACCAAAGCGGCCTTACAAATTCTTCATTTGAGGGTGGAACCTTTTTGGGGTCCCGGAACCTTTGGTGGACATTTGTGTGGGGTATGTCCAACCACTTGTTTGAGGGGATAGCCACTTGTTTTGGGGGAAGGTTCCAGGGTACCCTCATTGCCAGCCTTCATCCCTGGCAGAAAAGGCATGCTAACACCTCCAGAAAAAGATAAAACAACGCAGGTACCAACCGCAGGTTTCTGCAACCGTCATCTAAATGTCAACGTTGTGATTCCTTGGCTTTGGACAATCGCAGACCTCCGATAAGATTCCATGTGTTTGCCAGTAGATATATTATAGTCTTAAAGCATGCAGAAAGAAGAAGAACAAAGCTCCACTGAAGCTTTGGGTTGTATGATATATCTCCCCGCAAAACGGAACCACATTCCAATGCCAACTTCTTGGGAGCTGATTTCAATAGGGAATCCGTATTCCACACACGCTGAACACGTGGAATTTTTCCCAGGGAAACCCACCAAAGAAACTGCTGACATCCGAGACCCCCCGGCTTTCTCGGTGAGATCCTCCGCAGCCTGACGAGAAACCAACCGGCCAGTCCGTGCAATGTCCGCGTGGAGGGCAAAGGGCAGAGGCAAAAGGCCCCTCCTTACCCAAAAGGGTGCCAATCCCAAGAGTTTGTCCAGGGCGAATTCTCATCATTTTAGGGTTCCGGAGAAATGACACAAAATGTCCTTCAGGGGAATGAACAACTGTGGCTGGACTTGCACGTGATGGAGGTGCGGATGTTTGGCATGCAAGATGCTTGTGGTGTGCTCGCCTGATGATTCTCATGGCAACTTCTCAATCTTTGGGTCAGGGATCCTTGTTTCCAGATCACCAAAAACCGGGGGAAAGCGCTTTGCCAAATGGACCATGCTTGACACACCTCTTGAATCATACATTCCGCCCTAGGCAACGTATGGCAAGGCACCCAGGCCCTTGCCCCCAAGGGAAGCAGAAACTTCCCACAGCCACACCCCGGTTCCCCAAAATAAGACCCTGAGACCTCGTAAAGAACAGACCCCAAAGGACGCCTTCAGGCCAGGTGCCTCATGCAACGCCCCAAACAAGGCGCAAGTCTTAGTTGTTGAGTGACCAGATCTCCGAACAAGGCTTGGCCCGAATCTGGTGTATGTGCAAATGTACAACACAACACATTGTCAGATTATGGTCTGTCTTTAGTCTTCGCCTAAATCAAATAATTATTGAAGGGGTTCTTAGGGCTTGGCCCACAGGGTCACGCAGAAAACCATGCTGAGATTCAGGCTTTGTCTCATTTTTTGTCTACCCTGAAATACAACATAATTTGGACACAATAGGCTGTTAAAGTCGACCCTACCAACTTTTACTCCACGCCAATTTTGGACGACCCTAAAATATTGGCGTCTCTTTTTGTGGTTGGTTCAAAGCGAAACCAAAGGAACCACTAAGTTTCGTGGTCCCCTTCAAAAACCAAGCCGCACCAATCAAAACTCGGGTCCCCTTGACAAAAAGAACACGTCCATGGAACCATTAATTTCATGGTCCCCGAAGCACCAATCTAAACTCGGGTCTGGAAAACGAACACACCCATCTCAGCTCGTTTTGATTTGGCGACCCCCCAAGGCTCGACCTCCCTGCCTCTCGCAGGCCCTCCGCGGCAGCGCCCAGGCGCGCCGCAATGGGGCGCACCGGGTCCAGCGCAGTGAGCGCTCCTCGTGAAACCGGATGCTCGCCCCAAGGGATGCTCCAGTGAGGTGAGAATCAGTGGGTATTTGTTTTTCAGGAGGTCTAGTTTAGTAGGGGAGCCCTCCCAACCAAAAAGGGGGAGAGAAGGGCACCAAAAGGGACCTAGCCAATTTTTGGGCCAAAAAGGCGATGTATTGAAACCACCAAAAAGAAGAGGGAAAGTTTTTGGAATCGACCCCTGTCCAAGGTGGCCCGGACTTCCTTATATTTGGTTGGCTTCCAAGGGTTGACCCACCCAACAGTACCAGGCGTGTGGTGTTCCTTGCGTTTGCTTCCGTCGGCCAAACAAATATCCACAGGTTTTGCTGACCAACGTGTCCAGGCCCAATAAATGACTGAGTGCTTCTACATCTGAAGCGTTCTATAAGCCTTTTTCTTGCACCAATTCAAGCTGAAAACGGACAGTATGGATTCTGAGCGCTGCTAGCAAGAGCGAAAGCCAAGTCCGTCCAGCGGGTGAACCACAGGGCGCGTTGTCACTGTCAATCCGCAGACTAACAGTGCGCAGATGCTCAAGAATAGATTCAGAGTTCCTTTTTGATCGTCAATAAGCCCTTGCCAGATGGCAAGCGATCTGCGTAGAACAGAAAGCTATCGATCCAGTCGTAGCCCAAGACATAGAAAAGCCTGAAGCCCTGCGACAGCTGAGCTGTCTGAGTTGTAGATTCTTCTGATCCCATCTTCAAAACCCGCTCAATAAACTTCCCTGGGGTTGAACATGGGAGCAAGCACCGTCAGCTTTAGCCATTCCAGCCCAAACGCTGAACAATAACTAAAGATCATAGATCTGGTCCTCCAACAACTGGTTTGCGAGTGTGCGTTTAGCAACCCCAAAGTACAGTCGAAAGAACAACACATCTCATCAGGAGTTGAACATGAAAGCAAACACATTTCTCTGATAACCAAAGTGGTTGATTCCCAACACATCGAACAGCCACACGATCCAAGCACCACTGCAACAAGCACCGCCCTTCCTCCCAGCCAGATTTAGACCCCTGCAAAGAGCCCAGCGGAAGCGGAATCAAAAGGAAGGTAAGCCATAGACGTGCAGTCTTCTGGTCTACCTCCAGTAGAGAGGTTAGAATAAGGGTACCAACTTTTTTCTGCAGTCGATTGTAGTAGGGGAACCCTCCCCCAAAAAAGAAATGGTAAAAGGGCACTACTGGACTACCGGGGGACCTACTAGTTTTAAGGTGGCGTTCTCGGAAATCTGTCATTGTGGGAAAGCCGCGAGCTTTGAGACGTACACAGAAAAACCCTTGGGTTGGCCTTTGCTGCCAAACAAACAAGAAGCTCGACTCTTGGTGAACTGGGATTTCCCGGATTGTAGGTCAGCCACCTTCTGGATGGGCCTCGCCTCTTTTGGGAGAACTTCACAAGGGCACATCTGGACTTGAGCCAAACTCACCAGTTGGCCAACACATCTTGGGGCAGATAGCATAGCAAAACTGACTTGGCACATGTCCAAAGGCCAGTTGGCCAGGTCTCGTCAAGGCCAACCCGACTGGTAGTCCAAGAGCTCACAGGATCAGCAAGTCAAAAAGGGCCACTGCTACTCAGTTCTTCAGTGACCCTGGAAAAAAGGGAACCCTTTTTGGGGCTTGGCCCATTTTTAGTGGGGCAGCCACAAAAAAAAGGGGGAAACTAATTGGTGCCACTGAACAACTGAGACTATTTCCTGGCTTTAACATACTAACGACGGTTCAGAACAACCCAAGGCCGTCTTTGAACTCAGACCAGTGAGAGCGCATGTACAAAGTCCTATTCTTCGTTTCACTTTTGTCCCCAACATCACCAACCATTAAATCCCCGGTGCATGACCCCTCCAATGCAAACCTGTCCACGCCCTCCAATACAGAAACCCAAATGGTCACAACCCATTCTGAGGGCTAAAGAATTGGGAGCCTTAGCCTGATTCAAACACTGGCGCTTTAAACATCTATACTTTTGATAATTGTTTAGCTTGCTTCCAGCCACCACTATCACAAAACAAAGACAGCCAACACAAACACCCAAGCTCTAAAAAACTCTGTCAGACACGCGGTTGCACAATGTACCCGAAGAAGTGCACCGGCAAATCCCATCAATGTGCATCCACATGTCGCGCGCTCGCGGAGAAAAACCCGGCCGGTCCTTGCATGTAGCCTCGCGCAGCAAACGAGTCGAAGGCGGGTCCGTGCATGGCAGCAATTTTTCGCCGTACCCACAGAAAGCACAGCTGAAGTGTAAACCAGCTGCTGGACATTGAAAGACCCGCCAAGAGGAAGCCAAGCATCTTGGGGGTTTCCCTAGTTTGAGAAACCCACATTTGAGCCACAATCCAAACCCAGTACTAAAATGGTCCAAGCCCAGAACCATGCTTCAGGAAGTAAGAAGGTGGCCGCAGCTCTTTCTGGTTGGGATTGTCCTTCATCTACCCGCGGTTTGATTGTGGCTCAATTGAAGTGTACACCAGCTGCTGGAGATCTGGGGCGCCCAAATCAAAGTTGGTAAACATGGACAAAGCACAAAGCAGGGAGCCATGGATCCACAAAGGGCATTTTTTGAATTCCCAGGCGCTGAATTCACCTTCTCGGGGCCCCAGTGTTTTTTGGTATGGGCTCTTTGTCGGCGGGGAATCCAACAAAAACAATCGGAGAATGCCGAGGATGGCAGGTGCCAGAAAGAAAAACCGGCTGAAGAAACAGGCGCCTTGAGAGGCTTCTGTGGAAGTTCTGAGGTTGGGAAGAATGACATGGGTTTGTCTCAACATAGGGAAAACTCCAGAATGGGAAGGTTTCTTCTTGGTTTTCCTTCAAAACCATCCAACAAGGATACCCTGAAAAGGACATACCCAAATTGATTGACCGCTGGGTCAGGCCGCTCTCGGCTTTGTGGGATACTTGGGCTGACTTTTACAAAAGGATGAACGGGTCAGAGGGACGACCCCTACCTGGAAATGCAAATCCAGGACTCAAGGGCAATCGGATTTAACTTGCTGGTGCAATAAGCAGGGAATGAGAATTGGAACGACCCGTATAAACCATCCAACTGGTGGCTTCCATTCCGTTGGAATCCCAAGCGGTTCGTTTCCAGCACCCGGACTCGTTGTCATTCCTTGAGAACCAGCAAATGGTTAACCGGAAGATTCGCTTTCGGCAAATGTGGAGATGGACACGGGGGGCCGTCAATGCATATCGGGACCCCTGAAAATTTATCAGAGATTGGGAATCTCCCGTCCCTTGGGACCCCAAAACGTCATGATGCCCCTGGTCGGCACCATTTTGCTGTTCAACAAAACACGTCCGTTTCGAAAGAGCCCAGTTCCTGCAACACAACATGTTTACCACTGGGTTTGTGCTTTTGCTGAATTCTTGCGGGGAAAGAGTCCGGGAACACCTGAGAGCGTATGTCTCCAACAAGGTCCTACAAGGGCCACGGCAACAACTCAAGACTGACATGTGGGCGACTTTGGCTGGTTTCTATTGATGTGTCCTGCAAACCTTCTAAAGTGAATCCGAAATTCATCAACCCTTTCGGGAATTCAGGGTACTTGGTGGCTATGCCTCCTGCACTTTTACAGGAAACTCCTAAAAGGGAGTCTTTCCCCCAAGAGCGATCCCTTCAAACAAAGGGGAGTTTTTCTCTGGTCAGTCGTCAAATCCTCTCCGGCCAACGGTTGCACCAACTTCACAAGAACCGAAACACGTGAGGTCGGGGATTGAGTGGCCCAGCGTAAAGAGGACGCCCCACTAAGGCCCCTGTCTTGGGCCTTTTCTTTGGTCAAAGTAGATGCTGGACTTTCTTTACTGCTACATTTGCTACAATGAGGTTATCATTCGTTGGTGATTTTGGATTGCTTTGAACTGGAATGGGGTGCTATGCACCTTCAACAATATGCTATGCATTTTGCAAGTTGCTAGTGATCTTCACGAGCTCACTCCCTGTTGCAACCTACATGATATATGTTATTTTTGGAGGGCGCCCTGTTTGGGGTGGTGTTAAATGGAAATCAAAGGAATATACCAATTTTACAGCAAGGATGCCCTACTTTAAGAGGCACCAACGGCACAAACTGGTGTGATTCCTCCTACTGCACGAAGCCAAACGGAGATGCATCATTGGTGACAATTATTTTTTTCTGATCTCGTGTTTGAGCCAGCACTATCTGCATCGGCGTTTTATCAAGTTGATACGGGGTCGGTAGGCGAGTATTGAGGCGAGCATGTAGGTCATTAACTCAAAGCCAACAAGCGGAAAAGTGTGTTCGCAGTTTCCACTGGCCACAAGAAGTAATTGACCAGTAGAGGTAGCCAGGGGTTCAGCCCAACCTACCGGGCGGGGTGGACTTGGGATCATTTCAGCTTCCATCCAACTGGTGGTTTGGTGAAGGGATGGTTTCCCATTTACCCTCTACAAGGAGATTCAATTCCAACAGCATCACTTCCTGAGCTGATGGTTCAAACGAAGTCCTAACGTTCTTGTGCCACTCAAACGGCCCAAACCCAAAAGGTGACTAAAGTCCGAAACGGAACTCAGGAATTGAGTAGCACTCCCTCGCATGGTTTCGCCCCACAAGCGGCACGCATTTGCGTTTGCAAGACTCGGCGTCCCGCCGGAGGTACGGCTGCACAGCCGCGCCATCACCCGCAGTGTCTGCCCGTGCTCCTTACCGGTTTTGGACTACACCCAGGTATCGGGTGTGGGTCAAAAAAAAAGCACCAGGGGCCGGTGGGACTCCCCAAACCAAGCCTACCTATTTGGGCCCGGGTCAACACAAATACACCAGGGGCCGGTGGTTTGAGTCCTTGCCATTTCCTCGAGCAACCAACTGATTTTGGGATTACCCTATTTTTGACCCACACCCATTTGAAGACCAAAGGAACAAGCAAATGCAAGTAAACTTTAGGGGATTAACTAAAAATCCAACCCACCCTTTTAGAGGAATACGGTGTTTTAGAAACCAGTCAGGTTGCATGTCAGAAGGATATGACTTGGCCAAACAAGTGGAGCCCCTGCCAGAAACTGACACAGTTCAACTTGATGCTGGTTAAAGACATACAGCATGCAGGGAAACTGCAGGGAAACAGCAACGGGGTCCGTGAAGTCTGGCAAATGATATGATTTGGTCCACACTTGTTTTTTTCTCCTCGAAATGGAAGATCCCTTTTTGGATAGCTTGGAAACCAAAAGTCATCACATTGCGGGAGGGGTCTAGTTGAGAAACACCCATGTAACCTGGGAGATACAATCCATGTAGTTGACCGGCCATCTTCGCCAGCTTGGCTTTCAAAGTATCGCTCCCTTGGAGAGCTGCCGTATACTCGCAATGGACAGCTCAAAACTTCACAACACGAAAAAGGAGATCATCGGCAGAGTTCAGATTGTGTACTGTTTCTTAAACAAAACATGAATAAAATCAACAAAAAACACATGATAAAAACGTCTGATCCACATATTTCAGATTTGGTGTTCTTTTTTTTCTAAAACGAAGCAAGCCGCATGTCCCCAGAGGGTCACCGGTGACTTAGACCAACACCCCGCCGATCCCATCGTCTCCTCCACGGCGCTGGTGGACACAGCGGCGCTCTGCATCTCCGCGGTGCTCCTCGCGGCTCCGTAGGCGAGGTCTGGGTCACCACTGGCCTCATATCTATCCTGGACAAATAGGGCTCCCTACATTTCCCCTCAAAACATCACCCCCGCCAAGGGATACCCACCTTTCATGGGCCAAAAAGGTGATGTTTAAAACAACCAAAAAGGGAAATGTAGGGACCCCTGACAAATATGTGTTAAAGAAAGCCCTCCAAAACCAATGGTCATAGGCTGAACTCGAACCCCGGGTATGACCCCCCCCAATATTGGCTAATCAACTACTAGTTCACAATTACAAAAAGACTCCATCCAAAAAATAATCTGGACAACTATGGCCATGGGTGAAAATCCAAATCGTACCCCCGTGAACATCCTGATCCCCACTAAAATAGGTTCTAAAACGGGTGGTGCACCTACCCCAAAATGGTACCATTGGTTTTGACCCACAGCCATATCTATCCCTGGTCCATGTCTCTGCCAATGGTACAAATGATGGGCCATGTCCTTGGATGCCCCCTGGGTTGCTATGGCTCCCCTAGCTACCCTGACTCAACTCACATTGGCCTTGGCAGAAGATGATGTTTCTAGCCACCCTCTTTCAAGGGACCACGCGCCGCTGTTGCTTGATCACCGTGCATGAGGCAAAGCAAGCTGAAACTGCTTCGCTGCATTTTGATGTGAGACCGCCAAACCCGTGGCCTAGGGCCACTTGAATCACCTAAGGTACCAATTCACCCAGTTCTTGAAAAGTAGCCGGTATCAAGGGACCGCTGGGTGCACACACCTTCCTTCTAAAATGGCCACTGGGGGATTCTGGCGCTCACGTGTCGAAGTCCTGACCACGATGCCGGTGAGCCAGCGCAGGAAGGCGGTGAACCTCCCACCGAGAACTTGGGAGCCTCTCCAAATTCAATATATACTTACCTTCGCGGTTCGTTGATCCTTTGGTAAACGCTAAAGTGTTAATGCATGCCCCTAAAAACGCTAAGCATCTAAAAGTCTGTCCGAGTTTTGAGAAACTACTTGTACCAACGTGAGACAAGCCAATGTCTACTTCAGTAAAAAGGGAACCCGTGGGCATCACCAAAAGCGGCCTAAAAACTGAGTGGTCCACAACCATCTGGGCGAAGTGCTAAAATTCACAAATCGGAAACAAGGAAACCCAAGTTATGGGGCCTTCATCATGCCGAGCTCGGCTATAAATTGCCCAAATGTTTGAGTGTTCGGATTCGCGTGTTTGTTGGGGGCCACTTTCGCACTTTTCATGTGTGAAAGGACCTAAATTACTCTGAAGTAGCTGCTCAACAACCGGGTCCCAATGAAAACTCACACTTGAATGCTCGGCCATGTTGGCAAGTGGATTGCTAGGTACACCCAGGTTATAACCCACATATAAGTTTCCCAAAGAAGAATTGCCCCTGCTGCTGGCTGGCTGGCCCAACACCCAAGTAGGCGCCCGAAAGCCGTGTTTGAAGACGGGGTGTTGGAGTGAGCTCAGGTTCTTGTAGTGGTTGGGTGCCCTGGTATGCAACTGCAAAGCAACGCTCTGCAGTCTGACTTTGATGATCCAGGAAAGAAGTGACTTTTTTTTTGGGCCTGGGCAACAGGTTTCAAGTTTGCTCTCTCAGCAAGCAAAGTAATATATGGATGAATTCTCAAAACAGCTTTTCTTGGTTAGTGATTTCAAGGGAAGCCACATGGAAACACAAAACCTTTCATTTGCAAAATATGGAGAGACACCAGGACAGACAGGGCAATGACCCGGGCAATTACCACTGTTGATCGTTTACAAATAACGCCAGAACGTGGGTGTGCCTTTTTGATGGTTGAGGGGAAAGCGTCCCTTCTGTGGTTGCGTTTTGCATGCGTTTCCAGCTGAAATGTTTGGACACACCACAGCCATGTGGGCTTGTTTTCAACAAAGGGATCCCAACAAACCTTGGTGTCCTTGTGTTTCCCCATTAAACCGAGCCCGAATGGGGTATTTGATGGTAGTTGCTTCGACTCAAAGCAACCCCGTGTTGCTTTCACGCAAATCAAGATACAGTCCAACTAGTGTTAAAGCAACAAACAACACTTGAGGAATGAAACTTTCGGAAGGGCTGCTGGTTGGCTCATGGGCATTTTAGTGCCTGATAGTGGTTAAGCTCTTTGGAATCTGGGTACAGTTGGGTGAAAGCAGATGGCACAATTCCCGCATTTTTTCGGCTTCGCCAGCTCTTCCAGGTTTCAGCTCGTTCCAGCTTCCGAAGCCCACGATGGCGGCAGCTCCCGCCTTTCCAAGCTGCTGCTCACAGCCCACTCTCCCTGCTGCCTGGCCGACGAGGGCGAGCAACCCTGCATTGCTGGGTGTTCAGATCGGGGCTCTGAAAAAAAAGAAGATAGCCATGCCCCTTTTGGCTTCGTTTTGCGGAAATTTACAAGGATGGCCGATTTAGCACCCAGCTTGTCGCCAGAACCTCAATGAGGGTATCCCAAGTAAGGGTCTACATCATGGTGAGCTCGCTTTAATTCCAGGTAAGATTGGCGTCAAAACAAAAAGAAACACCAGTGCAAGGGTTTGAACCGAGCGGTGCCAGGTTCCAGGACGTCTGCACCTTTATTTTCCAGATCTAAAAGGCCAAGTTTGCTAGGAATGTGATTTAGACATGGAGATAACAGGGAAAACTACATCTCCCGCTGGACATGCAGAACGCTGTGTAAAGAAGCTCCTTCAGCAGCAGTGAATCGATGCCATTCGGGCCATTCGCGGCATTCGTGGTGCCGGTCGGCAGATCTCCACTAACCGGGGGCAGAACTTTCAATTTGGAAAGCCCTGCTGAACGTGAACCCCTGGTACGGCCCCCCCCCCCACAATATTGGCTACTCAACCACTAGTTAACAATTACAAAGAACCCCCCCCCAATATTGGCAAATCAACTACAACTTGACGGAACAAAAAGAGACTCCCTCCAAAAAAGAAATTGAACACATACCCAGGGAATCCAAAGACATGAGTAAACAGCGTTTCATACGTCTTTAGCGAGTAAACATGGTCTTGGGAAATTTCACGCTCATTCACGCTGCTCACGTGTTCACCTCTTGTTCTGCCACTGCACAGTCAGGCATCACCACCGCATTTTGCGCCAGATTGGTATTGATATTGTGTGCACAATTTTCATTGTTCGATAAGATAGCGCTAGGCGCACGTGTAGTCTAGTGTTGGAGCTAGGCGTTTATCAGGCACCACGCCAGGATCATCCATTGGCTGGCTGGACACACCACAATTTACACTTCAGGGCTTGCACGAGCACCGTGCTGAGAAGTAGACCGAGATTGCCATGCACATTACACACAGGAAGAATCCAATCTACAATGCGCACATGCTAATTGTGTGGAAACATTGCGGCCAAATTTTGCAGGCCCAAGGATCTAGTCCGAGCCACATAGCTGGGCAAACGGCTTTGTAGCCATGTAATTGTTGCAGACCGAACCAGCAGGTTGTGGCATTTGGATCCGGGGGGGGGGGGAATTCACGTTTTTTTCACGGGTAAACTCCGTCTTTCACGGGTAAACTCCGTCGTTCACGCAAAATTCACGGTTGGCTCACGGTCCCCGATTTGTCAACGATATTGGTGAAGCATACAAATATAAACCGATACTGTCTGCGATTCCCATACAGCACAGCTAGCCTGAAAGCATCCAATTACCACCTCCTAGACGGTAGCCCTGCCCATGGCACAACCCAAGACAAGCTGTTGCGCAGTGCTGCCACGAGTGTGTTGTTGTGCGTGTGACTTCTTGTATGCTGATGCCATCGCGTGAGTCACGCAGCGCAGCAGCGAAATACTTGCATGTGGCCAAGGTAATCTTGATCCATGGGGTCCATATCCATGCATGCTGCATAGCTAGCATGAAGGCTTAACTTGTCACATGCGTGGAAAATATGCCATACATGACTGCAATGTACATTGTTTGGCATGCAGGCATGCACGTTGCATCACCGGACCTTTGATGGTGCTTTCAGTTCTTGGGCCCAGTCAACAAATACCCCATTCACGGGCCATTCACGGGTAAACACCGTCTTTTGGGTTAAACACCGTCTTTCTGTAAAGACATAGTTTACTAGCGACTTGGAAGTACTGGGCATATGTGTTAAAGGGCGCTCCCCATCGCTCCCCTGGTCAGCCCGAAACGACCAACAGCGCCGCGCCGGTGCTCCGAGCCACCGTTTGCCCCGCCTCACCGTCCACTCGGGCGCCGCTTGCAGCAACTCACCCAGCTCCGCAGCCCAGGCCTCCGCGCGCGAGACGGACAACCAAAGGCCTGGGCAGCGAAACGTGAGAAGGGGCCAAGAACTGCGAAACGTGAGAAGACTGAGATTCCTCCAGGGAAGCCATATCCTCAGTCTCTTGTTTGGCTCTCCTCATGTGGTGGGTTTCTTGACTTGTTGCCCCTCCTGTTCTGACACATTCCCCAGTGCCCCATTGGTTTGTCCGAGGTTTTTGTAGGAGACTTGCGCTGTCCCTTCTCGTCCTCCCCAAAAGTCGCGGAAGCAACATCCATTTTTTTTGAGGATACAAAAACTGGCGGGACCCCTTAGGAGTACATTTGCACTACCATTTTTAGAGATACCCAGTTGTCCAGTGAGGGTTGATTCTGAGACCAAAAGGGGCCTTTCGCCTGAAGAAACTTTTGTTGACACCACATGCGGAGAGCCAAACAATCGGAGATGACTGAGGATATGGCTTCCCTGGAGGAACCTCGGCCCCCTTCTCACTTTCAAGAAGTGATTGGCCAATGGCTTCGCTGGAGTGCTTCGACCCCTACTGGAGCCATTGTGGTACACCAAACATAGTGTGCTCACCTTCATCATGATTTCGCGCTCCATTCCTTTTGGAGGAGACCCTGCCTCTACTCCCCTGTTTTGCGTTTTTTGGTGCTTCAACAATCCACACCTTGTAGGTGTCTTCTTTCAGGGTTCCCTTTTTTGCCATACTTTCAAAGGAACACTATCGATTAAAAACAAAAAAGCACAGACCCATACGGTCGATGCCCTAAATATTGCAAGTAGGGAACAAGGGAAAGCCTGAAAATTCCCCAGGGTTTCTGTTTGGTTTACTTGCAATTTAGGGCATCCACCGCAACAAGTCACCCCCTTGTCATTGACTTGGGACCCAGCGGCTCCCCCCCAGGCGACCCCAAAAGCGAGCGACCTCCGCAGCCACCAGCACGGCGCCCCGCTGGGCGCTGGCCGCAAAAGGCTCCGGCGCCAGGTGCGCCTGGCGCGCGCGTGCTCGTGGCTTTGGGTTCACTGCGGGTTAACCGCCGACGCCCCGGGGCCCAGAAATCTGCGTTTTGTCGGTTTCTGGAAAGGAAGGGGAAAATACGTCCAGCGGTAGATGCCATCCAAAATTTCAAACCAAGGGACAATAAGATCATACTCTGAAGCAAATGGATCCAAGGGTTGGTACTTCAGGGTGAAGCCGGCGGGAAAAACGCAGTGGTTGAAGACGGACACAACACCCCCACAACCCCCCCCTTCCCCGGGGGGCCGCCTCACAGCGCCAGGAGGGCTCAAGGCCTTTGAGCAGGTCCCGGACCTGAGCCGAACGGAGGATGTCTTGTCTTTCTTTTTAGTTCCCATTGAGGATGTCGTTTCCCTTTTTTGTCTGTCTTTTGTTGTTTCCTCTTTTTTTGGGGGGGACCCATTCAGGATGTCTTTTGTCTTTTCTCTTTTTTCGGGGGGGACCCATTCAGGATGTCTTTTGTCTGTTCCTTCTTTCTTTTTTTTTTGGGGGGGGGGGGGGACCCATTCAGGATGTCTTTTGTCTTTTCTCTTTTTTCGGGGGGGACCCATTCAGGATGTCTTTTGTCTGTTCCTCTTTTTTTTTTTTTGGGGGGGGGGGGGGTACCCATTCAGGATGGCGTTTGTCTTTTCTCTTTTTGGGGGGACCCATTCAGGATGTCTTTCGTCTTTTGGTTCTTTTTTTGTTGGGGGGGGGGGGGTACCCATTCAGGATGTATTTTGTCTTTTCTCTTTTTTTTTTTTGGGGGGGGGGGTACCCATTCAGGATGTATTTTGTCTTTTCTCTTTTTTCGGGGGACCCATTCAGGATGTCTTTTGTCTTTTCCTTCTTCTTTTTTTTTTTTTTTTTTTTGGGGGGGGGGTACCCATTCAGGATGTCTTTTGTCTTTTCTCTTTTTCTTGGGGGGACCCATTCAGGATGTATTTTGTCATTTCCTTCTTTTTTTGGGGGGAGGGGGTACCCATTGAGGATGTCTTTTGTCTTTTCACTTCTTTTTGGGGGGGGAGGGGGTACCCATTCAGGATGTCTTTTGTCTTTTCACTTGTTTTTTTTTTGGGGGGGGGACGGGGTACCCATTGAGGATGTCTGCTCTTTGGATTTTTTTTGGGGGGGTGTACCCATTGAGGATGTGATTTTTTTTGCGGGGGGGGAGTTGAAAAGAGGTTGGAGTACATCCACATGTTCTTGTAAGGTTCTTCCTCCAACTACTAAGAAGCTTGGATCTCAGAAAGGACTTTCTTGAGGTCCAAGCCCTTCCAATGCAGATCCAAACTCCTTCAATAGAGGGTCCCTTCTACTTCTGAACTTAAAATATTTGTTTGTAAGGACAAGTCCCAGGGACAGCATCTAAGTTCCACTGCTCCTGACAAACCTCCAAACATGCCGGCTGCGCCATTCCAGGCGCAGTCTTTGGCAAGCTGTCTGGCAAGTCCTGACGGAACAGCTGGGAGAACCGGAAAACCCCGGACCGCCTTACCCGCAAAAAACATATGTCAACATAAGCCTAGGCGGTCTTCTTTCATGAAACTCACGGTAGGTGGAATATTTACCCTCCCCTCCAAAAGCATAAGGAGGCTCCAAGTACCCTAGCATGGCTTGGGAGACATCCCAGGGTAAGTGGGTGAAGCACTTCTAAGACTTGGAAACCAACCATGTGCCAGTAGACATGGAAGAACCATGTTAACCTCGGATTTATCAATCGTGGTGAATGCGCTGGTGTGTGTGTGTGTGTGTGTGTGTGTGTGTGTGTGTGTGTGTGTGTTGCCCCCGCAAGGTAAAAGATCCCCTCGAGCTAGCATACCTATTCACTGCTGCCCCCCCCCCCAAAGTAAAAGATCCCATCAAAACTGACAACCCCGCTATTCATCACTGTCCGGGGGTGCCATTCCGCTCCGTCCTTGGTCTCGGGTAAGGAAGTGCCCGCTTGCGCCGCATCTCCGGGCAATAGCCTGCAGGCGTGGAACCAATTTTCTGGGACCCACTGAAAGGATTTCCGTCGAATCGTGTAGCCCAAAGAAGTTGTCACTGTCACTTAACCCTTTGATAGTCTTTGGGGGGAGTGGACCAAGAATCGACCAAGATGGTCTTCCAAAAAAGAATAGTTAAGAAAACTTGGCAAGTGAGAAGTCGAAAGGTAAAAAATAAAATAACAAACTAGCGGTCACTTCCCTATTCTTTCCAAGTATCCTTGCTACACACCAAAAAACGTACGGGAAAGCGCTGATTGTTGAAAAAACAGTGGTTGACCAGAATTAGGGCGATAGTGTGGGCGGGGTCAAGACACCCCCGAGCCTTATCATATGCTCATACTCAAGTTTATAAACATCTACAGTAATTATGATGCGTTTACCTTCTTCCCAACTATCATGGAAGTGGACAGGGGGGCGTTCAAAGCAACGCCGCCCGAGGGCGCAGTCCACAAGCGAAGGACCCCTGAAATGGGACGACCAATGGTCTAAGCTGGGAGGGAAGGGTTTAGGCGCCTTTTTGAGTTTGGTGGCACCCCCCTGTTGGGGTCCCAGAGTGTTTTTTCTAAGCAAAACCGAGCCAAAGGGGATCCAAAAGAAAACCCAAAAGGGCGAAAATATCAGTTGCGAAGCATTCCACGAGTTACTTGGAAAAGTGGCCCGAGCTGAACCGCGAAACCCCTACGCTGAGTCGGGGGGTACACGTTCTGCGGGGGAGTAGTCCACCGGTCCCGGTAATTCTAGCAGAGAACAAAGGGCACAATGCTTGACACACCAAAAGGAAAATGGCTGGTTACGCTTTTTGGCTGCGATGGCTGCCCAAGCGAGTCGGCTCTGAATACTAGTCCCCCTCCCGCCTCGCCGGTGAGTTATGCGGCAACCTGGACGACCAAAACCGTCTGGGCCACAAGCATCCGACTCCGCGCCACCCAAACAAATCGCACCAGTCCCTGCCACCTCAATGGCGCTACCCTTCCCACCGGCAGAATGGGTGCGCCGTGTTTCAGGAACCCCCCACGTTGTGGTTGGTTTTAAGACGGAGCCAACGGAAAACCCAAGCCATTGTTTTGGGGGTAGCCCATTGCAAGAAACAAACCCACATGGAGGATCAACTACCTCTTGAAGGATCTTGCAGGGACCCCTGTCAGGTACCAGGTTGGGAGGCAAGATATATGCCCTTGACCTGCCCCTGTGTCGGAAGGGTACGTGTCCTGTCTATGCTGAATGCTGCTTTTAAAAGACTACTATCACCGCGCCCCCCGTACTTTGTCGAAGAGAACAAATTCAAGGAGTCAACCATTGGAATTCTAGGACCCAACTAGGAGCACGACTAGACCAAGCACCTAGGTGAGGCTCATTCGCCTTGCTTGCTTCTCACCTCAGGCCTGCCATGTCGAAGGGAAAGTGGGATGATGAATACGCAGCCACACAAGGGTCTCTTGCCAACATTTTTCCTTGGGACGAGTGAAAACTCTATTTGAGTAATGCGTAGCCGCACCCTCAACACCAGGAACCCAAACAGATTCTGCCAAAGACACCCCCATGGACTTGTTCAGAGATTAATAAGCCTAGGCCAAAGGAGGAAATGAGAGGCCTTGCCAACCAAGTGCTTATACATAACTGCACCGTCCTCAGATCCCCAGCTAAAAGTTTAACTTTTTGCGGGTTAAATGGAACTTGCCCTCAGATCCCCTGCTAAAAGTTTGACTTTTAGTGGGTTAAACCCCCACTAAATCCTAAGCTCAAAAAGCTACGGGGATGGCTGGGAGCCACCAAGACAATCCTCCATTTGATCACCAAGAGAAAACAAGAACAGGAAATCGCATAAAAAGAGCTTTTCATGGATGCGGACCAGGACCCTCCCTATATGCATCACGCACTTCCGTGGATGGGCCGAAAACGTTTTGTCCGATCTCTTTGCCATACCGATGCAGTCCAATTAGTGCAGAAGGCCCTGCAACATCCGGCAGTGAGGTCCACCAGCGAGGCCTACTTTCCCAGTTGGGGGTGAACTTCATGCGCTCAAACAAACCCTTTGCTGGAGATCTGGTCCGCCTCTCCAAATTCATGTGGATTTGTCTCCAACAGGGGGAACCCCTGAAGCCAAAGCTTCTCTTTGGGTTTGGATATGGGGGTCCATCAAAAGGTCCATGACCATGTCAGAAACTCCCGAGAAAAGAAGGAGAACAAGTTGATATCATCCACCGATGGGATCAGTTCCCCTTGGTCAGAACTGGGGGGCCCATGGACTATTGATCAACCCCCAAATGGCCATGGGTCCAAAGCCAAATCGGTGAGCCCCCAGTGATCCGATTCAATCCAGCCACTAAAACCGGCTATCTAAAATGGGTGGCGAATTCACCTACCAACCAAAATGGGAGCCCAAAACGGTGTTGACACCCACAGCCAAATGGATCCACAGATACCAGGTCCTCCAGTAGAGAGGCTAGAATAAGGGTACCCTTTTTTTCTGTAGTCTCTTTTAGTAGGGGAACCCTCCCCCCAAAAAAAGAAACGGAAAAAGGGCACTACTGGGGGACCTAGGATACCTCCCAACCGGCACAGCAGTCAGGTGATGACCATCTGAACCTTCATGGCTCCGGCCGAGAAACTCGCTGGCCTTTGGGCGGCCTGTGCCAGCCGCGAGGCATGCAGGAAGCAGACCTCGCGCCCATGGAAAGCCGGAGTGAGCTAAGGTGTTGGGAAGGAAGCCGGTCCCCTTAAAGGAAACCACAAGGGAGGGTCCTTGACACTCATCTTTTCCTGTCGAGAACCAGCAAGATCATGCGCATGAGTGCTCTTCTTCATGTGAACCATCTGCAAGGTGTTAACAAGAGATCACATGGGCAAACATAATGAAGCCTTCTCCGGCTTTGTGTTCGAGTGGGGTGCGAGAGTGGCGGGGATACAACCTAAGGAAGCCGCCCAACTTTCTTTTTGAAGGACTGAAGGTCCAGGTCCATGATGGTTAGGAGAACTATCATTGAGGAGTGGCAAAACCCATCGACTTGTTGCGCTACTAAGATGGTAATGAAGGTAACCTTTGTGAACCCCGGTGGGCTATACAAGATGAGGTCCATCCTTCGAAATGGGTCCCCATATGCGGGTATCACTAGCTGGCTGCTTGCAGGTATTGCAGGACACTCATCTACTGTCATCCTAAAGGACATCGGAAAATGAGGAGGCCCCTGCACTTGTGAGGCAGTTAGAGGGTCCCCGAATGTCCGTCCAGAACATCGACAACTAGATACTCCAACTGAACCTCATATAGGCGTTTCTCGAAATAGGTGTCCGCTTAAATGGTTGGTTTCATGTTGGTTGCCCTTTCAACTAAACAAGTTTCTCCATTTGAGAGCTCCGATATGCTACCTTGGGAAACTACCCAAGCAGCACTGCCAGCTACAATTGCGAACTCATATGGTTGATCAAGTGGGGAACCTGTTGAACACCTCGTGCTTTACCCCGATGTGGCATAGTCTGAAAGCAGGATAGTGGGTTGCAAGTATTCAGCTGAGTTGGTTCCCTCTGTGCTTCCTTTGGATGCAGGACGTTTGAAGGGGAAATGTAGGAAGCCCTGAACAAGTTGCAAGCTGGTGGTCTGGGGGTACCCTCATTTTCACAGGGCCCCTGTCCAGAAAGCTACCCACCTGGAAACCGAGTGTATTTGCTCGGGGCACACCGAGAGATGCACACTGGACCCGGAAAAAAAACAAGGGATTGATTCTTGGATCCGTCGTGCCAGTCATCTTTACGCCTGGCTTGTGTGTGCTTCCCAAAGTGAACTTAGAGTTGCTTCAACCTTAGCCAAAGGTGCAACGCTTTAGGTCATATGTCTTGGGTTGGCAAGAGCTCCTTCAGATACTTGGCTTACGCATGTTTACCCCAGCTTGCAGCTTCTTCCTCGCTCCTGTAACTTGAGCCCAACGCTTAATTTACAAGTCAGGCCCTTTAGAAGCAAATGTAGAAAATGTAAAACCCTCAAAACCCCGGAAATTGAGGGTTTCACAAATTCTACACTTCATAAGGGCTCCTTTAGAAGGGAAGCCTTATAAGGAAGCCTTATTTTGCTCGCTGACCTCTTGCTTGCCTCCTCGCAGTCGTTAAAGCTGGTGGTCCGCATAGCCTGCACCGTCTCTCTGAAATTGTTCTGTTGGTCATATTTGGCCATGGGTCACAATCCAAAGCCAAATCGTCTCTCAGTGAACATCCGATTCAATCCAGCCACTAAATTCGGCTATCTAAAATGGGTTGAATTCACCTGCCAAGCAACATGGGATTTCAAAACGGTTTTGACCCACAGCCATTTCAAAATAGAAGGAACCACATTGAATGAACAGAGCACAGGTTCACCCGTGCTTTTGTCATTGCACGAAATCCTTGTCATTTAGATTTGATATCCATTAAGGCTGGACTCATTCTACCATCCCAAAGGGTCCCAGTAAACCTGACCTTGAGTCAACAACAGGAAACTGGCTGGCTACCTGCTGTAGGGGCTTACTGGGCTAAGATCTGAACACTTGAATTTATCATTCCAACACCTGAAATAAAGGGAACTGCCAAGTAGACAAGCCATGGTGAGCTGGTTTTACCGCCAGGTGAGCTCTCAACGAAATTGGCAGAAAGATGCAAACCCCCCCCTCCACTTGTTCCTCCCCTGGTTCCTCCAAATAAGGCCTGCTTTCAAAGAAACCGGGGGGAGCAGAACAGGAAACCAAGCAACTCATTTTATAGGTTCCCCTAAGTCAAAACGGGATGACAGCCATCTGCACGTGCTACAGTATTTCTAAAACCTAAAAAGATGATTCCTCCAGTGCATGGCGAGCTCGTCTTACCGCCAGGCGCTTGCGGATGGGATGACACCTGTCCCTACTCGTGTTTGTCCCCATATCAGTCTGGGCCGACACCCCGATGGAGTGCAATTTCCGGCAGCTCGGGCATCCGTGGGCTTGGTTAAAGGGCCATGAATTTTAATAAGGAACCAGCTCCAAGCGGTTGCTGGACATAGATCCCCAGCGAAATGGTGGTGGGTCAAAATCTAAGGTGCCTGTTTGGAGATGGTTAGACCACTGGTGTGCTTTTGGAAGGCTTTCTGGGCGTTCACCGGGAAACCGGGGTTTTGACCCATAGCCAAACGCTGTCCGCCAAAGGGTCCCTTATTTAAAAAATCGCACCCCCCACTGTCCAGTTGGTTGTCTTCAACGAGCCTTTCAAAGGACGGGTTCCGTTTGGGTCAGGTAGGGCTGGCCTCCAACTACCTGGCTTCCAGATGGTTGGTTTCTTCCCATTGCCTTCCTCGAGGGTCTCCTTCCTGATTGCATTTCCGGTGCTGGCCCTGGGCTTGGCCGTGCCCCGTGGAAGCATAATCACAACCTGAGTCACAACCATGTGGGGGGAACCTTGACCAATATTCCTGACCGCCAAATAACCACACGGGTAACTCTTCCCATTTTGTGGTGAAAGCCATCCTTGTTGGTGCTCTCCCCAATGGAGCCACAATCAAAACCCAGTATTAAAATGGTCTACCCAGAACCATGCTTCAAGAAGTGGTCTGATTCCCCACTAAACCCAGAGAAAACTGGGGTTGATTAATACGGGGTCAACATTATTACAAGCTCTCTACCCAATGCCCATGACAATGCCTCAGGGGGCTTCCTCCCTATATTCATAGCAAGAGGAAGTCTCCACATCTTCGATTGCATGAAGCGGACTTGATAGTGGTCACCTCGGCTCCCAGCATTCCTTGCGAGACCCCATTTGAACAGTACCCCGATACTGCTCTAGCTCTAAGTCATCCTTCCGTGGAGCAACTCCGCAAAATCCAGGGAAAATACATCAATTTGCAAAAATCGGACAAAGGGTCCGCGTGGCTGGGACCCCCCTCCAGCATCAAAAAGGGAAAGCACGAACCAAGAAGGGAGTTGAAGGGCAGCCCCCCGCACCCAGCCTGGAAGCTGGTGCCAATGCTCCAGTGGGGAAAGCCATGACTTTGCTTCCAGATCGCAAGTCGTGAGGAGAAAACCCCGTTGGTGCCCATGTCCGGAAGCCTTCTGAGCTTCGACTTCCGCGTGTTGCTTCGGAGCAATTTTCGCGCCAAATATGATCCCAAAATCCGGCTGGAAAGTTTCGAACTAGACCCCACAGCTTCAAAACTCCAAGCTGCTTTCGGCTGTGGTCTGTGTTTGCAGCGACATTTTCTTGCGGCAATCCTCAGATCATGCTTTCCTGCCGACCAACTTTAGTCTGTGCATGTGCATTCTGTGCGCACTGGAGGCAAATACACATGGTTCATCATTCCATTTTCGCTTTGGACAAAACAAACTTACAAAAAGCTTTCACGACAAAACAAATAACTTTCGAGACCACCACCGCGAAGCTTTCGCGTAGCTGATAGCGACACTAAAACCAACGTCTTCCCCGTCATATCTGAATACAAAGACAATTTGGATGTCTTTTTTGATGGTACCCCCCATGCGGTCGCGGGGGGGGGGGGGGTCTGATTCCTGTTTTCCGACACACCCAACTAACCAACTGCAGTTGGTACTTGGTTTTATAGGGAAGCCCCCAAGAAAGAAGACAAAGGCAAAAACAGACAGGGGCAACACCTGCCACCTGGTCTTACTTGGTTTTCCAGGGAAGCCGAAGCCCCCCGCCCCAAAGAAACAACACAAACAACACAAGCTAGGGCACCCCTCCGGTCGCTCAGAGATCCTCCCCGCCTGGGAATAGTCTTCCAAGACCCGCAGGGCGCCGAACCAGGGCTCCGGGGGCTGCCATGGCGTCTGCACCGTGACGCGCTCATGAGCCATGGGAGACTCCCACCCCCCCCCTCTAGGCGTTGGGCTTGGGATTTCTCAAACACAGGCTTGGGGGCTGGTTTCTTGTCGGTTTTGGGGGTTTTAGAGTTTGGGGTGAATCCAAGCAATGCATTTAAGGTTTCTCCCCCAAGGGGTCTAGTGAACAATTGACACTACCACTTGGCTGTGAGGAAAAAGGGGACCCCAACGCAAAGCCTAAAAAAGTGGACAATTTGCTCAACGAAAAGGTCCTTCAAGGTGTATTGGGGTATGTATGTGTGAAAATCGGGATCCGACAAATTGGGTGGCTTAAAGCACAATCCTCTGTCTTTACCCCATAAAATAGGTCATCATGCGCAGTGATCGAGTGAATCAACTTGCAGGAGCTACACTTCAATTTCCGGTGGTGTCTCTTGTTTTGCTTGGGCCTGCAGTGGCCAGTGGGGAAGAGGACACTTTTCTTTTGTTGTTGTTTTTTTTTTGGGGGGGGGGCTTGTTTATCTTGAAGGAACACGCTTCACTTGCTCGCCACTTGCTTCGCCCGATTGTGTTCATGTCAGGGCGGTCAGGGGCTGGGGCGGCTTTGTGCAAAGCTTCGAGCCATCGCGTCGGGCAGGCGGCGCGGTGGCTTGTCTCATGCGTCAAAAGGTCCATCAAACAAATGGATTGCCCTTTTCGAACTGTGGGCAATGACCACTTCTGTGATACAACAAAAAAGGCTTCCCAAAGACTACCCCCCCATATACACGGGGGAGATTTGCTTGTATCACAAGAAGTGGGGTTGATCCCGCAACTCGGTTTTCGAACTTTGACTGGACAGAGACTGACAGTAAAACAAAAGTCGGCTCTTTGCAACACACAGAAACTTGAAACACCCTTTTAGAACGCCAAAACCACAACTCTGACCCATTGCAAAAACAGCAAGACTTTTCGCCGGATGTCACGTGAATCCCTCTGATCTGCACATGACTAAAAGTCCAAGGGTGGCCAATGTGACAGTCTGGGTGGGTCTAACCAATGCCCTTTGGGCCTTTGGGCCTTTGGGCCTTTTGGCCTTTTGGCCAGTTCGTCCCCACCCCCCAAAGGAGCTTTTGGTACCAAAGAATCCAAGTCAAATCTCAATTGAGCGTCTAAACACCAAGAATGATCTGACTGGCCGAACTTTGAACGTTCCAGCAATGTTCTGTTGCTCCTCTATGCCCCACGCAATCGACAAATCAGCACTGGCCAGTATAGGTCTAGAAAACTGCAGGCGAGTGGACAAACGCCGATCTGAAAAAGGGCTCCTCCAATCTGCTGTCCTCTGTGTCCTTTTTGAGGAACGCCCAAATATACTCGTTGCATCTCACGAGCCGCACTGAAACAGAGCCAACAGCCATTCCGATAGTCACGGGTCAATGAATAATCTGACGATCAAATGGCTTTCCTACATTGCTTATATCATCACAAGTTCATGTTCTCCCCCACCCCCTCACTCTTTCTTCAGGAAGCAACCTCTCCTGCTTCTTTGTCAACACAATTAACCAACCAACCAACCAACCAACCAACCAACCAACCAACCAACCAACCAACCAACCAACCAGCCACCCAGCCAGCCAGCCAGCCAGCCAGCCAACCAAGCAAGCAAGCAGCCAGCCAGTAAACCACACCAGACCAAACAAAACAAAAGCAGCGCCCTGAAACAAAGAAAAACTTTTAACGGCTCGTGACGTAGCGCGGTTGGCCTTGCCCATCATTTTCTCATAGGCCACCACGACAAAGTCCACCACTTGCGGCAGCTCTGGCACCACCTAAGCAAACGGAAGAAAGGGACCACTGAACATCTTGATCTTTGTTTGGCAACTTTACTTCGCCTCCACAATTACTGATTCATCCAAAGCTTCGTTGGGGACTTTGGGGTGGTTTGGCTGGTCTGTATAGTTGGCTGGTCTGTAGAACCCCAGCGGTTCCCTGGCCGCACCGCTAAGAGATCGAGATCAAGCGACCGAGCTCCGGGCGTTCTTTTCTTTGAGCAGCTCGTAGATGACGCAGTCCCCAAAGCCGAAACCGCAGCAGGGCACCTGCCGCTCTCCACTCCGCCCGCTCCCAGCTCAGCTGGAAGCAACCCCAGGAAGGCCATTGGTTCAGGCCGTTGAGGCGGCAAAGCCCAAATTTGGAGTCCAAGTCCAAATCAACATGGAAACCAAAACAACGATCATTCTTGGAATCTGGTTTTGGGGGACCCTTTTTGGTTCCAGGTCCAGAGCGGATTGTCAGGGACAAGGGACTTGCTCTTGCTCCCCCCTTTTGGTTGGCTAACTTTGAGATGTGTTCCCACCCAAGCTTGAATGGCCCTAAATGGGTGTCCATTTTTTGAGGGTACGTGCCCTTTTTGGTTGGTTTTGAAGGGAAACCAAAAGGAAAACCGCCATTTTGTGTGTGTCCCCCGGAGAAAGAAGAAAAAAAACTCACCCAACTGGGTTCTAACAACAAAATGGGTTGAACGTTCTTTGGTGCAAGCTTGAACTCGTTTATCGGCATTCATGAAACGGGTCCGCTGACAAACACAAGTGGAACAAACCAAACACGATCAGCAAGTCTGCTGACCTTAAACTGGTTCTCAGCAGGGAATGAGGGAATCACCCCCATAAACCATCCCCTATGGTTTCCTTTCAAACCCACCACCAAACACGATCTTCCCACCCAACCCCCAAGTCGAAGCAAGCATGGCGCTGTCGGCCTGGGCAACACTTGTGGCTGCAAACATGGGTGTCACCAACAACTTGAAACACATTCGAACAACGAAAAAAGGACGTTGCAGCTTCTCCTCCAAAAACCGTGCACAAAGGTTGTCACTTTGGCAGTGCAAAGCCGTACTGGCTCACAATAGGGTGCGTGAAGAATCGCATTGCTGCGCAAGCGGAATATATCCAGCAGGGCTCTATATCCAGCAGGGCTCTGCAACTGCCTTTGCTGTCTTACCTTGCGTGGGCTACGCAGCTTGTTGAAAATCTTCGCTGCTATTCCTGTTCACGCATGCATCGTGCCTGCATACCGGGCACAAAGTGGCCGCCATCACTACGTCTCAGGCGAAGTCTCGAGCATCACCCAGGTTCATTGGAATGGCCCCAAGCTCAACCCGATGCATTTTAGGCAGCTTCTAGCATCCCTAGTGTTTTGGGCTAGCGGCTAGCATTGATAAACCCCATGATTCCCATGATGCATACGAAAGTGTCCCATGTAAGCAAGCCTTCACAGATTGGAGGAGTACCGGGGCCCCTAATTTGTGGGTCAACGTTACGTTCCATATGGTACCAATAAGGGGTGGGTGCACAGACCTAGTCAAAGCCATGCATCCCCAAACCCATGGTCAAACACGCAACCTGAAAAGCAGCGGTTGGGATCGAGTCAACTCGTACCCCAAGGATCCATGAGTGCCATGTCAGGATTTGGGAGGGCCTGACTTTCAATGGAGAACTCTTTGGTGGACAGCAGAAGTCGGTGAAAATTCATGTCCAACAATACTTTTCAGGTGGTTCCGATCAAAATTACGACTCTCAAACTTGGCCATGTTGCAGTGAACTATCCATAAATCTATGGGCCAGTCGCCCAATCCAGACAAAGGAGTTAGGCTCATTATTTTGACCACCGTGTTTAGTCCCTGAACCCAGCATGGATGTCGAGGGTCGGAAACTGAACGATGGACTGAGGGGCCCTCTGCACACAGATCTGCCTCCACTGGTGAGCCGTACAAGGTCAGGAGGCGGTCGTACCTCGGCTCCACCCTGAACACTCAAACCCCTCCCCTGGCGTCCGTTCAAAAGAACGGCCTTAAAGGTGCCGAAACGCGCAAACGGGGGGAGGGAGGGGGAAGGGCTGCCCGCGAAGCGCCAGGACTCCGCAACGGCTATCTTGAATGGATCTCCTTCGGGCTGTGGGAACGATTTGACAGGCAGGTACAACCTGTTTGTGTGTCAATCGGAGGCCCTTCAGGCTATTCGGTGCAGCAGAACACAGATTTTCCGGACTGGCAGGCAGCTTCGCACGTAAGACTCTTAGGGTCTTGCCAGGGACCAGTTGGGGAGGAGCCACAAACACGGCTCATAAGTGAAGGGGAGTTCACCTAAAACTCGCTCGAGAGCCTTGACGCCTTGGTTCTTGAAATCAGCTTGGCCTTTACTTTGGTCTAAGGGACCGGGACCCCAGTGCATCCCTGGCAATAGTTGGCGAGCATGCAGGATTTGTCCTTTCAAGTTCCACTGTTTGATTCCAAGACAGACCTTTACATCCCAGTTAGCCCAAAAAGAGGACATGAACCAGCGAACCAGTGGGCTTAAAAGTCCTGGTACTCAAAAACCGTGGAGCCCCAGTCCCCCCCAGACGCTTACTGCGGCCTTCCACCACCGCAGATGGCCCGGAGCTTGCCCATCCGGTCGAAGCCTTCGAAGGAAACTGCCGCTCCGTTTCCGGGACCCGGCACTTGCTGCTGCGAGAGGCGAATCGACCTTTTGACCTTGAGTTTCCCTGGCCCATTCGTCATGGCTTTTCCCTTGACTTGCTGATGCTCAGCAGGGAATGACCCAGGGTTTAGGGATTCCTTCCACGGAAACCACGAGGGACGGTTTACAGGACTCATTCCATTTCTCATTCCCTGCCTATCGCAGCAGCTTGAAAGGAAACCACAAGAAATTGGTTATAAGGCTCATTCCATTTCTCATTCCCTGCATCTGGATATGGGGTTTCTCACCAGACTGGATGCTGAAAGCTATCTGCCGGAGTGGTGGAAGGTTCCACAGACCTCCGCTGAGGATACCAACTGGGCTTTCAAGTCACGGATCCCACTATTCCGCAACCAGCCATTTGCCTGTTTGTGTTTCAAGGTTTTTCCCCTTGTGTACCTTCAAATGGAATCACAGGGGTGACCAAAGGATGCCAGCAAGGCACACCTAAAAACTAATTCAACAGAATGAATATGTCGGACCCGTCCCCAATACAAATGTCACCATAATTAGGAAGACTGTTTTGGTGGTGTTTGATTATTTTTTTCCAAATGTTCATCAGCTTTCAGAAGGAGGCGGCAGGGTGCAATCTATATTCACTTCAAAGGACACCTAACAGGACACCAGAACGGGGGTAGATAACGCAGCGGATGGAGCAAAAGAGGAGAGAAGGGAGAAGACAGATATAGATTGCCAGCCCTTCATCTTTTGTCTTTGCTGAAATTCTATTTCATCTCAGCTAGCACTCTCTCATCTTTGTTCACCTCACGTCGCTTCCCTTCGTGAGACCCAACGACCATGATGGGTCAAACTGAACATGCCAAAAGTGAATGTTGTCTCTGTCCTCTCTCATCACCTCTCTTTTACTTTCGTCTCTGCCCGTGTTTTCGGTTAGTGCACGGCTGAATAGAGACAGGGCAAAGTAGGACGCCTAAAATGACACCTAGAACCCAACCCATCTACACCCACAACATGAACAAGATACCAGAGCATTGGCCTGAGCCTTTGCATGCCTCGGTTCCATTCCTGGATGCCCTGAAAGGACCCTGCACCTTCCATGTGTTGATTCCTAAAGGATCTATGTAAGTCCTAGGGTTCATTTCTTAGGTAATGGCCCCCGACCTCCCTGAGACACCAAAAGAAACTGAGTCCCTTTCCAGCCGCGGCGCTCCAGGATCTTTGGGGCCCGCAGAAACTGGAACAACACGGATGGCATCAGCTTGCCGTGAGCCAAAAATACGCCTGGTTACGTAACGGGGACTCCAACGGCAACTAATTCCATGTTTCATTGGCAGATCTGGAGAATTTTGCTCAAAACTTAGGTGCCATGAGTTATGACCCTACTTTGTAGGGGTGCAGATTTTAGGTAACTTGGTAACCTCCAACCACGACCCCAGGGGCTTGTCTTGTAGTGGCTTTGGCCCTGAGGAATCTGGGCTCTGATTGCGGGGCAGCGGCAGCCATCTTCAAACAAAATGCAGCACGAGAAACTCAATTCAGTCCCCCAAGTCTCCATGACCCTTAACAAAAATGGTGTCATTCCCCAAAATAATGGGGTCATGGACCCATTTTTAAAGGGCCATGGAGACTCCAGGTATGTTTGCATACGCTGATTCCTCACGTGTCGCTGAGATCCCAATTTGTGACTCCTCGAGTCTGTGTTTGTGAGTGTGAAAATTGTTGAAACCTGATGGTGTTTCGAGCAGCTTTGACACAGACCAGCGCTCATGGGAAAAGGCCCAGCCCAAAAAGACCCCTACGGAACGGGAGAGACCACACCCGGCGTGAGATCATGATTCGCGGCCCGTTTCAGCAAGAAACATCAAAAGGCCAAACCGCCAACTAAGGGTACCTGACTGAAGATTCACATGGAAACCAACACAAACATCATAGGAATCTCCTTTGCAGGGAGGTACCCGGAATTTCCCCTGACAGGTTGACCATTGGCCCCAAAGCCCAAAGCACGCGCACGGGCCTTCAAAAACCACGCCGGTGTAATAGGCAAGACCTGGCCAGGCCGGGCTTTTCAAACCTAAAAATGGAGGCTTCTCCCACAGATCAAAGGGCACTTCCACTTGCTCCTTTTCAGGTCCCTTTCTTTGCGGATCGACCTCGACCTGGCGAACCACTGCACAAACAGGGCCTCCTGTTGGCTTCTGATTAAGCCAAGGTGAAAAGGCCAACCTCAAAAAAACCCACAAAAACACACATCATGTCCATGCTCAACGTCCCATCTCTGTACCGTTGGCCCTCCCCCCCGCCCAGGCTCCTAAGAGTCTCGGGCTTGCTGCCCCCAATCAAAATGAACAGAACCCAGATCAACAAACACACTGGAAACGAAACGCTGAAGGGGTCCAAGGTCCATCATAAGCAAAGAACAAACCAAGCAACACCTGCCAAAACGGAGGCCCCATACCCCAGCGGCATGTTACACCCAGACTTGACAACTCGCTTTTAGCCAGGGTTTGCGCTTTGACCGGCCCCTCGGAAAAGGTTGATGGGACTTTTGAATGTCAAACCGTTAACCTGTCCATCGAAACTTTCACGAGGGCCCCTTCCAACGAAGGGAAAGCGGTCCGACCATGACCGAAACTCCGCCCCGAAACGCGCATCTTGACCCTGTGGGCCGAGCGATCGGCCTTCCGCGCCCGCCTCGCACCACCGAAGCGTCAAAAATGAGCCAGTCGCCGAAGCCTGCGGAAACAGCTCCTGGGTCCTCCAGTACGCTAGAATAAGGGGACCCCTTTTTTTCTGTAGTCTCTTTTAGTAGGGGAACCCTCCCCCCAAAAAGGGCAAAAGGGCACTACTGCAGAAACCTAGGCTCTGCTATCATCTTTCCCTCGTGGAGCTTTGGATGGAGGCTTTGGGGGTGCATCCTGTTATCAAGCTCCTGGGGTTCAAATCCCCTTGCAATCCAAACTTGGATCCGCTCTCCTGCGGGTACTGAAGGAATCATCCTTAAAACACTAAAACAAATGTGCCTGGTTGCCTGCTATAGGGGTGACTGTGTCTTTGCCTGCCTTGCCCATGTTGGCTTGTTTCTTTATATCCGTCTTTATTTCTTTATGTTCTGTCTGTTTCTCGCTATTTGTGTCTGTATATGTTTGCTTCTATGTCTTATTTGTTTTTCTGTTTCTAGGCGTCTCTTTTCTTTACGTTCTTTTGTTTTATATGTTCTTATGTTCTTCCTGTTTCTATTTATGTATTTGTATCTTATTTATGTTTCTGTCCTTTTTTTTTTTTCTGCTGTTTACGTTTCTCTCGTTGCTTTGCTGGGGGGTTGAATACCAGGCCTGAAAACACGCACCAACACACTGTTCTTCAAGATCAGCAATCCCTTCTCCTGATTCATACCTGAAAGCAACCATATATATATATATACATATATATATATATAGTGTCAAACAGTTAAACACATCTAAACACGTAATTATATGCATGACCATGGCGATTCTGTAAAAAAATAAATATCGCCTTGTTTAACCGTTTGTTGGGGACCCGGATTAGATTCGTGATATGGAACCCATAGAATCCTCCACGAGTACCCATAGTACCCTCCGAAAAGACGAACTGGACCGCCGTGGATGTGGAAGACATAGCTTGTGATATCGAAACGGATCAGTCCCACGTTGTCACCTTCACAGGGGGCGAGTTTTAAGAAAGTGGGCAGGCCTCATTTGGGTTGTTCTTTTTTTGGTCCCCCAATTGGTTGGGCTTAAATTGGGAAACCAAGAAAACAAATCACCATATCAGTTCCCAATTCAGTGAAACTTCTCCCCATACCAGTCACATTCCAAGAAACCAATTAAATTCCGTTCTAGGAACTAGTCAAATCACCTCTAACCAGTCCCTAACCCCTTTTCCCTCCACCAGGCCTTCTTCCTCCGCCAGGGTGAACAGGAGTCTAAGCTCGATGACCTGGCGAAAGACCACCCGCAGCTTCCAGACCCTTTTAATCGGCGAAAACCGGACCGTCCCCTATGAAGATTCCTCCAGATTTGTTTTTCGGTTTTCGGAGGTCCATGTGTGTGTGTGTGTCGTGTGTGTTTTTTTGAGGGTGCACTTTGTTGGTGGTTTTAAGTGGAAACCAAAAGAACACCTACCATTTCTTTGGGTCTCCTATTTTAAGACAAACATATAGGTATAGTTCCTGCTATCTCCATTTTTTCCGCACCCCTCCTGCTTGGCCTGCTTTGCTAAATCCGTTGAACCGCCATCTAAACTGTCTGACTTCCCCATTTCAAAGCGGGTGCTTCACCTTATTCGCAATGGTTCAGTTCGAGGGAGAGTCCACCGTTTCTTGTTTGCTCTCCCCTGAGAGAGTGCAAACAAACCTTTTCGCATGGGACAACCGTTTCGATTAGCAATTCCCGCGAACAAACCTATTCCGGCCATCTGCAAAACAAATAGCAACCTTGACGCACGGCGACAATGGCCATGGATTTCAATCTGGAATATTCGGAATACTCTTAAACAAATGCAAATGATATCCGCTAAATGGTTCCCAACATTCCCAACTGCTTAGATGGCTGGATGATCAAAGAGTGAGCTAAACCCGGTGAATCCTCAAACTCTCAGTGAAGCCCCCAGAAAACCCGTCTACAGGGCCGCTTGTCACAAAATTCGCGAAGGCCCCTGGGGGCCATCCAAAACATATTCTTAACAGGGAACTGGGAAATCGCTCTCAGAAACCACTGCAAAACCAATAGAAGCCACTACAAAAGGGCGAAAGCCTGCCTGAACGTACCCAAGACTCCTCCAGAGAACTTAGGCGCTAGGTTCTGCAACAACTTTGGCCAAACGCTCGAACTGGGCCTTGTAAAAGCGGACCAGCTTCCGCTTGGCCCGGTGCGGACGCCTCTACGCCAAACTCTCCATTTCCATTCTGTCCAGTCCTTCTTTCCAGAAAACCCTCAGAAACCCAGGGAAAAGGCAGGTTTTAAAGATCCTTCTTTCCAGAAAACCCTCAGAAACCCGAAGAGGCGATCGGCTTTTGGAAAGAACGATGGTTGAAACGACTGGACTCGGAGTCCCCACTCTCAAGCCCATGGGCCCCGAGCCTCAGGGCTCTCACCCACCTCGAGTCTCGAGTGCGGGCAAGCCGAACATGCCGAGTGTCTAGGAAGCCAACGGCAAACATTCCGGTTTGGGGGGTTTAGGCCAGTGGAAACCCATAGAAACCTCAAGATGTGTGCTGAACAGAAGTCCTTGAATTACATGTGGTCCATAATGATGAGAATCATGATCATAAAATACCCGCCCTCCTACTAACATAGCACCTGTAGAGAAACTTCCTCTTGTAGGGACCCCTTGTCAGGCGCCATGTCAGTGAGCACAAGCGTACTGATGTACTGACAAACAAAAGCAACAATTGAACCGTTTTGAGACTAAAAGGTGGTGAATTCTGGAGGCCGATGGTTCAAACAATCGGCTCATTTCCTCGAACAAAGAGGGGCCCTGACTTATTTGAAGTGTATTGCCTCATCTATCTATATATATATATACACACGCCAAACCATGTAAATGCGTATGTCTTGCAGAAGCTTAAGGTTTGCCAACTCCAGTGAGAATTTGGTGGGCACATAGAGGATGTGCGTGGTTCAGCCCTTGGATCTGTTGGCCGGACTAATCCGACCCGTGCGGTCAAAAACACAAAACTGGCTCATGCAAAGAGCAAGTAAAGGACACTCAAAAAGGCAAAAGGGGTCTGGTTCCTATTTTTTTTGGAAGACCCCTCCCCGAAAAAAAAGAATAAGAAAAAGTGGTTTTTCCCTTTGGATTGCCTTTCTCACACAACAAGTTCTTAAAAAACAACATCTTCAGGACCCCCAAGGCAGTTTTTGCGACTGAGTCTGGAAAAGCTGGTGCTTGCAACAAAAACGCGGGGCCAACCCCAAAGAACGCAATTCGGGGGCCCGGTGGGAGGATCCGTGAATGGCACCGCTTCTTACTTTCTGAGTAGCTGGGCCAAACAAACCAACTTGTTCTTGGCCACTAAGATGGTCCCAAAAAACTACGAACAGGAACTCAGGGAGTACGCCGGCAACTTGGTGGTTCGTTTCGCAAATTGAACGAATCCCCGAGTGCCCAAATCCATTTTCCTCCCAAATGGATCATACACTACCATCAGTTTTTACTGAATCTCAGGTGGTATTCAAGTCACAATTAAACTCTGCTATTTTAAGGAGTCCACCAAAACTCGTGGCAATGAGTCCAAGAGGCTTCTTGATATCCAACCTGCCTCTGGCAACTTGACCCTTCATCTACCCTCTAGAAGTCATATATCTGGAGATTGGATCCTTTGGGTTTACGGTTTGTCTGAAAATGGTTGAGCCCCCGCAACAGCTGGTCTGCCTTTGCTTTCAACCACCATAAAAGAATCAAAGGGTACCATACAGTGAAACCTGAAAGAAGCGCGGGACCAGTTTGTAAGAATATCCCAAGCCAAGCCAAGAAGCGTAGCGGCCTAAATCATTGGAGAATACAGCTAACTCTTTAACCCTATCAGCTTCCTCCTTTGATTTTTTGCATTGGCAGTTTAGGGGCTTGAATTCCCTCTTTCTGTAAAAGAAAACCACTTAACCCAACCAAACCATGGGGCTCCAAGGACCCTTGCCTCACCATCCCTCCTACCTTCAGGAGGAGGGGGTGGGGGGTCCCCAATTCCACTTCTTTAGTCTTCCCCGAAAAATGGGAAAATGGAACCACAAATTGGAATTCCAGGGGTCGAAATCCCCCCTCCCCGATTTCATTTTTGACGCGGGTGGGGATATGCCTCACCTACCCAAACAAAAGAAAAGACCACCGACCCCCGTCTCTTGCGGCACTTCCCAGGAGGCCGCACTCCGGCCAGGCTCGCAAACTCATCCAAGGTCTTTGCCTGATTCCCCACGAGGGCCCCGAGCCTATGACGCCGTCTTCGGCTACCTGGAAACCCCAAGTAGCCACCTTTGTTCCAGCCACTTTACCCACTGGCCCATCATTTGGGCAAGGTAGCTGGAACATTTTCAGGCGACTGGGGATCTGTTTGTAGATACACCATACACCTGCAGATCAACTTGGAACCCACAGAAACACTTCCATTTTCTGGAACAGATTCCACTTCTGGGGAAGGGCCCGAGCCTATGACGTCGTCTTCAGCTAGGTGAGAAAGTGCCGGACGAAGTTGTGCTGGGCAGGTGATTCAGAAACTGGCAACAAGGGCTCCATCCAAGGAAGCTTCATGGGTAAGCTCGCTGAAGCCCACAGGTGAGCTCGCTGTGTCCCGGATTCTTTTGAGAAGAGCTGACCAATCTCGGCCCAATCGAGAACTCTGAGGGGCCTTGTCACACGGACCATGTTTCAGGGCCCAGAAAACCGTTGGACCATAAACAAAAGGAGTTGTTTGAAACAAATAGAATTCGCACACACACACGCACATGGCCTTCTGTGTTTTTTTGGAGGGTACCATTTGTTGGGTGGTTGAAAGGACAAAGGGGGAGATACCTCTTTTGGGGTTCCCCATTTTGCCACATACCCGCCATGGCTTCTGTCGATACTTTCCCGTGCTCCGGGTCCTTCCGGCCATTGGAAAGGCGGATTTGGCTTGAGAGGTGCCACGTGGATTTGCCTCATGTTCCTAGGATCGGTCAAGATCTGCAGTAGCCGAAATGTCCGTTTTTAAGGGACAAGAGGCGAATCCGCAGAATACTTCAAAAGCTGCGACAGGATCTTGGCGTTCGGAGCGTCTTCGCGAAACAACGTGGACATCTTGCAATTTCTCCTTTTGATTCATGTCCGCCTGGCAAGACTGAGGATTCTGTGCACAAATTGGGACCCTCAGACCTTCACATGGAAGTGCCCAGTTCGCTTGTCGAATCGTGCAATAAAAAGAGAGAGCTCCCAGGGTAGGCGTAGCTTTCAAAGAACATCCTTTCACCAAAGCTCGACACCGTAGACATCTGGCAGATGTCTTCCTCCAATGGAGTAGCCGCAAAAAGCAGCACGCACTTCCCGGGCCAGACTTCGGCTTTGCGAAAGTGATCCTTCTCAACACAAAGCTGAACGTCCAGAACTAAGTCCTCCAGTAAAGAGGTTACAATAAGTTGGTACCCATCTTTCTGTAGTCTATTTTAGCAGGGGCTTGCTCTCCCAACCAAAGAAGAAACAGTAGAAGTTGGCACGATCCTGGGCCTCGAGAAAGTGGAGAAGTGAGGACGATTCCACGGGCCCCCACCGAGGTAGCGCGGACGATCGTCTCAGCGACCACCTTAGGATTCGGCCAAAGTCATGTCATGTTTGGCAACTCTGGTAGCAGAATTCAGGGCTTCAAAGAATTACAAGTAGTTTGCTCCAATAACGAAACTTGGTTTCAAGTAGCCCGCAACCCCCCAAGTATCCTGATTCACCCACCACCACTTGAGTGTCTCAGATCGCAAACCCTCCCAGGTCGATACAACTCGCGGACCATCATGGAAAGGACAGGTCCTTCCGTTCGTGGAGCTTTATGGGAACGCGCACGGGAAAACTAAATCAAGGAACCAAGGTGTGGAACTCACAGATTGCAACTGGGTCCTGTGTTTGGGACTCCAAATTCAACCAATGGGAAAGCAAACTGTGGGCTCTCCATCCAGAATCCAGACCAGCCAATGGTGCGTCCAAGAGCCTCACATCCCCAATCCCATTACTCATGTCCAAGACAAGGGGGTTGTCCGCTTCGGGGGAACCGGAGACTCCCTGGTCGCATGAATGACCAGGTCCTTGTCGCGGCTCTCTGGGGCCACACACCTTTTCCAGGCCGATCTTCCTCGGGCAATGCGTGCTCTGAGTGCAGGCAAAACGTGTGTTGAACACGCGTAGTGGTTGCGTGTCTGTTAGTTGGCTATTTTGTTAGACAGCTTTGTTGGTTCGTTCGTTCGTTCGTTCGTTCGTTTGTTCGTTCGTTCGTTCGGTTGTTAGTTTGTTTCCTTGCGTGTGTTTGATCGGTTCTGTGTTTGTTTGTTGATATGTCTTTATTGTTTGCGTGCTTGTGGTTGCCAAGAAGCATCCGTGCCAAGTGGGCATGCTGCATTTTGGTTGTCCGAGCAGCTGACATGCAAATAGTAACTAATCGCCTAGCTTGACATCAGCATGTCTCCGCGTCCGCGAATCGATAACACCGGACCCACGCACAATGTTCTTTGCTCGGGAAGACATGAAAAGGTTGGGGCCCTTCCCGCCAGCTTTTGTGGAAATTGGAGTGGGGGGTTGTCCCCCTCAAAGGATCACATTGAATACCATGAATATGTTGCTCACATGAGCCATGGTGAAAAAACACGTTTTCAGATGCTGTACCTGGGAACATGAGTGAGTCCCGCGGTTTTTTGTTGTCTGAAATTGTCTGCCTTTTTCTGTTTTTTTCCGCCTTAGTCGGGGTCCAATTAGGCACCAAGGCGAAATGTCGGACATTGATACAAAGTGCTGAGTCCTCATGTTTGTCTGAAATGAAGCATAGTCTATCAGCAACTTTGTCAGCTCCTCACATTTTCTGGGTATTCTTCAAAAGCCGCTGCTCGGATGCATGTCTGTGTCCTGTGGGCATGGAGTGAATGGGGGGCGAGGGGCGGATTCAAAGCGAAGGAACGCCGGAGAGCCGAGAGCTGACCCTTTTCTTACCCTTGGCATATCATGGCTTATACAGCGAGACAGTGCAAATGCATGCAAACGCCAAATCAAACGGATTCCACACATATCCTCCACAGTCAAAAATCCCCGCCGCCGAGTCACCCAGTCAACTCATTCACCACCTCCACTGCGCCGATCTTGTCCTGAGGCGCAACCCCCAAGCAAAATGCGCCAGGGTGCCTCGTCAGGAACGATCAACCCCCACCACGCTCCACACAAAGCGCGGCTCAGTGCGCAGTCGTCCGACCCAAGTTTCAACACTGCCTCAGAAGTATTGGATCAGGGGTGACAAATTTAAAACAGAGAGGGCTCTCTGAAGTTCTACTTTCACGGGCGGGGCGGGGTCATACCATATGGAACTGGCTGCCTGTCGGGCAAACTGCCAAATCACCACCTAGGGAGGAACCTTGCCGCCTTCCCTCTTCCCCCATCCCACCCCAAGAAAGGGTTCTTGGAGCCGTCAGGACGCTGAGCATCCTGGCCCTAATATGTCCCTAATATGGGTGTGCCTCGTTGAGGACCCCGCAACATGGCGGTTTTCCTCTCGGTTTCCCTCAAAACCAACCAAAGGGTTCCCGGAAAACAACAAAAACCGACTTCATTAGGCTTGCTCCAAGTGGGTCAATTCGAACCCCCTTCCCTACGGCTCCCCTCCAACCCGTGTTCCACTTGGGGGCCCTGGAAAGCAAGATCCCGTCCAGCTTGTCGATGACCACGCAGGTCTCCGTGAACCGCTCTTCCTGCCGACATGAGTTTCTTCCGCGCGAAAGAAAAACACAAAAAACAAAACAACGCTGCTCACGCAGTGGGCTGTTTGGTTTTGGGGGGTTTGAGGTTCGCGGGTACACGTCTGGGCCCCCCAAACCATCCCTGTTAGGTGAAGAGCCAACACAGTTTTGACAAAAACACTTCTCGTGCTTTCCTTGTGGGGATGTGTTTTTGTTTTTTCCCGAATTGTAGCCCTCTTTGGGTTAGCTTTGAAGGAACCAATAGAACGCCAAGATAAAACCCACGCCCATGTTTGTTGTTCTTCCATCCTCCTAGGGAGTGGGTGGGGGAGGGGGGTCAACTGGGCAATTTCAGCTCTGCGCTACCAACCCCGTCCCCCCCCCTCCCCCCCTTGTGGGTGGAACGATGCCATAAGCTCGACATGCCACCAGTAGCCCTCCGCCCTGCCCCCTCTCCTGACAAGCTACAACTAATTGCACATAGATCAACCCCTCCCCCGAAATGCATTTGCTGGGGGACGGTGTCGTTCCCCCCAAAGATTGCTACCCAAGCTGATATGAGTTGCTAGCTTACGACGTGCGTCGTTTATGTCGCTGAATTGCTTGGCCTTTCGCAGTCCGGCGCTGGCGGATTTCTGACAGTTCTGATCCACCTCTCTTTGAAACCGCCCTTGGGAAAGGTTTATCCGATAGCCGCGGTCTAGCGCACCCTCCAAACCCCCAAACGAATCCCGACCGCGCCAGATCCCTGAAAACCCATTTGGAGGGCACCAAACCCTGCAACCCTGCAGGCATCTTCACACATTCTTCACAGATGGTGAGGTCCGCAAGAAAGGCCCGATTTAGGAATGAGTTGCGCCAGGCAAAGAGTCGACAGAAAACTTGCTTCCTGGCTTGGTTCAGAAAAAGTGCAGTCCTGTTGCACTATGGCCAAATACTTGGATTCTGCAAACAGGTAACTTTCAGCTGGCTAAAAGTTGCAAGACTTCGGGACAGTAACTAACGGGAGACTTCTTCCCCGGCTGACCCGAACCCGCTTTTCGCAACCCATACATAGTAGACAGGGGTTCAAAGAAACAGCTTGTCTGCGGGACTGGCTGGGTGGGTGCTAGTACCTCTAGCCAGCTATGGCTGTCTCACCACCATAGCCCTGAAAGGCGCATGGATGGGGTCGATTGAATGCGCGAAAAGGAGGGCAATGCTACAGTGGCGCATTCCTCACTTCCTGAGTGGATAGACCAAAGAAAGTCCAATGTTTGGTTGCCAGCGGTTTGCCCAACAAGTGTCAAGTCCAGGAACTCGGGAAATGATTCTCAATGGGCATGAGATTTGTCAAACACAGTCCACACAACAAGGCAAATCCTGGCTGCATGTTTTGCACGGTCAGCCTGTGTGGGTACTGGAAAGGCGTGACCGGGAGTTTGGACATCCTTTCAAATGTTTCGCCATTTCCATACCCCCAGACCTGTGGATTCCAAAAGGTCTGAACTTTGGCAAGCACAAAAGTCTGGCCTCAATTGGATTCCATTCCAGGTCAAAAAGGACACCTGAATCTTGAGATCTCTGAGCTCAAGTCGAACCGAAAAACCTAAAAATCGGAAGCCCTGGCAACTTGAGCCGATCCCCGCTTTTTCGCCCCCAACCGACCAACACGACCGCCGCTTGGGCGACGAAGAAACCGAACCCCCCGGCCGGAACGCCCGCGTTGCGCAGCACTGCGCCCAGCACTTTCCGGGAGTTCACCTTCAGGCCCACGTCCTCCGAGCAACAAACATCCGAAAGAGCGAAGAGCACGACGGGCGGAGAGCTCGCCAAAGACTTGCTGGGTCTGTGTATGTTTGTGAGGGTACCTAGAGTCTCCATGACCCTGAAAAAATGGTTGGTCATGACCCAAAAGAAAGGGGTCATGACCCCATTCTTAAAGGGTCATGGAGACTCTAGTTGTTTTTCCCGGGTATCTGTGTTGGGGTTGGTGTCAGAGGTCCCGCTCAACTTCTCGGTGCTTTCCCTGCCGAAGCCATGCTCGTGTTGCGTCTTCTGGTGCCCGTCCTTGGAGGTGATGCCTACCTCGGCTGCCAGGACCCAACGCTAAGCAAGTGCTTCCCAGTGCTACTGAAGTAAGTAACCACTTCGTATCTTGTCACAGGGGTTGCTGGAATTATTTTTGAAAGTTCCAATTCACAGGTGCGCTTTATTGGACCTGCCATTTTCTGAAGGTGACAAGGGCAACTGAAAAATCCTTGTGTTAAATCATGGTTTCCCTTGGTCACGTACAATAGTGGGAAGACTCCAAGCCTGCCTTGGTTTCTAAAACGAGCCATGGCGTAACATAATGGACATGTTCAAGCGAAATGTCCAAGCAGACCGCCTATGGTTGGGCTTCGAAGGATCAAGCAATACACCTGAAAGCCACACCCGCATTTGAGGAACAACCAACCAAAACACAAAACAAACTTTTTGGAAAACTGGGCTAAAAGCGAACCTTGGCTACACCCGGAAGGGACTCCCTCGCCTTGTGCTTAGATCCGATCCGGAGGGTTCTGCCAACTGGCCGGATCAGAAATCACGGGGTTTTGGCGGTGAAACATGTTGAGACAAGGGCTTGGCGGCGCATTTCCCGGATATTTTCCGGGATTTCCCAAATTAGTTCAACCAAAAGGGAGTCTGAAGGGCACACATTTGGGATGTCCCCAATATGTTCAACCAAGAGGGAAAGGGCAAACCCTGGTTTGGTCCGTCTTGGCTTGCCCAGCTCCGTGTAGGCGTGCCGCAATTTTGGTTGATATCCTGCTAACAAATCATGCTTTCGTGGGATATGAGCACGAGCATGAACAACTGCTACAAGTTGTTGCTACAGTATGCGGTTGTTTTCTGCACAACAAGAAGTCTATCTTTTCGCTGAATAGCGAGGACGCATCTGTCACAAACCTCAGAGGATAAAGCAAGGTTGCCATTTTCCCCCCTCCCCAGGCTCGTTTATGAGAATCCCTGCGTCTGTTTGGGCACTCCCCCTTCTGTCCTTTGACACATCCAAAGGTAATTCAATCAACCTGAACCACTCCAACAAGGGTGGCAAGTGTATAATCATGTCAGCCCCGTGTCTGGTGACAACCCATACCAGAATTTCCGCAATCGAAAGCGACCACAAAGCAATAATCAACACAGTTGCTCCGAAATTCTGGGCACTAGTATTCTTGAACATAGAAACTGAAAGGGGACACTACTGCGCGTCCAAATTCGTGCTAAAAAACGGGACATCTTGACATCCTGCGTAACAGTGGGGAGTTGGCAAAAACTTGCACTGACTTCTCTGACTGACGTGAATGCGCTTGCGTCTCACGCAGGTTTGCTTGTGTAAGCTGTCGTGCACTGACTTTCGCCGCCGAGTGTAATTAGACCGTAGCAGTTGTCTACCCTTGATCTAAAGGAGCAAGCCAAGACTAGTTGTTTGATCAAGTCCAGAAAATAGCTTTTCTCTGCCACTCCGAGAGGAAACAACTATATACCCAAACAAAACAACAAGCAAACCGAAAAGGAAGCCAACAGGAAACCACCAGCAACACATGTTGGGTTTGACCGAGCTGGTTTGCTCAAAATCGGGCGGATCACTAATCCTAATCCGTAATCCTTCATGGGACACCACTACAAGGAAAACAACCACGGATCGCTGGACCAACATGGAGTACGTGAAACCTAAGGGAACGCTAAGGGAAACCTAAGTACATCCAAGTGCGACCGGTCGGGCTTAGCCTCAAGCAAAGCTTGTACTCGCAGTTGACCGAATGTGGGTCGGTGCTTTTTGGGGAAGATTCACGTTTGGCTAAAAGGGGCATCAAAAGGACCACCATCGTTTTGTTGGATCCCCTCTGCTGACACAATACTCTTTTGGAGGAAGGCTGCCAAGCAAAAACCTGTTCACTTAGGGAGTCCCAATTTGGGTTAAAGGGGGTCAATCAGTTTCGGATCCGTTTCCGTCAAGTCACCAGCTCGAAGAAGGAGCAAATTGCCGACAGCAGCTCCACCTTGGGGAATGGCCCAGAAATAGAGGGCGATCGCTGTGGGGGAGCTTGACGAAACACAGACGATGGGAAAAGCGAAGGTCAAAACGTCGGTTTTGGACCAAGCCATGGAAAATTCTGAAACATGACCAAGGAAACAACATGAAATTGGTTTTAACATAGGGGGATCCAGTAAAAATTGTATGGTTCCTTTTGGGAACCATCTAATGCAACCTAAAAATTTGGGAACCATCTAATGCAACCTAAAAATGGCAACCGCAGGCTTCGTCCTGATGGCCAAACCTGGATACCCCAGCTCCCCGCAACCAGCCATGTGAAATCCGGGTCGTGCGCAAGATGAAGCGGCTAGAATTGTTATCTGAGTTGTTGTGGGCAGTGGAGGCTTTACCTGAACTTGTTTGTGCTACAAATGTAGGCAATTTCTGGCTACTTTGTCATATTCAAGGAGGTTCATTCCCTTTCCATCACAGAACTCCAGTGGTCCAACTTGGTCCAATGCCGTGAATCTCAACGTGGCAAGCCCTCTTTTGGCAACGAAAACCACATCGTTGACCTTTCTGTGGTGACTGCCCACAGTTGTTGGTCTTCGCTTGGGGGTGTGATTGGTTGTCCCAAAGGGAACAAGTCATGAGCATCCTGAATCTCTATGGTATTTGACATCATTCTTGTTAGCTAGTTTCCCAGGTCTCACTTCCTGAGACATCCTCAATGTGGCATGTCTCGTGCCCAGAGGCATTGTCAACCCCCACGCACAACACAGGCGACCCCAAAAGAGTTGGATGATGAATTGTTGTTCCCTGAAGAGCGGCTATCAATTCTTGTGTATCACGGAAGGAGGAACCAACCCGACTTATTCCGAGAACCCTGCTGGTTCATTGTATGCGCGCTGGAACAGAACTGCTTATGCTTATTACTTGTTTCCTTCATGCTGGGCCAATTGCGCTGTCCCTCTGTGTTTTAATATTGTACCCCCAGGTCTTCTGCGCACTAAGGCTAGAGTATCCATGACTTGGGGGCGGGAGGGAAACGAAAGCCAGCGTCTGCGCAATGCTCATTCTTCAGGAGATGACAGGGGAGGAACAACGCCCAGGGCGCTCGACGCGGCAGAGCCAATCAGAGCGTATAAGTCTTAAGACCAGGGAACAGAATAGAGGAAAGAGCAGAGGGAAGGGCGGACGCAAACTATCACAGAGTTGTGGGATTCGCTGGTCCCATTAGATACTTGCTGAAGCAAGAGGGACTCCGGCTAGCAAGCTAGCTTTCGTGATATATCGAAGAGAACCCCAACCGAAACAAACTAAAAAGGCAGAACCCTCTAACCCAACCGAGTGCGGGAACCGCCCTGCCTCTGCGTGGACGGTTGTCACACCCACGATGTCCATGTTCCACCTGGCAAGCTGATACTACACTACTGGCCCCGAATTTCTTGGACAGCAGTTAGCGCGCAAAAACCAAGCATATACATGTATATCACAGCATCGTGGGAATCACTGGTCGCATTGGGAAATTGCTCCCATTCAAAACCGGACTATCCCAAGTACAATACAACCTTCCCCCCAACAAATCGCAGACTCCCTAAGGATTAAGGGGCCCAACTTAGCTGGATCCCGACCCACGTCTGTTCGCTCGTTTTTGCACCCCGGTGAGCTCGCAACAAACACATGGGATCCTATCAGTGGGCTTGGGGTTCCCGGCGGTCCATTGAAATCCCGACCCCGACACAAAAAAATACGAGCCCTCCCCTCCACATACTATTTGACCACAGGTAAATGTCTTGGGAAGCACGCTTTGTGTGGTTACACCCCCCAGTTCTGTACATCTGCACTCCTTGCAATACTTCAATACCCTGAACTTGACCTTCAACATGGGTTACATCCCCTGTTCCCGCAAAGCATGCCGGGCGGGCTGGTAGTGTTCCCGCTTCCTTCCGCGCTGGCACGTTTCGAAGCGCCTGGGACGTGCCAGCCACAAGTGAAAATGCGCACCTGATTGAAAACAAATCATTGAATCAAATCAAAACAAATAATAATTCTAAGAAAAAACAAGGCTTTAAAAAAGCAAAACACCTGTTTAGAGATAGATAAACACATTGCTCATCCCTCTCAACACCACCACACGAACCTTTTTATTTTCTTGTGAAAAGCCGGAAAGAACAAAACACACAAAAACAAAAACAATGATTTCCGCTCTGCACGTGGAGATGTGGCTTTACTGAGGGTATCCTTGCTGTGGATGGTTTAAATCAACACCCAAGTGCAAACTGCTGCATGTGGGGGGGTCCCCCTTCTTTGAAACAGGATTTAGCAACACAGGATGTGGCCATCCATTCTGCTGGGGACAATCCAGCCCCCTGAGCAAACTTGCGGTCTTTGCCCCCCCCCCCCCCCATCATTTCCACAATGGGAACACATTTGGGATCACGTCCCTTTTTGTTCAAGGCACACCCTGATTCTCAACGGTGGTAAAGACAAAAAAAACTAGCAGGTAAAACTTCAATGGCTTTACCTACCAAGGCGTGGCACTCTTGGCAGAGAACGAGCCGGGGAACATCTGCATTCAATCTGCATCACGGTGCAACCCATAGTGGCCAGGGCAGTACACAGGGGCACCCCGAAATTCTAGGGGTTGATTCCCCGTTCTTTTCAACCATCGTTCTTTTCAAAAACCGGCAGTTTTTTTCCCCAGGGTTTTGGAGGGGGGTTTTGGAAAGATTCGGATGGGGTTCAGAATGGACATGGAAGGTTCCCCCTAGAGACATGTGCGGTCCTGTGTCACTTTAGACCTGTGAGGTTTATTTTTTCTCTTTGCCACCACACACACACAGCCCTCCATTTGGAGTCCCAAACTCAGGTGAGTCGGAGCTTGGGCCGAACCCAAACCTGAGCGGTGAAGCCAACCCACACTTGCTTTGCTCACTTCCTGAGTGGATTGGCCAAAAACCTCCGAGCTTCTTATTTACCACTAAGACGGTCTTCCCCAACACTTTCAAGTTCAGGAACTCAGGAAGTGAGTTTAGTTGGATGACCTTGAAGAACCGGGTTTCCCTGTTAACTACATCCTTTTCTGGTCAGTAGTTTATATGATAATTGCGGCAAAAGTGGGCATTTGGAGATCAGGGGACCTGTGTGCTTGTACCTTCCATGGGTGTTTCCACCCAGTGAGAAACGTGACCCATGCTGACTTGCAGTTGATTCCCCTCCCACCTGCACCGCCCAAAAAGTAGGTCAGTTCTTCTCTACTTCATAGCGGCTCTCCCGGTTTTCTTTCGGTTTCGCGCCACGAACTCTCACCCCAACCCCCAAAGTCTTCGCCATGCAGCCAGCATTGCGGAATGGAGAACCACTTCAGCGGCAGCACTGCAGACATCTCTCCTTGGAGCGGGGGTTCTATCCATCTGAACTTTCAACATGGTGGTTTCCTTTTGGTCTGTTGGAAAAGGGAACGCTTTGAGTTTCCAGACCCCCAAGTGGCCATGGACAACAGGAAACCTCTCCAAAAAAGCACAGGAAGCAAACAAAAGATGGCACCATGGGGCCAAGCTGTGGCTTTCTTTGAGGAGGCACCGCGCTGAGTCACGCCCGCAGTGCTTGGACCCCGCAATGAGCTTTGTCCCCTCGAATCCCCGTGGCAAAACCCAGCGAATTTGGAAACCCGACATCAAGCCACCCCTTTGGAGAACGGAAAGAGCCACGAGGCAGACCCCTGGCAACCAAACAACATGTGCCTTAAGCAGGGGACCCACCCAAAAAACAGTGTTCCCTTTTGGTTTCTCTTTACAGAAACCCCCAAAAAGATACCCACAGTTGAAGTCAGACTCATATTGTACCCGTCTCCAAGGGGCCAAACTGAAACGACAAGTCAGGCCGGCCAGCAACTGGTCCCTGTGCAGGAAGTTCAACATGAAGGGACAAATGGCTATGTGGTCTGAATAGCGATCCAACTTTAGGGGCATGTTCAAGTATGGTTTTGGAGGCATGGAGGTTGCATAGCTCTAATTGTAGACTGTATGTGTGGTACTTAAGCATCCATACCTGCAAAAAACATGCCTGAATATGCCCTTGAAACTGGGGCTGCTGGTGTCTGCCATGGAACATGACATGCACATTGTAAACAAGGTACATCATCCAGATCAATAAGTTGATTTGGTCCTGCTTGCGTCATGATTCATCGATGGGAAGCAACTCACTGCAGTTCGGAACTTGACGTATGTCCAACAGCGGAAACTTCGGAGGGCAACCACCAACACACCATTTTCCGGGAGTTGGTCGGCATAGATTCCCTGAACAACATGCTGAGAAACCAAGTCCTTTCGGAATCCAAGATAGAAGAATCGGTTGGATTGCTTTCAAACAGCCAAGCCTCCCAACAAGCACCGCGAAGTCTGACCCCTTTCTCCGAATATGATTCGATGGTTTATCAGGACTTGTCCGTCCAGCTAGTTGTCATGTAGGTACTAATACCCCCCCCCCTTTCGTGCGAGCATCTTACATGTCGGGAAGAGGCTTGTGGGGTTTCGGCCAAAAGGGATGTTTTTTGGGGCTGATTCCATGTTTAAACGGGAATCCAACCCCACCAAAGAAAAGGGGATGTATTTGGCACAGTGGATTCCAGGATTCCAGTTTCCCTTGTAGGTAACCCTTCGCCACGTTCTCTTTTGGTTTTAAAGGGTGGTTCCCTTGGTTGCCTATGTACAGATACAGGTATATAAATGGATCCACATAAACATGAAGCAAGGGAACCAAACCCCGTTTTTGTCCATGTCTGCTGGTAAGGCTTTTAGCAGTGATCTGCCTAGGAGAGCACAAAGCATTCATGGCGGAGGGTGAAGCATGGTACGGGCGAACCTGTGTACGTTCGGGGGACAAAAAAAACTGCTTTCGCCGTCCATGGCAGCCGCGCAGCCGGGGAATTGAAAATCTACACCCCCGAGTTCTCCTCGGGGGATCGGTCACACGTGGATCAAAAGGTCGATGACTGCCCCGACAAAACGGCAAACGATACTCATGGTTGCTTTCTGCTAAGCCCTGCAGAGAAGAGACTACTTGTAGTGGTTTAATTCGGAAAGCCCATGAGTTGGCAACAAGTCAAAGTCCTAACATCCCTTGGCAAAATGCAAAGTGCCCATGTTCATTTGGGGCCCTTGGTCGGCTCTCAAGTTCAAGGGCCTCCGGGTCTGGATCTTGCGTTGGCTTCGCGCAAACCAAAGGCCCCAAATGGCACCAACGAAACCACAAAACCAGTGGTCTGCGGGGGTAGGTCTAGGACCTGGGCACCAATCAGGTCTCAAATCACGATCCTTCCACCCGTAGCGCGGATCTATGTGACAGACTCTACTTCATTTCGCTTAGCTCCTCCAGTGAGGTTAGAATCAGGGTACCAACTTTTTCCGCAGTCTATTTTAGGGAAACCCTCCGGGACCCAAAAAAGAAAGGGTGAACAAGGGGCACCACTTGCTGGGGGACCTATGAAGCTCCAGGCACCAACGAGCCGCGGGGCCCCGGGCCGGTCTCCGCCCGCATCAGGCTCAAGACCTGAGGCGCTTCGAGTCAACTGCGCTCCAACCCGTCCATCGAGGCAAAAGGGCTTGGAAGATTTTCCGGGGGTTTCTCAGGAGGGGGTTGACATGGGTTGACCAAATTTCCATTTGGCGCCCCAAAATGAGCATGGGGAACTGTTACCATGTGGTGAACTCAGCTTCTCGGTGGTTTCCCCAATTCTTCACCCCAATCTGAAGGACCTTTGGATCAACCCCCCTTGCGCTTGAGGGGCCAGAAAGGGTTCAAAGCACTTTTTGGATATGCTTCGCGCCCCAAACGGTCAAACGAACTGCACCGGCTCCTGTCAACGGGGCGCCGCGCCATCCGCGCCAGGCTCGGAGTCATCTCAGGCCTCGAGCTGGGTAAATGAAAAGCGACTGGGCAAAATGCTCCCAGCGCAACCAAATACCCAATGAAAAACACCATGGATTGAGCTTTCAATAGGTAAGCAGAGGGAGTCACTCCCAAAATTTCAATCTAAAAAACGATTGCCTAGATCCCCAGTTGCCTTTATTTTCCAGCTACTTTGACCAAATTATGAACTACTGGATAAAGTGGCTGGAAAAAAGTGGCTACTGGGGGCTGGTGATTGAGCTTTCCACTCCCCGTCTCCACTCCCAGAGGTTGATGTTTTTCCCTCGGAAACCCCAGAGGTCTCCTGGACTGTGGGCGCGGAGGCTTGGTGCGTAGGCAATGAGACATTGAATGACCCGGAACTAAACCATCCAACTGGTGGATTCCTTTAAGGACCCCTGGGTTCATTCCCACATTCCCTATCGCACCAGCGAGTTCTGTGGGCAGTTGATTTTCATGCTGCGCTCTTTTTTCAGGGTTGAAAGAAGGAAAGGCCTCGCAGGTCTCAGGGCTTGTGCGCATGGACCCGCGGATAGCTGCTGCGATTTGGATCGTACTCCGGCCACCCTGGGCGGGCCAGGTTGAGAACCCAACTCCGGCGTAGGTTTACTGAGGTCGAAGGGGTAAGGTTCCTTCCCAGCACCTGGGTTTCAGCCCTTGGGTAATTTTGGACGCAAAATGGACACTCCTGTGAACAGAAAAACGTCAGCACATAAGCTTCGGGGAAAGTTCTCCAAGGCCCTATCGGAGATATGTCTTGATCCTTTAGGAGCACGGGTCAGCTGATCAGACAAATGCATATCATAGATACCAGGGCATGGTTGTGGAAAACCCTTGTGATGCCAAAGTGGAGCTCCCATCCCAATTACTACTTTATCATCGGGGGTTTCCTTGGTATCGCATTGGCCCTAAACCAGGCAACAGCATCCTGGTGCCCAGCCTAAGCGTCACCGCGTTGCCATCCTTGTCAGCAAAGTTGTACCTTGGGCGTTGTTTTTGTCCAATTTAATGGATTTCAGCTGACCCCTAATCGGTGCTTGATTGGTGGTGTGGGGATTTCACCGCCCTTTTGTGGAGGGTAAATGGAAACCAAACCCTAACCTCCAAACCCTCGGGCTCCAAACCAGTTAGAGGGAAGTTGAGGATTGGTGTGACAAAGTCCAATTTGTTCAGTCGTGGATGTTATGGACCGGGGCATCTAACCGAGGTGATCCCTTCCCGTTCGTTTATGGAAGGTTTAGGTTTTCTTGCATGCATTGGAGGCCAAGTGTTTCCAAGCTGACAAACTTGAGAACACATATCGGGCATCCCTAGGTTGATGCGGACCTTGCTGTGTAAAACCCATGGGCGTGTCTGGGAACGGTATGCCTTGTTGAGGGCCGAAATGCAGGCATACATTGTGCTCAATTCAACCAAAAAAACAGGACTCAGACCAGGGTTCCTTTGAAACGTTTGTGAAACTCAGCCATCGCTATGGGGTCAATCCGGTTTTGACAGGTGCCGGACAAGAAACGTGGCAAATCAGGTTCCCATTCTTCTCTATTTGCTTCACGAAAAGAAAAGCAGTCCTGCGCTTCGTCAAAACGAAAAGCCCCAATCCTCAGCTTTGGCTAACGAACCTTTCCACCATTACCAATCATTTCCCCATAGGAAGGGGAAGCTTATAGGGAAGCATCCCGTTTTTGCAAGCAAGAACTCGGCTCAAGAGCCCCTATCCAGCTTGCGTGATTCACGCCAACACTGCGCCCAAGTGCATGTGAGTTGGGCATCCGTGAGCATCGCGCGCCTTGCGTCTTGAGTCCAGATGTGTTTCAATCACATGCTGGATTGAAACATTAAACAAGAGTCCTGACAATCTTGACTTTTGCGCCTGAAGCATTTTGTCCCCGAAAGGATGTGATGCAGGCCTGCTGGGCTGAGAATCTTGATTCTAAAGCGTTCTGCGCAAACACGCGCGCAGAGAGATGCCAACACGGGAGGGGTCTGGGGTTCGAGGGGGCACCCGTATGTGTATTCGACGCGCGCGCGCGTGCTTGAGGCCGCTCGTGGGGCAGTAAGTCACGGAGGACTCCCTCCGATCTAAGCTCAGAAAAAGGAAAACGCGCGAGCGGCATCCCAAAATGCCTTTTCAGCAGCATAGCTGCCGGTGGCAAGCCGCGCCACGAGACCAGGAAAAAACACACACACTGGAAGCAAACAGCTGTCTGAGCTGAATCTGAGACCGCGCTCAAAGTACACCCGTCGAGGCTGATCGTTGCATGAGGCGGCTCGTGCTTAGAGCCCTGTTGCATGACTGACACCTAGGCTTGGCCTGTCTGTTTTGTATTGCGGTTTAGTCGCACCCGATGCCTTGATCACCCATGAAAAAAACTCTTGGATATTGACGGTGGCCCTAGCCTGGCATGAAGGACACACTGCTACAAGTTGCCCGCGGGACTTGATGCAAAAGCTCAAGCGTGTCAAGTGTGTTGGTATCGCTTTCGGGTGGTTGAAAGCCTAACTAAGCTTGGCCTTCCTCTCAGCTCTCGGCCGCGCTGTAACCCTGCGAGCAAACGGGCTCTATTGGTATTTTGGGGCGGTCTGCCCAGAAGCAATGGGCTAGCGAGGGCAATCTCTGAGTACATGCGTTGGAACAAGCAAGGCAGTCTCCCAGCAAGGGCCCAACCCAAACAAAAGGCTCATTTTCAAGGTCGCTGTCTTCATTTTCTGGGCGCTCAACTCATCCTCGTGTGGAAACACAAAAAGAACGCAAACACAACCTGATGGTTTTTTGAGGGCGGGCCCCCCCGCCCCTTCACCCCAACAGGGCCCATTAGCACCCAATATCGTTTTTGAACATGTACTGTTTTTCCACAAGCGCACCTGTTCAAGACAGGGCTCCCTGCCACTTAAGCAAGCATTTTGGCCTTCTCTGCAGCACAATCGCAAATTCGATTGATTTGGTGGGAGCTGCCCTTCAATGGCCCCCCAGTGCGGTTCATGACTAGCATCATTGATAGCGAGACCCCCGCAAAAAAGGCACACAAAAGTACCTTGACCACCCCAGCACTGGAACTAAAACGGCAACCGACAAGTACGACTAACCATGCCGGTCCGGGGTGCATCTGATCCACAATCTCCTCACCTGCCTTGCGCTTGAAGAGCTCCTTCCGCCGTTTGCCCGGGATGCATGTGGAAGGACCAGCAGGACAAACGAAGAAACCATAGAACAAGAAGCCTAAGCCCGCCCAGCCCACTCTCACACACGCCCCTCCAGCCCCAGATCCACATGCAAGGGAATGCAACTGGGAAAACCCACCGGGATGTCTTTAGTAGGGCTTCTAATTGGCTTGTTGCGCGCAGCTGCGCCTTGCTTTTTTGAACTATTCTTTTTTGGGTGTTCGGGTTTGTCACTGGCCCACTTGTTTTTTGTTGTGCGGCTGGATTTCTTTCAGGGCCTGTTACTGGTCTGCTTTGTCGGGCTGCTGCTTTCGAACAATTGGAATTTTTAGTAGGCGTCTCATTCGCTTGTTGTGTGCGGCTACCGTTTGTTGCGCTAGCTTTTTTTTCAGGGTCTATCACTGGCCTGCTGGGTCGGCCTGCTGCTTTTCGTGAAGTGGGATCTTGTTTGTGTGGGTTGTAATTTGCTTTTTGTGTGTGTAGCTGCCGGCTTTTTGCGCAGCTTGAATTTTTTCAGGGCTACTTGTCGGGCTGGTGACTTGCGTGCGGGAATTCCAAATTTGCTTGTTGTGTGTGTGCGCGCTTTTTGGGCTTTGCGCAGTTGGTTTTTTCAGGGTCTGCCACTGGCCTGCTTGGTCGTTCTGGTGCTTTTCGTCAAGTGGGATGTTTTCGCTGGGCTTCTGGTTTGTTCTGTGGCTGCCGCCCTTTTTTGCGCGACTTGATTTTTTTCAGGGACTGTCACTGGCCTTCTTGGTCGGGCTGCTGCTTTTCGTCAAGTGGTAGAGCCTCTAAGTTGCTTGTGTTTGGCGGACATGTCCTTGGGCTTTGTCCAAGTGCTCCGACCAAAGGTCAGCGCCTTTTCTTAAGCAGAAGAGTCTAACAACCAAGGAATCGGACACCATCGCCTCCATCGCGCCCTGGCAGCACATGATGGAGCAAGTGACAACCCCTGACGAGCTTGCACAACTACATGCCCACTTCAACGCTGCGAACGAGATCCCTGCCGGAATGCGTGCTGCAAATTTGAAATCATCCCAACACTGAGCGAGCCTTTCCAGGTCCATTTGCAGCCACGTGCTTCTGTTTACCTACACTTGCACCTACCTTCCATAGGCTGTGGACGTATATCGCTTTCTTAGGTTCTCAGCCTTGGCACAGAGAAAGCCAAGCGCTTAAGCCTCTTGGGGTGGCAACCGTGGAAAATGTATTCCATACATTTCCCTTCCCCCCCCACTGGGCATACATTATGAAAGGGGTCCCCCGTCACTCTTTTCCAGGTGAACTCTCCGCAAAGGCAGAAGTCATGTTCCCTCCGCAGACTCCCAATTGCATGGGTATCCTCGTGCTCTAGCACTGGGGCATCGTACTGTTGAAACCTCGGTAGCGGATACGCACACACACGCGCGAAAATCGCTCGAAACTTGGAAACACAAAGCTGTTCTTGGTAGGAAGTAGCCTGGCAACGCAAAGTGTGAACTTTAGAACAACACGGGTAAGTTGCGCTGGTTTGTCTTGCCCGGCTATCAACTTCGACCAGCTGGTAGGTGGTCACAAGGGCCATCCACATGTGTGTCAAAAACAATCCCTTCTTCTGGCCTGATTCTAGATATATCAGGATATATATATATATCATGTAGGGCGGGGGCAGGGGGGAGTGTTGGTTGCCCTCATTTTGGCGATCTTGGGGATGGGTTATGATGCGTTGGTCTGGACACTGACACCGCTTCGTGCTGACTTTGTTGATGGACGAAACCACCGCAAAACGCCGTTTTGCCCACTGCAAGAGTGAACTGCTGGCTTGCCTCCGTCAACTGCCAACAAGGCAAATGCACTGACCGCGCCGGCGGCTGCCAGGGTGCTGGTGGCAGTTCATGGACTCCATCTGCACATTTTATAGTTCAAAAACCAGAAGTAATAAACCAGGTAAGAGGCCTTCATGATGGCTGAGCTTGTCCTGGCCCGAGAGAAGCTCATGGCAATGTGCCCAGAGTTGATGATAAACTGTGCCGATGCCGGTAACAGCCCCCCCCCAACTTACCTGCTACACTTCTACCCAGGAAGGCCTCCCTAAGTCGCTTGTGGTCAATTCATCACACGTCGACAATTAGCAGGCAACGTTTGTGTACATCGAACATGGGCCCGGGACACCCTTTCTGTGGATACGGAAAGCAACCGAATTGAAGACCTGGTTGGAGGTCCCGAGTTTAGAGCCATTCAAAGCCTCAAGCCCACCAACGAAGCTTCCGCCCCAAGAGCTTGATTCAAAGGAGCATCAGCCCAAGGGGAGCTCATGCTTCGATGTAAAATTAGCTCAATATATTGTTTGGGGGGTACCCTTTGTTTATCTTGGTTATAAAGGGAAACTACAGGGTTTTGGGGGGTCTCCGAAAAAAGGCACGCCCCTATGTCCTTGGGCTCCCGGTTTTCCGACCATTCTTCTTGCGCAGCTCACGGACCCAACTGGCCATAACCCCCAGTTAGCCCCAGTGAACATCCCAATCCAACCACTAAAACAGGTTCTAGAATGGGTGGTGAATTCACCTATCCCAAATGGGATCCCATTGGCTAGGTCCTCCAGTAGAGAGGCTAGAATAAGGGTACCCATTCTTTTTCTGTCGTCTCTTTTAGTAGGGGCTTGCCCTCCCCCCAAAAAGAAACGGTAAAAGGGCACGATCCTGGGGGACCTAGTTGGTTTTGAACCATGGCCAACTTCTTGCCCGGCAAATCTCATTGCCTGGGGGTCCCTGCCCATATAATCGCGCAGTCTCCTTGAACTTGCCTCAGGGATCAACCCAAAAACATCCCAAAGCGGTCAACAAGGCCCCATGCACTTTCAGCCCCCCCTTTTTCTGCGGGGACAAGTGTCCAAAACAAAGATGCTCAGATTTGTTGTGTCATATTTCGTCTGACATGTTTTAGTGGAGACCCCATTTGCAAGAGTTTATATAGCCCGGAAAAAAATACACCCGCCTTGGCCCCAAACAGCAAAAAACTTCATGTAAGGTGCGAAATTGAGTAGCTTATGTGAGCAACACATAGTTACAATCAGTCCACGTGTGTCCCTGCAGGAAGTCCCCTTTTTTTGGGAAGAGGACACATCGAGTCCATCCATCTCCTTGACGCCGGGTAAAAGCATCGATGTTGTTCATCGACTTCGAGGAGAAAATTCCATGTCAATGCCATGTTCGAGAGTGAAAGCCCCGGGGATTCGGGGTGAATCAACCTAACACCTGGCATTAATCAAAGGAAGTTTCGACGGAACTTTTCGTAGTACGGACACTCAATGCACTTTTCCATCACCGCAGCATTTGGTGGCCGTCTCGCTACTCTGCTGAAACTTGCGCATCAGTCTCAGCAGCTTGCGGCCGAGACTGGACACATGCCACTTCTGGTTGCTATCTTCTTCTCGAGCTCGGCTAAAGGTCTTGCCACAAGCAAAGCAAGAGAGCACTTGCATAATAAACTTGCAGACTGCGCCTTGGTAGCGTTACGGCCGGGACATCCTCGCCTAGCAATGCAGACACACGCCGCGCCAAATTGGCAAGCGTCAGCAAAGGTGCCCGTTTGGCGCGCACCTCTGTCACCCGGCACAGCTCGGGCCTTCATCTCTGTCGTGTCCAGCGCGCCGCATGCTCCCAAGATGGCCAACGCATGGCTTTGCTCCATGTGCCCAACGCCGCTCCATTCTGGAACGAGCTTGGCTTTGAACGTCAGCTCCAGCCCTGCTCCATCTCGGACATGTGAGAACTTTGCCCCAACTTACCAACGCTGGCTGCACAGTGGGCCACCAGCTTGGCCGGGTTCATCTTGGAGTTGGTGCTTATGGTTCGCAGATTGGTGTTCACATGTGTGGTGAACGACCGGCGGCCGTCATCTCAGCTCCAGCAGCACTGTAATCAACTGGCCGGTCTCTTTGCAAGTTGTCAAGGTCAGCAAAGTAGGTTGCCAGGAGCTCCTATGCATCAACCAAGTTTTCGAGGAGAGCTCGACAAGTGCAGGGACGATGCGAATAACTCTTACGAGAGAATGGTTTGGTTGGGAGCCCGACTTGCCCAGGCTGTACTTCCAGGACAATTCTTTCTGGAAACCGGTCAGAAAACACCTTGGAGCTTGGACCCCCCCCCTTACGATGCAACAAGCCTCAGAGAATGGCACCTTACGACATCCCGCCATGAAACCCTTGAGCCCTCGCACTTGCAAGCCCTGGTACTTTCGGACACGTGCGTCCATATTGCGGAATATGTGGAAACAAGGCTGAGAAATCTGTCTTCAACCCTTCTGTCAGGAGGCAACGAGATATGTCAAAGCGCGACCTTGCCATCACGCAGGTGTGAAATGCTCACAGGTGAGGAAAACGCGTCGCAGAACCAGCTAGCGAAGCGAAAGACTGGATATCATGTTGGCCGGGCCACATGGCTATCCAACTGAGAAGGTGCTAAATGCTGGCAACAAGATGGGAGGAAAGGTTTACAACAGCACTGCCAACAAGAAAGGGTGCTCGAACTGCAGTGATGCTACCAAGAGCAGACTAGAAGATGGGTGGCCCGAAAGCATGAGCAGCGCGCGGCGCCAAGGAATCCTAGCAAGTTCTCTGCGCAAGTTCCTCTGAGCAAGTTGTTGGCGCGAGTTCCTTGGAGCAAGTTCTCCAGGCAAGTTCTTGGCACAAATTATCTGATCAAGTTCTCTCAGCAACTTTTTCTGAACAAGTTGCGCGCAGCGACTGCCGCAACACTCTGGAACTTCCTAGTGCAACTCACTACTGCAACTTGCTAGCGCCATTTGCTGGTGCTACTTGCTAGTGCCACTGGCTAGCGCTACTGGCTCATGCATCTCGCTAGCGCTATCTTGCTCGTGCTACTGGCTTGCGCCATTTTGCTAGTGGCATTTTGCCAGTGCAACTCGCTACTGCTACTTGCTAACGCAACTTGCTTGCGCAACTTGCTGGTGTCATCCGCTGGAGGTCTTTCCTGCAGCGCCGCTTCATACGATTTTGGCTAAGATGGTGGCTGACCCCCGCACAAGCTCTCTGGTTGCCTCGCTGGTTAAATGCTTTCTGGAGCCGCGCCCCTTCTCCATTCCAAGTCGGTTACGGCCACTTGGCTGGGCTCTGCTATTGCACCACAAGGATGCAAACCAGTCAGCTAAAGCCTCTTTGGCTGGGCTCTGCTGATGCGCCACAAGGGTGCAAACCAGTCAGCTACGGCTTGTTTCAGGCGGGTTTCGCTCAAGGCTTGGATTTGGGTCGGTTTGTAGTCGCAGTGGTTTGGGCTTTAGGGCAGGCTTGGTTTAGGGCTGGTCTAGGGCTGGTTTAGGGTCAGTTTTAGGGTCGCAGCAGGGCCGCCTTGGGTGGTTCAGGGCTGGCTTGGTTGGGCTGGTTTGGGTTTAGGGTTGGTGTGGGGCTCGGGCTGGGTTGGTTCAGGGCTGGCTTAGGGCTTTAGAGCTGGTTTAGGGTTGAGGCTTGGCTTAGGCTCGGTTCAGGGTTGGCTTAGGCTTTGGCTGGTAGGGTGGTTTAGGATTCGCGGAGCAGGTTTAGGTTGGTGGCCGGTTGAAGGTTGGTTGAGGGTCGGCTTAGGGCAGTTTAGGACTGGAGCAGCATCACCTTTAAGAGCACCAGAGGAGCATCAGAGGGTGACTGGGCGAGCGCTTGACCTTTTGGCTGGGCTCTGCTCATGCGCCACAAGGATGCAAACCAGTCAGTTACGGCCACTTGGCTGGGCTCTGCTGATGCGCCACAAGCTTAACGGCCACTTGGCTGGGCTCTGCTATTGCACCACAAGGATGCAAACCAGTCAGCTAAGGCCACTTTGGCTGGGCTCTTGGCTGGGGTCTGCTCATGCGCCACAAGGATGCAAGCCAGTCAGTTACGGCCACTTGGCTGGGCTCTGCTGATGTGTTACAAGGATGCAAACCAGTCAGTTTCGGCCACTTGGCTGGGCCCTGCTGGTGCGCCACAAGGATGCAAACCAGTCAGCCTTGGTGGGCGGACGCAAGCCAGTCAGTTGCGGCCACTTGGCTGGGCTCTGCTGACGCGCTACAAGGCTGCAAACCAGTGAGTTAAGGCCACCCTGATGCGCCACAAGCATGCAAACCAGTCAGCTAAGGCCACGTGGCTGGGCTCTGCTGATGCGCCGCAAGGATGCAAACCAGTCAAGGCCACTTGGCTTTGCTGATGCGCCACAAGGCTGCAAATCAGTCAGCTAAGGCCGCTTGCTGATGAGCCGCAAGGCTGCAAACCAGTCAGTTACGGCCACTTGGCTGGGCTCTGCTGATGCGCCACAAGAATGCAAACCAGTCAGGTACGGCCGCTCTGTTCCGCCACAACGATGCAAACCTGGCTCTGCTGATGCGCCACAAGCATGCAAACCAGTCAGTTAAGGCCCCTTGGTGGGCTCTGCTGATGCGCCACAAGGATGCAAACCAGTCAAGGCCACTTGGCTGGGCTTTGCTGATGCGCCACAAGGCTGCAAATCAGACAGTTACGGCCACTTGCTGATGAGCCGCAATGATGCAAACCAGTCAGTTACGGCCACTTGGCTGGGCTCTGCTGATGCGCCACAAGGATGCAAACCAGTCACGTGTCTGGGCTCTGCTGATGCGCCACAAGGATGCAAACCAGTCAGGTAAGACTACTTGACTGGGCTCTACTGGTGCGCCACAAGGATGCAAACCAGTCAGATGCGCCACAACGATGCAAACCTGGCTCTGCTGATGCGCCACAAGGATGCAAACCAGTCAGGTAAGACTACTTGACTGGGCTCTGCTGGTGCGCCACAAGGATGCAAACCAGTCAGATGCGCCACAACGATGCAAACCTGGCTCTGCTGATGCGCCCCTTGGTGGGCTCTGCTGATGCGCCACAAGGATGCAAACCAGTCAAGGCCACTTGGCTGGGCTTTGCTGATGCGCCACAAGGCTGCAAATCAGACAGTTACGGCCACTTGCTGATGAGCCGCAATGATGCAAACCAGTCAGTTACGGCCACTTGGCTGGGCTCTGCTGATGCGCCACAAGGATGCAAACCAGTCACTTGGCTGGGCTCTGCTGATGCGCCACAAGGACGCAAACCAGTCAGGTAAGACTACTTGACTGGGCTCTGCTGGTGCGCCACAAGGATGCAAACCAGTCAGATGCGCCACAACGATGCAAACCTGGCTCTGCTGATGCGCCACAAGGATGCAAACCAGTCAGTTAAGGCCACTTGGCTGGGCTCTGCTCGTGCGCCACAAGGAAAAAGCAGCTCGGTATCAGACGTATTTGTCTATCGAAACCAGTCTACATATTTAAGGCTCGACAGGGCTCTGCTGATGCGCAACAAGGATGCAAACCTGCACTTGACCAAGAAGTGCGGCACTGGCTTCCAAAAAGCAATCAGCCGGATCTGGCTCCAACGATGGTGCACAAGAATGTTTCTAGCTTGATGCTTCTCAATTGCACTTGCGAGCTGCTGCCACAGGGGCCCGAACGCCGGTTTCTGGATGCCAAGCAAGCCAGGTCAGCCTCAAAACTGGGTAAGAAGAAACAGGTTCAGTTGGTTTTGCCCGAGATCTTCATTTTTCCTGTTGAGGGCTGTAAGCAGGAAAACAGCCAGCAAGGAAGGTCAGCCCCAAAACTCGCGGGACCCTGTTGAGGGCTGTAAGCATTAAACAAACAGCCAACCGCAGAGACTGGGAGACACAGGGAGACAAGTGGGAGACACGACCCCGGAGCCGGCGTCACAGCATCCGACCGCAGAGACTGGGAGACACAGGGAGACAAGCGGGAGACACCACCCCGGAGCCTGGCATCTGAGAGACAAGCAGGAGAAACGACCCCGCTGCCAGCGCCACGACATCTGGCGTCTGACCGCAGAGACTGGGACACAGGGAGACAAGCGGGAGGCGCGACGTCAGCGTCCTGGCATCTGACCGCAGAGACTGGGAGACACAGGCAACGCGATCCCGGAGCCGGCGTCGAGAGTGGGAGACACCGGAAACAAGCGGGAGCAGCATCTGGCATCTGACCGCAGAGACTGGGAGACACAGGGAGGCAAGCCGGAGAGACCACCCCGGAGCCAGTGTCTGGCGTCTGACCGCAGAGACTGAGATAGGGAGACAAGCGGGAGACACGACCCGGAGCCGTCACAGCATCTGGCATCTGACTGCAGAGACTGGGAGACACAGGGAGACAAGCGAAGCGGGAGACACGACCCCGGAGCCGGCGTCACAGCATCTGGCATCTGACCGCAGAGACTGGGAGACACAGGGAGACAAGCCGGCGTCACAGCATCTGGCATCTGACCTGAGAGACTGGGAGACAGGAAGACAAGCGGAAAACAGGACCCCGGAATGGGCGTCACACTTTCCCATTCTCTATACCTCAAGTTAGAACCCCAATGCTTCGTTGTTTGGGGGGAAAAAAACAGAGAAAAACAACTGTAGTAGATCCACCAACTTCATTGGTCAAGGCGTTTGGGCGCTGCTCAGGACATGTGGATCCAGGATCGATCAACTCCTTCGAGGCGCCACCCTGATCCGGGGTCGACACTATGCGCCCTGTGCCTCGCCGGAGGAAAATTCGGAAGCCAAGGGACACATCATCTTCCATTTGCTTATAAGCCCCCCTGGACAAAAATACAAAAGAACAGTCCAGTAGTGCTAGATTCCCTGTAAAACCAAAGGGGTTGAAAATAAGGCATATTCTTAGTCAAATGGAAGCCAAGGGAGGCTTTATCATTTGTTTCTTCTGCTCCTGAGCTCCCTGACCCATAGGATCACGTGGCTACGTGTCGTCTGGAACAAATGTTCGGCCGAGGCGCTGAAGAGGAAGTTCTGAAGCCTGCGATTGCGACAGCCCTCACAGGAACAAGACAGCCGAATCGAATCACCTCAGCGAGTTTTTTTTGTTTCAAGGCATGTTCAACCGGTTTTTGACCAAACAGTGTTTAAAGAACTGATGTTGTTGAGCTTAAGATGAGCTGGAAGCGAGGTAGGGGGCGGGGGAATTCGCATTGGGCCAAAGATGCAGAGAATGACCCTGGCCTCAGGCCTCAGGAAGCTTGCACCCCCACCCTACGCCAAAAATCATTCAACTGCTTCACCGGTGTCAATTGGTGGTTAAAACACCAAGCACGGTGAATTCCCAAAATTCAAGCCAGCATGGCTTGACAAAAGACATGCCATATGTTGTGCGAGTTCACTTGCACTAGTTGGGGCATCGGATGTATGTCCAATGAGTGGCATGTTCAGCGGCGTGGAGTCCATAAGGAAATGCAAACGGATTCTGTTGCTGATTGTTTTTGTCGCAGCTGCCCAGCGACACTGGTAGAAACATCAGGCCGATCTCGGGGCGAACCATTCTGAATCGAAAACCCGCCAAGCAGAAAGTCGATTTGAAGGCTGCCGCTAAAAGACTGGGGACACACACCTTCATTGCCTGCAAAGTTGCAACCCCCGTGTGAGCTTGGGATACTTAGACTAGGCTGTTGATCTGTTGGCTTCACCCCAAGGGAAAATTAAAACACCCCGTGGTGGCTATTACCCCTGTGCAAAACAGGCTTCATTTGTGGAAAAGTCACATGATCCCAACAAAATAGTTTAAAGATCCAACCAAATAGCCGCCCAGCCTTCCGGAATCACAAACCAACCTGCCAGCACGCCTGGTCTCCCTTCTTTGCTGGCGCTGCAGCAATTCAGCGAACAAAAGCAACATGCCTTATATGCCTTTTGAAGGCAGTCAGCACTGCCTTTTGATCCCCATTTCCTGTTGGAGGTAAAAGCAAGACTCCCCAAAACGGGATTTCTACTGCCGGGGGGGGCCGGGCAGTCCCATGGCCAGAGGTCGACATGCTCGGTTGATCGAACGCACACGTGTAGACAAGTGCTTCTCTCGTGTTTCGGGGGGTAGGGTGGGCTAGCTTTGGGTTAGTTTAGGGTTGGTGGGTTGACTTAGGGTAAAAGGGTTAAGTGTAGGTATTAGGGTGAGGCTCTAGTGCTCCTCTAGTGCTCCGGGGGTCAGGTTAGTGTTGTTTTTGCTTTTCCCTGTAAAGACCACCCTCAACTCAACTTGGCGAGGTACAGTTTCAACCATCCAACATTGAACACATGCGCAGCTTCCAGAAATCCCACAAACCCATAGACATGGCCCAACCCAAAACCGCGCAAACCGCCAGGAGATGGCCGAAAACGAATATCCTGGCAATGTTGCACGTTGCTCTTGGGGTACCTGACAAAGGCGAACATTTGCTGAAGGTGAAGACGTCTCCCCGATCGGTGCCTCATATCTGCTGGGAAGAAGTCCTTAGCAAAGGAGAAGCTCTCAGCCCGCATTTTGACAACTTGCAGCTGCAAAAAACCAAGGCCACCACCCGTTTGCAACTCAAAAAATGCCAATGATCCATCTCACCGAATTTTGCCCCCTCATGATTGAGTATCGAGCAAATCTTGCAACGTAATACAAACGTGTCAAACGAGGCTCTAGTGGTTTGGTGAATCTGGACTTGTGTGGGCCAAGTGTTGCAGCATTGCAACATAATCGATCCAAACCCCAGTTGAGTGGGTCTTCTAATCACGGGACCCCCCCACACGGTGGTGCTCATTTTGGTTCCCAACTAAAATGCAACCAAAAGGGCCTTTCCCTGGTTCATGGCTGGTTGATTTGCAAAACACATCAAAAGGTCCGTCTGGGAAAAGGGGAGAAATCCAACCAAGAGGCCTTAAGATGACGCCCAAACTGATCAAAGCAACACATGAATATGTTCTTTCTAAGGTGGGTTCTACTATCGACCTAAAAACGAAAGCCCTGTGACCAAAAAAACGAAAACATGAAAGCCCTATACCCCGCAATATTTTATGAGAGGCAAAAAGATCTGGGAAATTGGGGGTAGGCAATTTGGTCATCCCTTCAAAGCTCAAGCGTCCCAAGCCAAGTCTCTGTTGTTGCCTGACTTGTGGGGCAGTCGCCCCTGCCAAAGAGTCTTGCACGGACCTCCTCTGGAGATTCGATGCTGGTCTTACATGTGCCAAAACGCCGTTATGTGGCCATGGTCATGTTCCCTTAAAAGGAACCCGTGTCATAGTTGTGTACATTAAGTAAAGGGATCAATGATCCTCCCTGATTCGCAAGTAAAAGGGTGTTTGACCATGGTGGGCTCAAGGTTTGGGGAGGTGGGTCTTTGGGTGGGATTCTAGGACCCTTTGCCATACCTATACCTGAGTTGTCACACATTGAAATCTGGCAATCAAGAATCAATCGGGCGGCACCTATTTCTGGCACCGTTCGAAACTGTCTCTTCAGCTTTGCGCTCCCCCTTGGCAATGCATTTTCCATGCGCATTCTTGAAATGAGCGCCCAAAACCCATGGACTTTTGGCTCTACCAACATAATAGTCATAGTTCGTGCTGATTTGCCCAGGCCATGAATGTCTCTATTGGAAAGCTAGGCAAAGCGTCCAAGCCTTTGAGTACTGTTGGTGGGCTAGGGGTTTCGGAAATCCCAACTCGATCCATCCAACCCAGGAGACTGCAGACCCGCATCCCGCAAATTCAAACCAAGGCGCCCGTGTGCCACTGGGCGGTTCCAAGTTGATCTGCGGCCCTTTGGCTGCTACCTTGGCCGCTGCCTTGATCGCCTGCCGCTCGGATTGGCATCGCGGCAGGAAGCGGGGGGCGGGAATGCAACCAATTCCAAGTGAAACCAATGGAATTCCAGTTACCCCTTCCCTCAATCCCATTTTCAACGGGGGGATGTACATACCCCTTCTACCTGGCCCGAGCGCGTGCTGTTCATACCATCGCCAGGCAACGCTGAAATCGTATGCCTGGTGTTGCGTGCCAAAATCCGTAGTCTCTAAAAAGCGAGTCATGCCCTGGTTTGCGCAATGCGGGTGCAGCTCGCCATGCCAAACTGAGGGCAACTTGCTGCCGGAAAAGGAAGGGAAAATGCAGGGAACCTCAAAAGGGCAACAAGAGAAGTCAAAGTCCGGCAATGGGTGCTGAAAGAAATTAGTAGCTTGGGGGGTGCTTCAATCAAAATCCACCTGGGCCTGCGATTCCTGTGCCCGAAAACCACGGGGCTCGGGCTTCCACACACACTTCCATCCCCGCGGGCTCGGTTCGTCCGCAGGTTTGTTTACCCCATCCAAACGGTCACATCACTTCCTTGAGTCCTTCTCACACCGAGATGGACTTGATCCAAATTGGCTGACGGGTTCTGGACCTAAGCCAAGACAAAGAAAAGTAAGGGTTAAAAGGGAAACGGCGGTAAACAAACAGCCAAATGTTAAAAGGGCAAGGTAAGTCTGGCAAGTGCGTGTGTGTGTGTGTGAGAAAGGGGCATGCAGTCATAAATATACAGGATACACGGGCTATTAGAAGCAAACCGTTTCCATTGGACAGTCTTGAAGCTGAGTGAGTACCCCAAATCAAATGGAGCACTGGCAATGTTCCGGAAACCTAATGGTTTGACCCCCAGGAGTGCCACCCACAAAGCCTCTCCTCCCCGATCAACATCTCAGCGGATTGGCCAAATCAATTGAGCTTGTTTACCAAACATCACCATGGTGACCCCAAGAAGGCAAACAGCAGAAAAACTACAAGTGCGCGAGAGTCTCCCAAGAACAAAGGTCTCAGCAATGGCCATGTGCTTTTTGACGTGCAATGCCAAGAGCCGTCCAATGAATTTGGGACCCCAAAAAGCAAGGCGAACCCTATCGCGTGCCTCATTTTTGTGGGTACTCGCTTCAGGTTGGTTTATGAAAAACAAACCGCGCACTGCCAAGTTTCTCGAAGTTGACACATACCCGCAAGATTTTCCCCCCAAGAGGGCAGGCTTGATGTTTGTGGGAAATTGGGTGGGACCCCCCCCTCATCCTCCCCAAACTGGTAGACTATCAGCATGCTTGCTCAGCGGCTCATATGAGTCATAATCAAAACCTGGCACTAAAATGGTCTACCCAGAACCATGTAAAGAATTAACAAGGCGGCTGCACCCATTTATGGTTGGGATTGTCGTGAACTAGTCTTCATCTACCCGGGTGTTGATTTATGCTCGAGGTACTTTGACCCCTTTCCACCCAAACACAATCCGCGGGTACCAACTCCTGACCCTAGACACAAAATGCCAAGGGACCTTTTTCCCAGACTGGAAACAGCTAAGCACTAGCTCGGCCCAACGGACCTGGATATACAAGCTTACCCTTAGGCCGTGACTAAACATGGACCAAGGGAAAACCAAAAGGTCACAAAGGTCGGCTTTGACAAGCGTGCGGATGCTAGGTACCAACGTGGAACCAGTGGGAAGCGGGGGTGTTCGAAGGACCCCGCTGAGTCGACCCGGGACGGGTCACGCGAGACGGTCACGACTCGCCTTCTTATCTTCCTTCTTCTTGCCATTCTCCTCGCAGGCAGATTGAGGTCCAATGCACTCATGGCCATGCTGGACCCGCTTCCTGCAGGTTCTCAGGGTCGTTTAAGGGCTTGGGGAATATGCTTAAGGATCCCCAAAAGGGAAACCACCAGTTCGGTTCAGTTTGGGGTCATTCCCTCACCTGAAAACCAGCAAGTAACTTGAGACCTGGTTTTCCATGGTTCCAGCTTGGGCAATGAACTAAGGCTTCATACTTTAATATTCCGACGTCATTCAGCCTTCCTTTGCGCGGGCAGAATCTGCCTTTGGTTGCCAAGCTCGGTCAAGCATAGAGTACGGGATATCGGTTGACCGAATCTCACATGGGCTTGCATGGAAGCCCGGGAAAAGGCTCGAATCCCTCAACAAGTGAGGTCTGTTAAGACCCTGGGTTGGGGAGCCCCAAGTACTCTCGCAGCATCGCTGAACCCCAATGCATAGAGTCGCTGGCATGTCGAGCACCACTCTCATTGCGGCCAGCCCCCGGCCACCATCGATTCCGTGTCTCTCGCACTCCGTGCTGACACCATCGACATGGCCCCTCGCGAAGCGGAACCCTGAAAATCATGCCTCTTCAAATGGGTGTTCTTGGATTTTCGACATTTTCGGACAAGAAAACCCTAGGAATTCTGGATGGACCATTTGGTCTAAGTAAACCATACTACATACGTTTGCCGACTGCGTGCGCTTGCGACACGATGAGACAACATGGGGGTGCCTCAATTGCATATCCGGGTACTTGGTGGTTGGAAAAAGCTTAGGTCTGGCACATCTGACAAGAACAAATTCTACACTTCTAGGGGTCAAACATACAAAGTATCCAACGAGCTAGTCTAAAACACCTTGCCGGATATACAGGGACCCAACACAACGCGGCAAAGAAAAGACAGGCCCGCACGTGCTGCCAATACGGTAGTCTTCTAAATGACATCGTAGTCAGTGCAAAGGCGGAATGCGGCGCGACATGGTGCCTGTCATGGCAGTCATTCACAAGCACTCGCGACATCATGGACCAAGCCTCACAGGTAAAAGGCTGTGGAAGCCAAACATGCATCTGCCCTCAAAGTTCCGACTGCTTGTAGGATCCTCACACATGTTTGCTTTTCAGGACATTGGAGGACCACACGGCCTGCATTGGATGGGTCACCCTTAAGGTGAGCGAATTACTACACTTCCCCAAAAGGCCATGGACAACATGGGTTGTGGCTCTTGGTGTGTATGGTTGTATATTGGACTAACAATGGTGTCGGCTCCTCATGTGAGCTCCTTGTGTAGGTCATGATCATGAGTCTCTTGACATGATCCCGTATGTATGGTTGTCTAAGCTCCGCGCTAACCCCAAGTCTAGGCGCCTAGTTAAGGCAAGAACCCATGTTCTGTTGCCAAAGAAGGTACTTGAGGATCCCTCTTCTATTGCCCCCAAAAGGGGCGTAGACCAGAAAGAAAACAAATAACACCTATCCACCCCATCTTAGTCATACTCAAAACCAATTCATTTTGTCTACCTAGAGTCTCCATGACCCGAAAAAAATTGGGTCATTACCCAAAAGAAAGGGGTCATGACTCCATTTTTAAAGGGTCATGGAGACTCTAGGTACTCAAAGGAAATCCCAGCAAACTGGAAGGCCACTTTTTCCCCCCTCTCCCATCGCCCAAATCTCCTGCGCCATGGCGGGAGTTTCCGGCGTGGCCGACGGTTTTCGTCCCGCCTGGTCGACCGGGGCGACAAGGACTCAAGTGTTTGTTTGGTATCTGGGTGTGGGTGGTTTTGGGTACCTGGAACCCCAAGTAGCCACGTTTTTCCGGCCACTTTACCCACTAGTAGCCCATAATTTGGTCAACATAGCTGGAAAGTAAAGGCAACTGGGGATCCAGGTACGGTCTTTTTTTTGGTGGTTCAGGGAAAAAACCACCTTTTGTTTGACACGTGCAGCATCTGAAGGGGTGATCAGGACATTCCGTGAGGCACATGGTTGGAAACCATGGCCACCCACAGAAAGGCGACTTGCAACCTGTGAGTTGTAACCCTGGCTACCAACCTCGGTTGCGAAATCTGCTAAGCCCTGCTAAAAGTGACTGACTTTTAGCGGTTTAGTGAAAAACCCATTAGTTGGCAAAAGTTAAAGTCCTAATAGCCAAGCAAAATGCACCAAAGCAACTACTTAAGTCCCCTGCCTCTTTCAGGAGGCACTTTGACCCATGTTCACCCCTCGCAGAGTCTCAGACCGAGCGGATTTCCATAGCAAAGGGCATCTCGTTTGCGGCGGTTGATTTTCAATTGGAGCTGTGAAAGATTCGCTGCGAGGGGAGGTGGGCCCTGAACCACATAGGTGCAGGGGTACTGGGGCCCTCTATGTGTCTCTTCAGAGTTCCGGGGCAACTTGCAGCACCTAACAATAGAGCCAAACAAGCAAAACCAAAGGCACACTTTCAGGAAAATACGAGAAGTATCTGGGAAAAGTACTTCAGTCCGGCAACTAGAAATAGAGGAGTTGACCCTCAGGGGTAAGCTCGTTCCAGCCGGCGAGCTAGTGATTTGCGCAAAACACAGTGAACCTCATTTTGCAAAGCGCTGAATCTGTACAACTTAGAAGCAATTGCGCCACCTCGTGAAGCTTTGGCTGGAGCGTACTAGCAGGTTCTGCTTAGAAGTTCAACTTAGGAAAGTGGGTTTTGTGTTCAAGTGTTTGGAGCAAGAGTTCATCGATGCGAGAGTTTTGGAATTTTAGTTCGGCTTTGCTGCTTTAAGGAAAGGCAGTTTTGGGGGCCAAGAGGTTGTCATTTAGGGACCAGGCGTTGGTTTTGGGACCAGCGAAACTATCGTTGCGTGGATGTGTCGAAGGAGGTTGTTCTCAGGTCCAATGTTGACGTCTTCAGGAAACCCAGCGCCCCGGACCCGGCCTTGCTCCCCCGGCTGATCACAGCTGAGCCAGCAAAAGCGACGGCAGAACTCTGGCGCTTCGGGCCAGGTCGGTGAAATCCGGCCGCCCTTGGTTTTCGGAGGAGGGTCCAAAACAAAATCAACAAGGGGGGTGCCCTTTTCCAGGTCGGCTACCTTTCTTCTCCCACCCCGCCATGGAATCATTCAGAGCATTTTGATGGCGCCCAGAGGAATGGCCGCCCTGGTGCCCTTTGCTTCATGCCGTTGGGGCAACGCTTGCAATGGTCTCTGCGTTTCCATGCGCGGACACGAGCTTGAAACAATGTCACCCATGGACCCTCTTTGACGGCACATGAGTTGGACTCCCCGAATAGTACGCTTTGAGTATGGTCGATGTTGGTATCTTTCATGGCGAAAAGCAAGGTCCAAACAAGAAGCCCAGAAACCCGCGCCATGCGTCGCCCCGCATAAATTTCCATACGCACGAAAGGAACATGTAGGGAACATTGCGCCCCTTTATTGAGGTCTGGTGCCCCGCTCTAGACTCTGAGCCAGGAGAACGGTGGTTCACCAGTCAATTCTTCTGGGATCCCGAAATCAAGGTGCCTGCATGAGTGACGTCTCACACCCTTCGGGAGGTCGACATGCTTCGCCCAAGGGTGGAAGTCAAAGATCACAAATGCAAAAAAGTCAACCGCAAAATTCCAAGCGGACATGGTCAAGAGCTTTTATACTTATGCCTCTTTGCTGCTGGGATTGGTGAACTTGCCAGGTGTAACCAGTACCCCTGTCAGAAAATTACTGGAAACCCTCTTGTTTTTCTTGCCTTCTTTCGTGGGAAACGGGAAACCACGCCGCCTGGAATCTACTGAACAACACATATTTGCGGAAAACAACACTTTCTGTGATACCAGTAGGGGCCACTGACTACTTTATCCCTTTGAAGCCTCATGTTCCACCATCATCATAACTCCCTACATGTTCAATTTAAAAAAAAAAAAAACAAAAAAAAAAAAAAAAAAAACATCACGCTAAGAAAGCTCAGCTCAAAAGTGCTGCAAAGCACATGAGGGTTGATCAGCATTCCTGGCCCCCACATGATGGGCAACTTCCCCACGGGGAAAGCCGCAAAACCTCGGATGCTCAACTCGCGAACCGGGGCCCACAGAGTCGCTTTTTCGGAGAGAGTGCGGCTCACAGGAAGCCAGCGCTACGGCGGCGATCCTACGAGAGTGGGAAAAAACACCCAAAATGGGATCAAGGGAGGAACCAAAGGGTTGGTGGTCGGCGATCGAGCGAGAGAACGAAGAAGAAGGTGATCACCTTTTGCGGCCCTTAAACATGGGATCACGGGAGAAACCACATATGCAGCTTGTTTTGGTTCTATCATGGCCTTGCAGTGGGTCAAAGTTGTAACCCCAAAATGGCTTGCCCTGCGGAATGTTTCAACGCGGACTAAAAGCGGCGGTCCATATCCTGGTGGGTACCAAAACAACAAATAGGAAGGGGACCCTTTGCGCAACGCAAGGTAAGGATTGAGGATTACCTTTGAACATCACCTTCACACTTTTTGTTGACCACTAAACCGGTCTTCCCAAAAAGTTTAAAGCACAGGAACTCAGGGAGCGAGCCTTTTCCCTTCCGAAGCCAGTTCTTGTCAAAAACGGGAAACAAAAGGTCAGATCCGGTCGACTCGCTGTGAGCAATTGAGTAAAGAATTCTACTGAGCAGCCTTTGGCTCTATGTATGATCAAGACAAGTTCACGTGCTACAAACCATATTGAACCAGCAGCGGTCTAACCCAAAATCATGAAACTCGAAGGGCACACAAAAAACCTTCAGCCACTTTGCTCAGTGTGACTTCAGCATGACTTGCTTCTCGGGGAATCAGAGAATGACTCCTGTGGATGGACGATATCCATTTCGCACCACCGAAGAACCCTGGAATGATTTGATGCCCCTGTAAATACCAACACACGTTCGGGTTTCAACCATGGTTTCAAAGTGGGGCGAACGGATTTCCCCCTCCACAGTAGGGTGCCACCAGTCGTACGTTAGCCAACCAAGTCAGCTCCCCTGGTTTGAAATTTCAAAGTGCGGGGTTTCGTCCATCCATACCACCCGCAGACTCAATCCCAGACGGGCCCCTATACTTCGGGAAGTGAATCAGAGGACTCCACACGTGTCCAGCATCCAAAGCAAACATCGATCAATTCCGGGTTGAGCGACCCTGGTAACCTGGTAGACCAACTTGACCCTTTCTGGGCTTTTGGGGACATGCTCCCAAACCAAAACGGGGGCCTTCTAAGGGCTCCGGAATCGCCGGACTGGATGACCTTGATGGAGGTGCCTCTACGAGGGTAAAGGCCCCTCTGATTGGTCGGATTCCCGAATATTGCACCCAAAAACACCCCCCTCCCTATGCATAAAGCGGGGGTTGATATGGTTTGAGGGTGGTTGGGGGCTAAACGGGCTCATGTCACCTCCGCGTTCTTGGGTTCCACAGACAGCCTCAAACAGGAAAACCCTCAAAACCACCCTGTGGGTTCCGAGCGTGGCCCTCGCAGGTTGATGTGGGGTCACCGGCAATTAAGTGCATCTCGCTGCGTCGCTTAGTGACTCGATACTCGATGCACAAAGTTCGGGCTTGGAGCGAGTGCCATGCTCTAGGGTTTTCACCACCGAACCAACTTGGAGTATATGCCCTACCCTTTCTATAGGTCCATATAGTGGTTGTTCCAAGTGGCTTGGTAGTGGAACCTCCTTTTACCGCGCCTGCGTGCAAGTCAAGTATGTGTGGCGAGGAATTACTGGCATGCTCCAGGAGGAGTGTACACGCCCTGAACACCCTGAAAATGATCCCGGGGCAGAATTATTTATCTCGTACCACCATGACTATGTTATACCTTCGTGTGTTCCTTGGGGTGAAAAACGAATTTTGTCACCCAGGTTGATGGCTTCTTCCCAGAATTATGGCGCAACAATCTCCAAAACGTTGATCAAGGGACAAGGACCCTATGACTCAGTGGGAAACATGCAGGGACCCCCGCTCCATACATGCTTTTCCTTTTGGCACGTGGACAATTTTGCGGAGACTTCTCGCAACGCAACGGGTTACCCAAAGCGTGCGATTGCGCAACTGAGGTGCGGATGAAGGACATGGCAAACGATCGACCTGTTTTCCCGAAGCCGGCCTCCTTTCGCTCTGGCAGGGCCTAAGCCGCGACATGCCATGGAATCAGGTCCAACTGTCCCGAGCCAGACCCCACTTGAAGGGCTAAAACGCAGAAAGCCGGGAATTGGGCGGGAAGCCAAATCCAACCTTCTAGGTGTTTCTAGAGTCTCCATGACCCTTTGAAAATGGGGTCATGACCCTTTTCTTTTGAGTAATGACCCAATCTTTTAAGGGTCATGGAGACTCTAGGTTGATCTTTTTGGAACGGACCCCCGAAATATCCAAAAGGTTGAAAGGTCAGCTCCGGGCAACTCCCCCAAATTGACCGGGTACTCAACATGTTCCCCTTTCTTGGACCCAATGATACATATTCAGTGTAAGAACCCAGGAGCCTTGCGGATCCATTGAGCGTAGGTAACCAAGGATAATTACCACGCTTGAGCTGGCGCCAAAAGGAACATAGCTGGCAAGCTGCTAGCTGGGATCCACTGAGGCGATCTTTGTCAATCCTTGGCATGTGGTTTTTTGCCAATCTTTAGGCTAAAACGAACCCCCGGCACTGAGCCCAGCTGAATCAGCGGGCTTGCTTTGATCCGCGCCGCCCAGGCCCAAATGAGGACCCCGGAAGGTACAAAGTGACTGGTTCAAAGGGAACAAGGACAAAACGGCAAGTGAGCCACAATCAAAACCCGGGTAGATGAAGGTTAGGGGCAGTCCTAGCCAGAAATAGTTGCGGCCGCCTTTGTAATTCTTTACATGGTTCTGGGTAGACCATTTTGATACCGGGTTTTGATTATGACTCAAGTGAAGTCTGATTCCGCTTGCCTGTTGCAAACAAGGACCCCTGGTGGACTTGCCAAGGTTTCTCTGTTGGTGCACTTGCAATCATGGATGTGGGGAGATTACATGTGCTGTCATAATTCCCAAAGTGGGCCACTCCCATGACCACTTGATCACTTTAAAGGGTGCTGCTTTGACATCACAGAAACTGGCAACCTACCCCCCCCCCCCATTTTCCACAACTATGGTGAGATGGCTCTTGTCTTCAACCATCATCCTGATCTCGATTGTGGCTCAGCAATAATATGTTGTTGCCATAAGCAGGAAAGTATACAACATGACCAACACACAATGGAATACCTCTGGCCGAATTGCGGCATTGGCAGTGGCCAATGATACCTCTTTGCCAGCAGCGCAGATAATTCAATTCTTGGGCAAGCCCTGACAGTCAAAAGGAACACTGCCAAGAGCACCGAACAACAACCTGAACCAAACATCTGGGTAAAATCCAACACACACACATATTATATATATACACGTATGGGTTCTATATATATATATATAATATGTATATGTTCCACAGCGTGACATAGGTGGCAGGCAGAAGTGTGCCTGACACACAAAACACTACGTAATTGCCACTTACTTGATTTGTGCAGGGGATCGGCTGCAGGCAAAGACACAAGCGTGGCATTGGACATTTGTTGGGATTCCCTTCAACACGGGCCATGACGAGGGTCTTTTTGACAGCTTGTTTGAGAGCCTTGAGAGACCTAGTTTGACCACTTGGGTGTGAATTTCAAATGGGAAGCCTCTGGTGAACATCAAACATTCACACCGAGGAGTTCTGTCCTTCCGCATTCCAATTCAGCCGATTTCTGAGTTCTGATCGGAGGGTTCTGATCGCAGCTTTTTCTGGGTGACACTCCTAAATGTCGCTGACTGGCAACTGGCAACCGTTTCTCTGGGTAGAAAAAAGGGAAACCCGAAAATATCAGATCCAAAAGAGCGACTGAACATACCACCAGTCACCATGGTATACATTGTTCCCCTTCTTCCAAGGAAAACAGTGGCAAACATGTGAATACATATATATATATACACCCACGTGGATAATATGTGTATATATATAGATATTCGTACACACATGTCGAGGTTCTCAACTGGAGAGTCTGGAGGAGCCTATTCATGCGGTTCAGGGCTCGTTCCAGTCGCAGCAAAGTCACCCTAAAGGATGGTTCGGTTGACATTGCCAAGATGTTTTCAAAGCGCAACAACCTCTGCTTCTCATCAGACAACACCCGGTCAGCTCTGCTTTTTATGTTCGCGCATTTCAAGCTCCAGTGCTGACGTCTCTTTGCTGGCATCGGTCGATTGACATCCATGGAAGCGCCTGAAGGCTTCCGAGAACCGCGCTCACAGACTCGACGCAGATCGCGCGGGCTGCGTGCCAAGCGGCTTTGATGTTCGTGCCGAGCGGGTTGCCACGCCAAACCAGGCGCCTTTTCGGCACATCCGGCTGACAAAATGAGCATGAATATTCCCTGGGGCCCTATGGTGTCAGTTTCCATTGGGATTTGTGTCCATTTGGCTGTGGGTCAAAATCAAACCAGGGGACCGCAAATTCCAGTCCATGTTTCGACCCACACCCATTTGGGCATACCACTGAGATCAGTCTCCAGCACTTTGCGGCTTGGTGTTTTAAGGCCATTGGAGAGCCATTGGAGGGCAATACTCGTAGGACATGCGCCCAAGTGAGCCGCACATCCATAGGGAGCCACATGAAACCCTGATGAGCAGGACCTGAGTACTGAACTCCGTGGTTCGTTCAGCCGCGAGCTACAAGTTTAGCTTTGAGATATGTCAAATTCCTGCAAATCCTGAGCTACACGTCTAAGGAAATGGCGGGAGCCGCTGTGAACGTCTCACAAGAGAGTGGCCAAGACGAATTCGTGGTGCACAGCCAGTCCGGCTCAAGAATCCGAGCACTCTGAATTCAAACGAGCTGATGCTGAGCTTGGGATTTGGTTTGAAGTTCGAAAGGAACAGTCAGGCCCAAAAGTGAAACTAAAAAGGTGACAAAGGGAGAGCAAGTAGTATTAAGCGATAAATCCATGTGTTTAGGTAATACAAGCAGGTTGTCCAGCATTGATTCCCAGATCTGACTATGAAAAAGGGTGGGAAATCCAAGTTTTGTTCGGTGGAAACAACGGCAATACTACGTATCACAATGGTGAACCAATACTAAACCAAGACCAACTCGTGCTAAGCCTATTGTCCCAAAGGCCTGCAAAACCAATCGAGGCCAACTCCTTGAACTAAAACAGCCACCCAAACGAGTACGAAGGAATGCTAAAGCAATGCTAAACCAATTGTAAAGAGCACTGGGCCAGCTCAAAGGAATACTAATTCAATTCCACGACAGTACTAAGCAGAACTTCCTTGGAGGCTACCGGAACTCTCACTTTTAGGTTTCCTCTGTCCCCGCTCCCAATTTGTTTAGGGGGGCCTATCACTACCCAATAATCAATAGGGTTGCTCCAAAGTCGTGTGCACAAAGGGAGCAAAATGTTGGTCCCTGGTCAAGGCAGACTGAAGGAAACCACATGTACTTTCGAGCGCTTTGGCCATCATTTACTGGCCAAAGCAGCATCCCTGCCAAACCAAGCAAGTGAGAAAGAGTGCGCTCCAAATGGTGGAAAGTATCAAGGTCGCATTGGGCCGGCACGTGGTAATCATCCATCTGGCCACAATGCTGGAATTTCGCTGGAAAAGACCGATGCTTGGAAAACGGTTTTCTTTCTTTTTCTGACATAATTGACATCAGCTGCGGTTGTCGCCTTCTAAATGGCGCACTTTCTTCGAGGGGCTGACGCCCCGAAGGAGGAAGACACTTGGACTGCAGAGCTTCGGCCAATGGCTGTGTACTTGGCATTGTTTGGCAAAAAATATGTGGCAGTTTCGCAGCGGCCGACCGTATTTCCGATTATTTGCTTGCGCAGTATTTGCAGCTATCCTGCATTGTTTAACCTTAATTGGCATTATTGAACCTTATGCATCAATGCATGACTTTTGTGAGGGGACCAGAACCAATGAAATTATTGAATTGCCTTTGCGGTGTTTCAGTCCTTCAACCGCTACAGGTCCCCTTCTTTAGTTTGCATTTGGTGGTGCGGTTTGGAGGGTAAGGGGTAGGTGGTAACCATCTACCGTCCACAAACAAATGACGCCAAAAGACAATGACATTCAAAAAGCCGAGGGTCCTAGGGTCGTCAAAAAGAAACACCAAGACTCACGTCCATTCTTTGTCGTGGAACATTTGTATCTAAGATGGGTTCCAGTAGAAAATCCGGGTGTATACCCTTCACATAGTTGTTGTACAGTGGTTGCCTAGCCCATGTTTCCCTCGGGCTAGTGGTTTGGGGGTAGTGGGCATCTTTTTAGATTGGGTAGACAAATTCATTTCGCACCTGCAGATAGATGCCAACTCCTGCACCTGCATCCACAGTACATCTCCAAAATGGCCGTCGCAAAAGGTAGGAAGTCCACACACTCGGGAAGTGACTCTATGACAGCGGCAAACCGATACTCCCCTAAGTAAAGCAAAAAACAAAGTATCATTGAAGATGCCCATGAACTGTCCCTGCCCAAGGCAATCCACTGTATATTCCACTTAATATCACAGACATAGCCCGAGCCAAGCATGCATTCACCTAAAGGACACATGTGGGTTGTCCCCCTGCTTGCGGGGAACTCGGTTTGTACCCTTCCCCACAGCAACTGTAGACTAATCATACGTAGTCAGCGGCCTCACATCTCGTCGAATATTGGTTCAGAGTCATAGCAAGGGGGAGCCAGGAAAGCCATGACCCTGAATGGTCATTTATTAATTTTATGGAATCCCTAAAAGAGGTAGGCACAAGAAAGGTGGGTAGTTGAGGCCTTAGAGAATCCCCCTTCCTTGGACCACCCGTAACAGTTGCTGACGGTTGCTGAGTTGCAAGGCCTCCCCTTGATGCGGCTCCAAATCAGCCTATGACACACACACACACACACCCGCTGGTTGAAAAGCCAGCTTTTCTTTCCGAAGAATCCAATCAAAGTGCAGAATAGGTTTGCTCTAGTCAGGTCCCTTTGCCAGGGATCCTTCCAGAAACTAAGACAGACTTTGGACTCCGTGCTTCTTAGGCAAGCCTCGAATAAAACTCCCCACTACCTTCAGGAGCGGGGTGGGTCCCCAGTTCCATTTATCTAGTCTTC